ATCCCACGGTACTCAGAGAAGGTGCCTCGTGGGTCTGCATTTTTAAACCTGCTGAGACTGAATTTGTGGCTTAGCAGACGGTCTCTCCTGGAGAATGTTCGCATGCAAATAAGATGACCGTGTCCTCTTGTGGGGAAGAGCGTTTTACGTACGTAATGTTTGTTAGACCCAGTTGATGTGTGTGGTTCAAGTGTCCGGCTGTTGTCACCGTCACCGAGTAGGACACCGAAGTCTCCGACCACCTGTCCCGCCCTTCGCATCTGTCAGTTTTTGCTTCCTTCTGCCTGCCATTGGGTACGTTCTGTCTTCTTGCTGCATTGAGCCTTCTGTGCTATAGCGTGCCCTTCGTGTCCGGCCACGTTTTTTGAGGTGAAGCCTATGTTGTCTGATAGCAGCGCGGGCTCCCCTGCTCTTGTCCGGGTACGAGCTGCAGGCCGTGTCTTTGTTCATTCAGCCTGTCCGTGTTTTCAGGGCTACGGCGGGTCCCTGTAGCCGGCAAATAGCTGGTCTGTTTTCTTCGTATCCGTTCTGCCAGGTCTGCCTTTTGACTGAAGAATCTGACCCACTCAAAGTAATTTAAAGCGTTTAAAGTCATGAATAGGATGGTCCTATTTCTGCCACTTTGGTCTTTGTCTTCAGTGTGCTTTGTAGCTTTTCGTCCCTCCTTCCCCTCATTACTGCCGTTTGTGCGCGGCTGATTTCTTGTAGCGAAACGCTCTAATTCCCTCCTCATTTCCTTTCACGCGTATTTTTTTAACCATTTTCTTTGTGGTTGCATTTACATCCTGAAGTTACAACACTCTGATCTGAGTTTACACCAGCTTAACTGGAGTAACATTCAATCTCTGCCCTGCCCTCCTCCTCCTGCCGTTGATGCTGGGATCCCGGCTGGATTGTACTGAACCTGTCCGCCGCTTTGGGAAAGTTTGGCGTCTTAGAAACACTGAACCTTCTGGTGCACGAAGACGGTTTCTCTCCCCATCCTCCCCAGTCCTGTTTAACCTCCGTCCGCGGTGCGGTCTGCTGTGCGCAGGCTCTGCGCGTGCTTGTTAAGCTTCGCTCCGAGGAGCGCATGCGTGTGGGTGGTGCTGCGGACCGTGCTGTCCTTGTACACTGCTTCAGTTCTGTGTTGATGCTTGCCTGGCTGAAATTACTTAGCGGTAGCTTTTTTGTAGATTCTTGATGACTTTCTACATAGATGACATCTGCAAATACAACTCTACTTTCTATTCTGTATACCTTTTTATCTTTTGTGTGCCTTATTGCAGAAATTTTGTTTTTACACGGTACAGCCAACAGTCCGACAATTTTAACAGACCGATAACCGCTAAGCTCGACAGCCAGCTCGCCGAGGACCTTTTCATTAGGAATTTATGGTCTGCGCAGGTTGAACTTATATTTACTTTTTATTGAAAATAGAACCAGAGGATTGAGACGAAACTCTTCATGCTTAAATCATGATACATCTCTTAATTTTATTATAGAATGTTAGAAGTGTGTAACTTTAGGTATCATTTTTAATGATGGCACATTTTGAAATGATAATAGGTATTTTTATGGTAATGGTAGAGTTTATCGCTTAGGAAATACTGAGCCGGTGACCTTGGCTATTCAGTAATGATGAAAGGCCCGGTCTAACCTTTTCTTGAATGTGATATTTATTAAAAATGAAACTTCTCGTCTCTAGTACTTAATCAATAGCACATTAAGCCATTTATTACTGTGATTAAAGAAGGCCTGGCAGACTGGATATTCTACTTCCTCGTCATCTAGTTTAATTTTATTTTTTTATTCTGTTGAATTTATCGGGGTGACATTGGTTAGTAAAATTATACAGGGTTTCGGGTGCACAGTTCTGTAACACATCCTCTCTGTGTGGTGCTGTGCGTTCACCACCCCCAGTCACGTCTCCCTGCATCGCCACTCGCTTCCCCTTTATCTCGTTTAACGTTTTAATAGTCAGGGAGTAGCCACTTCACCCAGGTGCCTCAGATCCGTCCAGCCCTGCACTTGGAACTCGCCGAGGTTCTGCGGTCGGTGGGGCTCTCCGGAAGGAGCCATTGACACCGGCAGAAGGCAGATAGTCTGTAATGGCTCTCCAGGAGGGAACAGGCCCCTCTCACATTCCTCATGGTCAGCCCCGCCTGGAGAAGGTGCGTTTCGCTTGTCAGTAGTTAACGGTTGTTTGTTCGTCTAACACAGTGGGGGTTGGTGTCGGTAAGGGAGGCAAAGAGTGCGTGGTGTGGTTGGCCTTGGCAGGGAAGGAGGACTGTGGTGGGGAGAGAGAAAGGAACCGCAGGCGGGAGCGCTGAGGCCCGTCTCTTCTGTGGAGCCGTGTCTTCCCCCACGGGGGATGCACCCGGGGAACAGGGCACGTGCCACGAGGAGGCGGCTCAGTGCACTGTCACCAGCGGGGACTGCGACACGGGTGGATGCCCCTGCCTCCCTTGCACCCGGGCAGTGCCCTCTCCGAGCGGTTCCAGGTTCGGTGTGCGTCCTGTCCCGCCAGGGAACTGTCGGAATGGGAGTGTGAGCGGAAGGGTAGCCGAGTGGCTACATCCCCACTGCGCGCAAGGCCTGGCGAAGCCCTCGTCCGTTCGTCACAGACCTCGGGGGGGGGGGGGGGCTCTGCTGCGCACGGGGCCAGGAGGCGAAGGCGGAAGGGAGGCTAGAAAGGGCTCCGGTGTGCGTTTCTGCTGCTGAACGCCGGGCACCGGATGGAGCACTGGATGGAGCACCGCGAGGCACCGGCTCCGCGCCCTCGCACCGCCCCCGGCGGTTGTCACGGGCCCTTTGCCCGCCAGGGAGCCCGGGGTCGGGAAGCTCAGTTGCCTGACGCGCACACCGCTTGGAAGTGGCCGGTCCAGTCTCCACCCACAGGCCACTCGACGCCACCGTCTGCGTGCCTGACCCCTAAACGCGGAGCGGATCACGCAGGTGGACCGAGCGGGGACAAAGGAGGCGGGCAGTGGGCTAGGGATGAGTCCGGAGTGTGGTTCCCGACGGCCACACCGCAGAGAGGGCGGGAGAGCGGGCTCAGAGCCTGACGGGCGTCCACCTCGTCCTGGAGGCCAGCGACGCGCGGCAAGAGCCTCGGCCCTTCCCCAGCGAAGAGTCACGGGAACCTTCGGGGCCGCCGGTCTAACACCAGCGCGTGCGTGGGAGCCTGAGTCTGAAACAGCGGCGGGGGCGGCCTCCGTGTCGGGTGTGAAGGGCAGGCCGAGGGGCGCGGCCCAGCTGTTTCTTTCTGAGTGACGGTCGGGTGAAGGTGGACAGGCTCTGAGCGGCCGCCCCCCAACCACCCACCCCTCGGACGGAGGAACCAGCCCGGGGCCCGGGCCTCCCCGCCGCCGCTCCTCGGCGACACCGCGACGTGCCTCCCTTCCCGTTCATGGTCTTCCTCCTGGAGATCCTCAGACTCCCTCGTGGAAGGCCTCTGGGGAGCCTGCACAGGCTGCCCGGCGTTCTCACGTCTGAGTAAGTTAGTCCACTACAAAATATTTCAATGACATGCCAACAATTTTACTAAGAAGTGAAGTTTTACCATTTTTTAAAGATTTTATGTATTTATTTTTAGAGGAGAAAGGAGGGAGGGAGAGAGAGAGAGAAACATCCATGTGTGGTTGACTCTCCAGCACCCCCTACTGGGCACCTGGCCCGAAACCCAGGATGTGCCCTGACTGGGAATTGAACCGGCAACCCTTCGGTTCACAGACTGGTGCTCAATCCACTGAGCCACACCAGCCAGTGTAGTTTTGCCTTTTTTCACCGGTGAAAAACCTCATTAGTCCTGGAATTGGAAGATACTGGAAAACTAGAAATTATAGAAAGACATAATTCACCATTTTCCTTCACAACCTTGATCCCTTGCCTGTGTCCCTGTGGCTGCCCTTGTGTGGACCTGTGTCCCGGGACGGGGTCCCAGAGCACCGCCCACCCCCGGCTTCCTCACCGTCCGCCTGCCCCGGGCTGGTCCTCCAGGCCCCTGCGGCACGTTGTCAGGGACCCAGGAGTGTGCGTCTGTTGTCAGAATGGCAGGGTTGCCCCCCCACGTAAAATGTGTTCTACTTGACAGACCCTCTGGGGGGAGCTGGCCATTCCGCACCACCTCCCATAGTCCAGAACGGTTCCTGAGACTGGTGCAAAATCAGACCCAGTCTGCCCACGAGCAGGCCTCGCGGGCCAGCCAGAGGAACGGGGACAGCGCGCCTGGCCCGTGAGCGAGCCTTTCTGGGAGTGCCTCAGTGGCCGGAGGTGGGCTGGGCAGGACGAGGACTTCTGTCCTCACGCTCCTCCTCCCTCCCTCCCGCGTGGCTGAAACATTGTCCTCTTCTTCCCCCCCACTAACTGCCCAGGCCACTGCAGGGCCGTGGGGCGGGGGCGGGGCTTGTTCTACCTGCAGGGCGGCGAAGCCCTTCCGCCTGGCCTGCGGGGTGCCCTGCGGAGCTCCAGGCTGAGTCGGACCTGGGTGTTGGCGTGACAGTTCTACTGGTTTGTCTTCGACTTTCAAGGGTGGTGCTCACTGGGTTTCCTTTGACAGGAGGCCGGCGGGGCACGGGGCGTCTCTGTCTGCGGGTGGGTGGTTCCCCTGGCGGATAGACCACCCGCCCGTGGGGAGCACGCTGGCAGGACTGACGGCACGTGGCTTAGGTGCCGGGGTGGGCGGGATCCACGGGCTTTCCCGTGTCGGCCCAGACCCCACGGAACCCGGGCAGAGAGACGCAGCTCCCGTTCCTTCCGAAAGCAGCCTGTCCCCGAGAAACACGCCCGCCATCGATTTGCACGTAACCGATCACTTATTCACGGCGAGAAGGAGGCTCATCGGCGTGATGGAGCCCGGCACTTCCTTGTGTCCTGTGCGGAGGGGCCAGCTCGTCGGAGAGGGCTCGCGGGGCCCGGTTTCGGGGCTGCGGGTGGTGGTGGTGGTGGCGATGATGCTGATGCTGATGCTGATGATTAAGGAGCCCGACGGCTCTCTGACTGGGTCTCTCTCCCCGCAGGCCTCTTCGGAAGAGCTGAAAGCCGCCTACCGCAGGCTGTGCATGCTGTACCACCCCGACAAGCACCGAGACCCCGAGCTCAAGTCCCAAGCCGAGCGGCTGTTTAACCTCGTCCACCAGGCGTATGAAGGTCAGTTGGAGGCCTGCGCTTTGTGGCGGTGCCCCGGCCGCAGGCCTTGGATTTCTGAGAGACTTGATTTGCAGAGAACAGCCAGAGGGAGTCCTTAGAGGTGCATGAAAGGGGCGGCTAGTTTAGTCCTTTCTACTGACAGGGTCCTCTGAAGGAGAAGCGTTTTCTTTGGAGATCAATACGTGTCTGGTCGGTAGACAGCGAGGGCGCAGGTGAGGTCGCGGAGCGGGGGCCGAGCTGCGGGGGGCACTCGAGTTTCACAGCGTCGGCCGCCTCCTTCTGAAGGGGGCCCTTGGAGGTGAAGGCCGATCGTTACGGACGAGCTTGCTTTGTTCTGGTTTTTTTTGTGAGCAGATAGAAGGACGTTTTTTCCTCTGAAAGTGATTTTATTGGCTCTGTAGTATTCAGTTAAGGAAAGGTTCTAACAAAAGAAAGAAAAGGATGGTAAGCAGGTTAACAGGAAATAGAATCAAGTAATTCAGGTTTTTATACTTGCGTATTTCGAAAAACTATTCTGTTAACACTTAGACTTTATTGGCCTATTTTTAGAGAGAGGGGAGGAAGGGAGAGAAACATCAGTGTGAGAGACAAGCATCGATCAGTTGGCGCCGGCCACCCAGGCATGTGCCGACCGGGACTCGAACCGGAAACCTTTCCGTTCGCAGGCCAGCGCTCAGTCCGCTGAGCCACACCAGCCAGGGCTCAGAAAGACTGTTTTGTGATATATTTGTTTATAAAATATGAAAGCCATTAATAGTTAGAGTTTCTGTTTGTGATGATGAAAAAGTTCTAGAGATGGTGATGGTTACACAACATCATTAATACTTAATGCCTCCCTGGCTGGCGTAGCTCAGTGGATTGAGCGTGGGCTGCGAACCAAAGCATCGCAGGTTCGATTCCCAGTCAGGGCACATGCCTGGGTTGCAGGCCATGGCCCCCAGCAACCGCACATTGATGTTTCTCTCTCTCTCCCTCTCTTTCTCTCTTTCTCCCTCCCTTCCCTCTCTAAAAATAAAATAAATAATAATGAAAAATCTTTCTTTAAAAAAATACTTAATGCCACCGAACCGTGCACTTAAAATGATTGGAAGGGTCAGTTCTATGTATGTATCACCACAGCTTTAAAGAAACGACCTTTTTAAAATAGTAAATCACTCTTAGGATGTATATCAGATAAAATAAGTTATTTATTCCAGAGCCATTTGGTGATTTGCTCCTTCATTAGACCAAAAATTAGATAATGTGTTTACAAAACAAAGACTTCTCACTGTTGGTGTAAAACCTGTGCTCTGCTTCACTGTATAGTTCTACCAAAAAGTAAGATTTAAGTGACCAGGGACGCTCGGGCTGTGGCTCATGACATCCGTGCGGCCCGCACTGTGTCCTTCCCGGACTTAACCCTGCCCGGGCCACTTCTGTGCTGGTCCTGACCGCAGCCTGGGCCCTCACTGGACGCGGGCGTCCGGACGGCCGCCTTCACACTCTCCCGTTGTCCGAATCACCCACCTCCTCGGTGCGTGCTGTCGGAGACCTGGGGCGGAGTCAGCAGGGAAGCCCCCGGGGCTCCTGCAAGTGCTGCAGTGGGGGTCCTGGCCGGGCTCGGCCTGGAGGGGGACTGGGGCCACGCACGGAAGACTCCTCCCCGCAGTGCGCTCCGCCCCCTCCCCCTTTCCACGGGGTCAGCATTGCTTTCTCCCCCGTTAGGTGGACCTGTTTCCATCGCTTTTTAATTAGACCTAAAAATATACGGGGCGTCTCAGGGGAGCGAAGGCTCAGAGGTCTCAGGCCGGAAGTGGCAGAGCAGGCGAGGAAGTTAAGGACCCCGAGCCTCCCTGGCGTTGGGCTTGGGTCTGGCCGCCTCTGAACAGCTCTCGGCCGCACCGAAAGTCTCCCTCTGGCGCTCTGTGGGTGCTGTGCCAGCGTCAGAGTGGCAGGCCTTTGCGTCTCCGTTACGTGGTTTGCCAGAAAGGAGAGGCATAGAGGAAACCAACGGACACCTTAGGAGTGAGACTCTACGGAGTAAAGAATAAATCAGATTTTTCTGGAAACCTGCCCCTAGTTTTGCACTGCACTCCCTCAGAACTGGAATTAGCTCTCTCGTGCCAGGGCACTCGACAGACTGTGGCAGAAACTTGCTAAATTCTTTATAAACTCCGGTCCTTTGGTGAGCCAGGTGCACCGCCCAGCTCGGAGTAGCTCAGACTCACAACTCCGGCGTTTCCCACGGGCGGCCGCCGCCGTCCACGGCGTCCCAGCTGGGACCTGGGAGCAGTGAGGAGGGAGGCCGCTGGGGGGGGGGGGGGTGCGGGGGGGGTGAAGAGCGTCTCTGCGGGGGCGGGGGAAGACAGGGCGGGGTGCGGCCTGGGGGCACCGCTGCTGTAGCGGCTACCGGGGGGGTTCTGTGCTCTCTCAACGTGTCCGGTTCTCGTTGGCAGTGCTCAGTGACCCGCAGACCCGGGCCATCTATGACATCTATGGGAAGAGAGGACTGGAGATGGAAGGATGGGAGGTAAGAGAGAGCGTGTGTCTGGCACCCCAGGAGGGTCCCCGAACCCCTGCAAACAGCCACCCCAGGCCCCCGCCCTGCGGTGGCGTCTGTGGGTGCGCACGTGAAGACAGGGGCGTCCCCCCCTCACCTGTGTTTTGGTTTGAGAGGTTGAGGGCTGGGCCCGGGCAAGTCACTGGCCCACCGTGTCCTCTGCTCCCTGACCCGCCGAGGGAGCAGAGAGGGGGGGGTGGGCTCGCCCGGAATTCTAACCCAGGGGAGCCCGCGGGGTCCGAAAGGGTGCGGTCCTGTCTCCAGCCCTCCCGGCCTCTGCGCCCCTCCCCCTCGGTGAGCCTGCGTCCCCGAGGGGGCGTTCCCGTCGGGGAAGCGCTGTGCTCGTGAATGACGTGCGGGCCGAGGGACGCCGGGGACCCGTGGGCTCACTCGCCTGTGACGGCCCTCCCGGCCGTAACGTGCTCCGGCTCCGGGGCGTTGTCAAGGGCGAGGCAGACACAGCGGTGCGGAGAGAGCGCACATGTGGGAAGCGGGGCGGCCCCGGCTGCACGAACAGCCCCCCAGAGTCTGGGAGCCCTTGTGTTCTGGCCCGGACGGCTGGGCAGCCGCGTTCCCCTGTGACACATGGAGGCGGACATCAGTTGTGAAACCCCAGGTTGCTGTAACACACAGGTGTTGCTCCTTAATTTCATGAGAGGAACTTGGTCGGGACAGACGCCTAAGAAATTTCGGGCAACTGTTGACTATCACTGAGTTACTTTTTCATCGTCCTGTGAGATTTCCCTTGAGGTGCCTTTGGTGTTTCCTCTCCAGCCTGTGTGCCTGTCCCGTGACTCTAGCACGCAGACCCCCCAACGGCCTTCGGGTGAGAAGATGAGCAGGCGGGCTCTCGTCCTCTTCCCGCTGCCGCTCGGCGTCGGCGGCCTGGGGGCCGCGTCCCGTCCGTGGCTGTGCTTTGGCTGCCCGCTTTGATGCATTGCAGTTGCCAGTATTTAAAGCCTGGGAGGTTTTGCATAAAAATCCAGCCTTCTGGCTCCTCTTTAAAAATCAGGAAATCTGCCCTGACTGGTGTGGCTCAGTGGACGGAGTGCTGGCCTGCAAACCAGAGGGTCGGTGGTTCAATTCCCAGTCAGGGCACATGCCTGGGTGGCGGGACCACCTGGTCATGCAACCTGGGCACATGAGAGGCAACCACACAAGGATGTTTGTCTTCCTCTCTTTCTCCATCCCTTACCCTTTCTCTAAAAGTAAATAAATAAAATCTTTTAAAAAATAAATTAAAGAAAAAAACACAAGATCTGGTGACACTGTGTCTGAATTCCCCTGAGACAGCAGTGACCTCAGTCCCTGGCGACTCTGCCTGTTCCTGCTGCCCAGCTGGTCCCGTGTCCCGTCCCCCACCCGCACCCCCCCAGCTCTCGAGTCTGGCCCTGTGCTCGCCCACACGTCCCCTCCGGCTCCAGCGGGCACTTGGTCCACGGCCTCTGGCTCGATGGGAGGAGCAGTGCTTCGCGTCACATGAGTGCAGCGTAGCTCAGCGGTGAGTCTGATAGCTCAGGATTTTCCCCCACAAAGAGAATAAAATCCTGGATGCACGCGGGGTCTCTGCTCGCAGTGAGGTGGCAGCCACACAGTCCAGGCAGTCACAGGTGGGGGCTGGGTACCCTTGCTCCCTCGTTCAAAGCAACCGGCTGTAAGGAAGTCAAGTTCTTGTCGACCCGAACTGGCTTTTTGGCAAGGAAGCTAGGCCTTCGCTGCAGGTAAAAGTGCCCCCCCGGGAAGGCCGTGCAGACACGTCCCCAGGTGTCACGCGGAGGCCCCGGGGCCGACGGGCGGCAGGGAAGCAGGCCCACTGTGCGCGCTGCCGGGGGGACGAGCCTCAGGGGCCCGAGTGCGTCTCCGGAGCCGGTGGTACCCTCGTTCCTCCAGGACCCCTCCAGCCGGCGGCTCCTTTGGTTTAACCGGCCGGCGGCCTCTCCTCTCCTCGTCGGAGCTCCCACCCCGTCCAGCGCAGTCTGTCCGTCCGAGCGCACAGGTGGTCCGTGAGGGGTGGGCGGCCCTGTGCACACCTAGTGTCGGGGTGCTGGGGCCCCGCGCCTGCAGCCTCCCGCCCGGCCCGGCCCTGGCTCGCCTCTTCCTGTTGGTGGGCGCGGGGGATGAAGTGGCACTTTTTTAGGCCGTGAAGTGTTGCCCTGTTTTCCGTCTTTTTTTCTTTCTTTTCTTTCTTTCTTTTTTTTTTTTAAAACCTTCAGGAGACTCATTTTCTGGCAGGACTCCCAAGGAAGGAGAGGCCGCCATTTCCCAGCCTGTAAAACGAGCCACGCTGGTGCTGGAAGGTGGCTCCCGGTGTGTGCGCGGACGCACGGGGTGACGAAGAACCGTCTCTCCTGCAGAGCGGCAGGAGCCCAGCTGAGAGCCGGGCCTGTGCCGCCGGGGCCGCCTCCCCCGGCCGGCGGGTGGCGTGGACGCCGTGCCTGTCACTGCACGCTCGGAGGCCGGGCTGCCGCGGGAGGAGCAGCCCTGGCCCGCGTCCCCCGCGGGCGCCGCCTGCGGCCCCGTGCCCGTGTTTCGTTTTCCCCGTGACTCTGACATGGCCTCACAGAGGCTAAGGAGGGCGGTCTGCTCGCGTGCTCGCGGTCATGAGAACAGAGGCCCTCGAGAGTTAGAGGAGGCTGCGGAGACGTGATGACCGAGCGCGGCCCGGACCCTAGGTTGGGCTCCGGGACTTGGAGGGAACGTTAGCGGGAAACCAGTGAAATCCAGATTGCCGGGGTCCGGTGCGCGGTCGTGCGCCTGCTGGCAGTCCCGCGAGTCTGAGAGCTCGGCCGTGGTGTTGGGCGATGACAACAGGAAGGGCACGCGGGAGTGTTCCGTGCTCTCTCGCAGCTGTGCTGAGCTCTAAGGAATTGCGTGAATGCCTACAGACGTTGCCTGGCGAGAACAGACGACACCTCGGGCTTTGCGGTGTAACCCGCCTCATTTACAGCCGGGTCCGACGGGGGCGGGGCGGGGCTGGGCCGGGCTGGGGGGCCCAGGTCAGGAGCCTGGCCCCCATCCTTTCTCCCACAGGCCTCCTCCCTTTCGGAAACCCTCCTGCTCTCCCACGAGGCCGGCGCATCCTGCCGGCCAGCACGGGGGTAGCTGGAGCCTGGGCAGGGCAGGCAGCACAGGTGTGTAGGTTCGCGGGCGGCATTTGCTGCACCGCCGATGGGAAACACGGCACGTGTGTGGTGCAGTGTAGGGCGCCGTGTGCCTAGGTGCTGACCTCTGAGGGCGACCGGGATGGGACACCGATGGCCTGCCGCTGGCTGGGCGCCCTCCCGTGCTCCGCCAGAGGGCTCTGGGGGGGAAAGGAAGCGAGTCGCCAGACTAGGAAGGAAACAGCAGCTTTGCAGCGTTCGCCTCTTTAGCTTATCACAGTGTGGCAGGAGCAGTTCGCAGCTGTTAATGAAGTCGGTCAAGGTCAGGCAGCTCCAGTTCCTGCAAACAGATGTTGCTCTGCTCTAGCCTCTGAGGCCCGGCGCTTTACAGTCTTTTAGTTCCTGGATCTTACCCATCTGTCTGTCTGTCTGTCTGTCTGTTCATTTGTTTGTTTGTTTAATCAGTACGGAGCATGTTCATGGAGTCTGTGTCACTGGCTAATCAGACTCGTCTAAATCTGCATCCTCCACACTAGTGTCCTGCAGCCTAGACTGTTCCGGGTGGCACCTGCCCTGCAGGTAGAGCGCCGGCGCCGGCGGGCCCTGTGGGGGAAGCGCTTCCCATGCAGATGAGCCGCGAGCCGATGGGCCCAGATGTACCGGGCTTCCACGGTCACAGCGCCACCGGGTTGGGGGTTGGGGGGAACGGACAAGTTCTAAGGGATTTTAAATCTTTTTTTCTTGGCCTTTTTTGATCTTCAAGGTCAAATGTAATCATTGACTGCATTTCCGGGAAATTCTTTTATTTCTCTTTTCTTTTGATGAAGGGTGAGGCTGACAGATTGAGAAGATAATGCAAAGTTTGCCAAACTGCACCTTGTTTTTTGCCCGAGCAGGGGTAACCCGGAGAAGCTCAAGTGCACCCCTGGGCGGGGGTGCACGCCCTCCCGCCTGTAAGCCCCAGCGGAGCGGCCGGCGCCCTCGCAGCCGGATCAGCCGCGTGCGGCTGTGTGGGGCCACGGAGCAGGCGCAGCACGGTGTGTGTGCGGGCCATTCGTTTGTCCTTGGGCAGCCGCACCAGTGGTTTCATTGTAAAGCTGCCTTTGAAAGGACCAGCCCCCACTTTTCATTAGTGGGCGATTCCTACGTGTCGTTAGAGGAGAAAACACGGTCTCAATGGGTTTTCTGTGCACGTTTCTCAGAAATGGCCTCAGCTAGGCCAGCTTTGGGGTTTATTTTTCTGTGTTGTGAATAGTAAAATCGAGTTGCACGAAGCCTGTAATGGGACTACATTGTTCTTAAAATATATGTTCGCACACACGTAACGTATATGCACACATACGCATATACGTGTACACGCCCACGAGATTTTTAGGAAGATGAATAAAAACTTAAGTGTCAGCCCGTGGGAAGAGAGAGGGTGGTACTGCAGCAGTTTGTACTTTGGGTCCTTCTGGGCTGTTCTGGGTTTTTTGCTATAAGCATGTATTTTTAAAAATAATTTTTAAACTTGTGATTTCCAAGATAGCTTTTTCTCACGTCACCCACCTTCGTAGATGTTCTCCGAGCAGCCTCTCAGACACCCTGCGCCCCCCACCGGTGCAGGGACAGGCTGTTAGGTCTTCCTCCCTCCCCTTCATCCGGCGCCTTCAGTCCCGGGCATTCCGCTCCCGCCCTCTGCGCCGCGCACGGGCTGTAGGGCTCGGGGCCCTTAGCAAGCACGCGGCCCAGTTCCCTCGTCCACAGATGTGGCACCTGAGGTCCCCAGTGGCCTTTCCCTGCCCCTCCGAAGTCTCAGCCAGATGGTCTTCCCGGCGAGCCAGGAACAGCCAGGATGAGACGCCTCGTTCTCACGCAGACTCAGAGACCTCGGGCGGCCCAGGCATCCGTCTTATCTCGGTCTGCTCTTCACCGCCCCAGTGCTGCTCGCACTCAGGTGTAACTGCTGTCGTCCTCTGAGGTTCTTGCCCTACTGGAGCGGGGAGAGTCCCCTCATTGAGAAGCACCCAGACCTGATTGATGGCTTGATTCCTCGGTCTGAGAAGCGCAGGGGCCTCTCAGTGATGGCTCAGCACACGGGGGCGCGGTGGCCCCTTCACCTTTGTCCTGACGTTGAACACTTGTTATCTGGAACTTGTTGGGACGTTTAAACTGTGAGACTTCAGGTGATGTTTTCTTGATAAGATTCCTGCAGCCTCAGAGACAAGTTACTAAAACGAAGGGAATCATGCTTAAGGCTCCCTGGAGACCATGGCCTTGGGAACGGCTGGGGCACAGAGCTAGGCGGCTGCGCCAGTGAGCCTCGCCTGGCCAGGGTCTGGGGCTCTGTGGCGTAAAACTGGCCCCAGGGTTTTGACATCCCAGTCCTGGGCACCATGCGCACGCCCAGTCAATGCCCGTCGGCCCCCGGGTGTGTGTCCCCCACTTCCTGTCCCTAACCGCGCTCTCCCCTCGGCTCTGCCCCCAGGTCGTGGAGAGGAGGAGGACCCCAGCCGAGATCCGAGAAGAGTTTGAGCGGCTGCAGAGAGAGCGGGAGGAGAGGCGACTGCAGCAGCGAACCAATCCCAAGGTGAGCCGCCGGCCTGCCCCACCGCTGCGGCACGGCTGTCCTGCCGGAAGGCCGGTCGCCGGTGGTGTCAGGTTCAGACTCACTAGGTGCTGGTGGTGTCGGAAAGGAGTCACGTGCCAAACTGAACCAGCCCCGTGGTTTTCCCGGAACCCAGGGAGACCCAGCGCGGGCTCGCCCTCAGGCATTTCCCCAGGCCGCCCCGTGCAGAGCCTTGCCGGGTGGAGGCCTGGGGGAGGACGGTGTCTCGGAGGGGCAGCCCCCCCCCCCAGCACACACTGAGGCAGAGGGCTCCTCGCACTGGCCGGGGAGGGCTGGGTAACGCGGAGGGTTTGGGACGTTTCCAACCGCACTAAGCAGGGGGCCCGGCCCGACATCCCAGGACAGCGGCACCACGCACGCCGGCCACCAGGCTGCTGCGGCAGTGGTGCGGTGACCCCCTTGTACTCGGTCAGGTCCCCGATGGGGTCCACGTCGGTAATCAGTGACGCCCCTGAGTCTGGGAGTTGCTTTTCAGTCCTGCAAACGAGGCCTTCTTTCTTTAGTTTGTCGGGGAAGCAGATTGTTCTGATGCGTGCCCCAGCCCTGTGGCAGGTAGGCCGTCTCGGTCCGTCTGAGGTGCCAGCTGTACCGAATGCCTCATTGAACGCAGCCCGGTGTTCAGTCAGGGGACTCAGTGGCCGGGCTGGCCTAGCAGGCAGCTTGAAACTCTTCTAAAAGACTTTTGGTTTTACATTTCCATAGACTGGGGAAGGGAGAGGGAGAGGGAGGGAGAGAAACATCGGTCGGTTGCCTCTAGCATGCCTTCAATTTGGGACCTGGCCCACAACCCCAGGCATGCGCCCTGCCTGGGAATCGAACCTGTGACCTTCCCATTCACAGGCTGGCACTCAGTCTTCTGAGCCACACCAGCCAGGCTCTGAAAACCTTCTGAAGAAAAGAACAGGTGCTAGCTCACAGCTGGAAAACATGATAACACGGACTTCCGATCAAACACATTCTGGAAAGTAGAAGACCGCCCCCCCCCCCGACAGTGTTTAGAGGACTGGATGTCTAGAAACCTCCTGTCTGTCTGAATCTTGCATTTCAGAGCCTTTCTGTGCGTGCCAGCACCTCGCCTCCCCACCCACCCTCCCCTGCAGCAGATGACGGCCTCAGCCGTGCACGGCTGTCTTGGTCAGACGGAGGTAGAGAAGTGAATCACTGCAGACGCCAGCCTGGGGAGTAGGCGATAATTAACGCTGAAAATCTCCGAGGCGCCCTGAACTTGAGGGTTCCCTCCTTGGCTTTCCCGGCTGGTGCTGGGGCAGGTCTGGCTTGAAAGGTCGACACTGGCAGGTGGCGGCGAGGGTGGCGGGGGTGGGCAGGAGCGTGGCCGGAACAGGCTCTGGCTCTGGTGCCTTCGCCATTCTGGCTGGAGTGTTGCTGCGTTTGGAATGGCAAAGGGGAAAAAGAGAGCGTCGCGGCAGCCCGAGCCGGCGGCCGAAGCGCCGTCTGGGTGTGCGCAGCGACCAGGACTCCACGGAAGTGCGTCTCCGGCCACGTTTGTGCAGTGGGTGGCGGGGGGGTGGGGCGCAGCTGCGACCCTTCCGTGCAGGCTTGCGAGACGGGGCTGAGTCCCAGCACCTCGCCCCGCCACCGACTGCCTGCGAGCGGGGAAGACGCTCTGTGGCCAGAGAGACCGCGCGGCACCCCGGCGTTGGCTCTGCGGCGTTTTGAGGAGAGGTTTGGGGCCGGACCTTCTGTTCCATTTCCGAGTGTTTTGCTTTTCACGATGAGCAGAAAGATTGAGAACGTCCTTATCCTAAGAAGAAAGGGGTGGTCTCCTGCTTGAAGAAGGCCACAGGGAGGAGGACCCTTGTGATGACCATCGGGCTCAGCGCTGGCCTGTCCCCCGGGCCCCAGAGAGGATCGCAGCTCGTGGGGGTCGGTGGATGAGACACCGTCTGGGATACCGCCGCCCGAAACCGGGGCGGATATCTCTGTGCATTTTCGTCAACGAGAGGCCGTTGGCGGGGGTTTCTAGGAGGAGTGTGTGCCCGGAACAGGCAGAAAGGTCAAGGGGGAAAGTCGTGGGTCGGAAAGTCTGGCTCTGGCAGGGGCACGGACCAGACCGCTTGACGAACGTACAGTTTCTCGTGTATAAACCAGGGGTGTAAGTCCTGACTGCCACCCCCATGGTTAAATGGCTGAAAAAGGTAGGAGGTAGATACTAAATTGTTAGGGAACGGCGGGCCTGCTGGACAGACGCAGCGTGGTCTGTGTCAGTGCCTCACTCAACCGTCACCTGCGTGCGAGCTCGGTGTCCGAACCGCGGGCCCCCTGTCACACGGAGGGAGACGCGGGGCCACCGGACGGGCAGGGGCGGGGGCTGGGGCCGAGGGGCTCCCAGAGACCCTCGGGATCTGGAGTCGGGTCCTCGGGAACGCTGGGGACTACAGTCCGACGCGGCTCTCGGAACGAGTCGGTGAGCGAGTTCCTTGTCGCCTGCCCACGCCATGCGCCCGCCCCCCACCATTGCGGAATTTTCAGCGAGCGAGTAGCTGCCGTGGAGATGACACGTGACAGGAATGCTGCCCCCCCCCCCGCCCCCCATTGCCCTTGTGGCCGCATCACGGAACGTGAGCACAGAAGTGGCTCGGGATGGAATGTCCCTGACGGAAGGAGGACTGACTCGACTGCAGGAGGGGCGATGAACGCATCATCTCCCCCCCCCCCCCCAAGTGGGAGCTGCTCATCCGGGGCAGGGGCTCCAGTGTGTGTGCTCAGAATTTCTGAGTGAAGTCAGAACAGCTGTGTTTGTCACGCTGACGGGCAAACCATGGTGGAGGGACAAGACCGAGGTTCCAAGGTCCCGGCTGGAGGGGCTAGACTGGAGGGGCGGATAGACGCAAGGGGGGAGGCGGGAAGCGGCGGCACGGCCAGCAACCAGGGGGACCGGCCAGGAGAAGACCTGGCCCCGTGTGCAGAGCCCCAGCAGACCCAGGGCTTCCTGGAGACGGCGCTTTCGTTTCCCTCCTCGCTGGCGGGCTCCCGGGAGTGTCGTCGCCGCACGTGAGGGGCTGTGCACGCAACTCGCCGTGGCTGCCCTCCCCACGGCTGAGCGCGGGGTTGGGCGCGCGCCTTGGAGCAAGGGCAGCCGCTGGGACCCGCTGCCTGTTTTTGTCCAGCCCACGAGCTAATAAGAGTGGTTCTTGCTACATTTTTAGTGGTTGTTAAGAAATCAGTATTTTGTGACACCCCCAAAACGATCTGAAACTCAGCTTTCCACGTCCATAAATAAAGTCTTATCTGAGCCCAGTGAAGCCGGTTCGGTGTATGTGTGTTGCCGTGGCGTTCCGCACACGGCAGCTGCCCGCCGGCCCCTGACAGAGCAGGGTGGACGGCGCCGCCCAGGGAGAGAAGGGCAAACTGTGCTCCAGGCAGGGGAACAAGATGCTTCCAAAGTGTCACGATTGGGACTTGGGGGCAGAGATTACTTCCAAGCACTTTCCTCTGTAAACGCGCTTTATTTGGAAAATGTGATTTAATAACAATTTAATAATAAAAGGACATGAGCATGTGTATTAGAAGTTGTTGAAAAAAACCTAACCCATTAATGTATTCAATGTCAGAATTCAGTTTATCTTTTTTTTTTTTCCATATTCTTTTTGATCCTCTGTGGAAATTCAAATCTGGCTTTCGTCCCCCTCAAAGGTGTGACTTCTCCCCGTGTAAAAAAGTAGACTATCTCGAAACAGAAAGTGAGCTGCCAGCTGCCAGCCAGCCCCTCTCTGGTGTGCAGAGAAGAGCCTTTTGCGTCTGCTGCTGTGGCCGTCCATTTTCAAAGGGCGTTTGCTTGGGGTGGAAGAAGAGCAGAGGGCAGCCACCCACCCCACTCTCGGAGGTACTGAAAGTTGTGTCCTTGTCCACTCCGAGCGACCAGACCAGCCCTTCCCGGGGGCAGTCGGCCCCTCCGCACGCCCCCCGCCAGGTAGCCCTCCCTAGACACGGGCCGGCGCCAGAGGCTGCCGAGCCCCAGAAGCCAGCGGCGCGTGAGGGGGCTCGGGTGGGTGGGGCTCGCCGGAAGGAGGAAGGACGGACGGTTGGAAAGGGATGGCCTGAGCAGTGTTTCTAGACCTCTCAAGGCCACTCCGCCCTCTGGTGAAAATCTGTTGTCGGTGTGGCGTTGCCATAGACATTTATCATTTTCACAGTTTTTTTCAGTGAGAAAAGGAAAGGAAATAAAACCCTGTTTTACATTCTGTACATTTTAGTCAGCCCAGTTAGACAAATGATAAAAGACGCAAACGTTGAAAGAGCCACCACGACCTGTGTGGGACACGGCTGGTTGCCTGTCTTTAAAGAGCCCGCTGACGCCGGGCCGCCGCCGAGCTGCACGAGGCGGCCGGTCGCAGAGTGCAGGGACACGCGTCAGGGGTCCTGCCCTCGGTGCCTTGTGGCCTCGGGGACGGTGGCGCGGCCTCCCCGGACCGCTTCCCTCCGCGCCCAGCACGGCAGCCAGCCAGCGTGAGCCTGCAGCACGCTGGTCCCACTGGTCGTCCCACTTGGAGAGCTCCGGGGGCCTTGCCGCCGTCGGTCGTAAGCCAGCGTCCTCGGAGCGGCCTGTGGACAAGGTGGCCCCGCAGCTCACCATGCAGACCAGGACATTTTGAGAGCAAAAGAGGGTGCTTAAAATAATAATTATTTAGAATATTTATCGGCCAACCCTGGTTTTATTCTATTGAGGGACCTGTAAGAAGGTTTATTCAAAACCGTTGTCAGGCCCTGGCTGGGTAGCTCATCTGGTTAGACCATTGTCCCGACGCTCCAAGGTTGCAGGTTCGATCTCCAGGCAGGGCACACACAGGAATCAACCAGCGGCCATCAGTAAGTGGAACAACACACCAATGTTTCTCTCTCTGTATACATCTGTCTCTGTTCCTCTCCCCCCTCTCTCTATACAATCAATCAGTAAATACTATTTTCAAAAATAAAATCTTTCTCGGACAGGCTGCACATCTCTGTTCAGAATCAGCTTCATGAAAATTATTCTGTTGCTGTGAACACACAAGAACAGCTGCTCAGTTTAACACCTACAGCTCTGTTTTCCATGGGAGGGCTGCCGCAGCTGGTTGTGAGACAGCCATCCATTCCTGCACTGCAGCTAGTTCGAGAGCATCCCGACCCCCGGTTCTCGGTTCAGTGCAAACACTCTCACCGTGACGCTGCACCTCACCCCAGCCGGTGCTGGAGTGTCACCACAAACCAGTCTTACGTTCAGTGCGGCGCTTTCTGACCCAGCTGATCAGACCAGCCAGTCGCAGCCTGTCACCCTTGACAAACCAGTGGGTGTCAGGGCCGCCTGGCTGACGCTCTGCTGGGAGCCTCTGGCTGGCACCCACGGAGCCCTGGCATCACTCACCCGCAGCCGGGGGGGGGGGCCTCCTGCTCACAGGACCCGCACCCAACACCCCTTGCTTCATCTTTCCTTGGGCGCTGTGGTCTTCAAATGGACACGTGAGTGGAATTAACAGAGGAACTACCATTTGGCGCAAATGAAGTCATTTTTATAGTTAGGTGCAGATCCACTGCAGTGCTGCCCACTTTAGGCGCTTAAAAGAACAACTGACTATCGAAGAAGGTGCTAGAGCTTCTTTAGCAAATCTAAGACTTGATTTTCAGCCCTGCGCAGGTAGCTCAGTTGGTTCGAGTGTAGTCCCAATGCACCAAGGTTACGGGTTCCGTCTCTGGTCAAGGCACACACAAGAAGCAGCCAGTGAGTGGGTAACTAAGTGGAACAACAAACTGCTGTTTCTCTCTCCCTTTTTCTCTCTAAAAAGACGTGATTTTCACATGTTTGCAGTTAACACTACAGATGGTCAGTGTTGAAAAACATTCAAGTTACAGAAGTTCATTAACTTTCCGGGGAAGTGAAAATGTAGTACCTTTTATTTTTAACCTACAGCATGTTTAATCTCATTGCTGCCTGAAGAGTTCGCCCAAAGAGAAAGCCTTGGTCACATCCCCCCGTCCCCCCCACCCCCGAGAAAGAGGCCCTGTAGGTTCTAGCAGGCGGTGCCTGGTTTGCCCCCTGTTTGTTCTTTGTGTGAGCTGCGGGGCAAGAACGTTTCTCCCGTTTTTAAATGCTCGAAAACAAAAGAACAGCAGTGTTTTGAGACGTGAAAAGTACATGAAAATCAGGTTTCAGAATCAGTGGGTGAGGCGGTGCTGGGAGGCAGGCCCCGGTCCTTGACTGGGCCGTCTGGCTGCTCTCCCTACGACAGCAAAGTCAGGTTGCGACAGAAACTACGGTCTATGGTTCACGGCACCTAAAACATATTTTTAGTTTTTACTTATTGGTTTGAGAGAGAAACACTGATTTGTTGTTTGTTCCATTACTGATGCACCCATTGGCTGATCTGGTGTGTGCCCTGAACGGGGGCTGAACCTGCAGCCTGGGCGGACCAGGACGGCGTGCCGACCCACTGGGCTACCCGACCTAGGCTAAGTCAAGTCTTCCCTGGGGCCCCACAGAGCAGCGCCACCCTGATGCCCGTGCATGTTCGATGACAAAGCACTGGCGAGGGTGTTGGGGCTGCTCTCGCGCGTGCTGCAGGACTGGCCCGCCGCTGTTTCCCACACGTGTCCTCGTCCCCCTGGAGTTTCCAGTGGATGTGGCCGGACGGCGGCTGGACAGCTGTATACACGTCACAGGCCAAAGCACTGGCCACCTGGGTGCCCGATGCGCCAAGTGGGCAGCAGCATCTAATTCCTCTCCCACCACCAACAGACTGGCAGGCATTAGCTCTGCAGAGCCCCCGACCAGCAGGAGGCACCTGCAAGCAGGTCCTAGGGTGGGAGGGGCTGCACCTTTCACCTGGAAAGAGATGGGAGAAGAGTGACGGGCAGTCCTGGTCATCTCCCAGAGTCACCGTGCATCTCATGCAGCATCAGATGGGACGGTGGCTGGTGCCAGAGGTGCAAGGTGAAGGCCTGTCCACCAAAGCCCCTCTGTCTTCTCAGTCTAAGGCACCCGTCGGCCGTGTCTTCGATGATGACAATAGTAATACTTTAAAAATGGAAATCTGGTGTTACTGCTCTACCAGCCTAAACAAGAGGGTTGACTGGTATTGTCCCCCAAGCTTTCCCCATGTGCGACACCCCCTCCGAGTTCCTCGCTGGCCGCCTCCTTCTGCTCCAGCCCCACTGGCCTGCTCACGCCCCTGGATGCCTGCAGGCTCATCCCTGGTTCCCCTCACATCTGCTCACGTGCCCCTTCTCAGGGAGAAAACCCCCCCCGGGGCCACTTGTGGGGTGGTAGGAGGGGTGGGAGAAGTGCTCTGTGTCGTGGGTTCGGAAGTGGTTGCACACACGTAGATGAATCTGTGGAAGTTCATTGCGCACTTCAGATGGGTGCCGTTTATATCGCATGTGGACCCAATCTGGTTTTTAAAAACAGGCCACAGAAAACGTAATAAAAATATGTGCGGTCATGGTTTTACATGTTAGGTTAAGATACACCCCCATCTGCAAAGTCTTAAGGAAATAATGCACATTGGTTTTCTGAGTAAGCGGTATTTTTATCAGTCAGCAAAATTTTAACTTAGTAATTCTTAAGAATATTGGGTTCTGTTTCTCAAAGCTCAATTCTCAAATTAATTTTAGCAGGTGGAACAATTTTCCAGTCTCCCAATTGTTCATAATTCGTTTTGCTTGCAGTTCTTTGCCTTAGAAAGCATTTTTATGTTTTAAACAATTTCCAGGTAGTTTTGTGATGTAAGGGTATTTACAGGAAAATGTTTAATTCATGCAGCTCATTTTGAGGTTGTTTTCTATGTTCATGGGCTAAGTCTGGACACCATCTGTTTATAGAGCCATGAAATGTGTCCTGTTCGGCATGCCCTTCGCCACCAGCACGACTGGTTTTCAGACTCAAGGTCGGCGGCGCTCTGCAGTGGCTTGATCTGAACCGTGACCTTCGGGCTCTATCGGCTCCTGGCCGAGCCCTGCCTGGACCCAGCGGCCCCGCCCGCCCACTGCCGCTGGTGGGGCGCGCCGTCTCACTGCGCAGGGCCCTCCGCTCGTGCTGACTGCTTGTTTCTCCGCCCAGGGGACCATCAGCGTGGGCATCGATGCCACTGACCTCTTTGATCGCTACGAGGAGGAGTACGAAGATGTGTCCGGAAGCAGCTTTCCGCAGATTGAAATTAACAAGATGCACATATCGCAGTCTATCGAGGTACGTGCAGTGCGCAGGCGCACCCCCCAACCACCACGGCAGTGGGCGGGGCCACCAGGCACAGCGCCCCACGCAGCTGGGACGGGGGCTTGTGCTCAGGGTCTCTCCCATTGTATCTGGGAAAGGGTGCGGCGAGCCACTGAGGGAAGAGCCCCCGGCACAACCTGTGGGTCACTGCTTTGCCCCGCGTTAGCAGCACGAGTGCGGAGGCAGGGGCTTAGCTTCCAGAGTCCGGACGTGGCAATGCCAGGCCACTCTGCTGAGGGGCCCCGCGACCTGTTTCTTCTCCAGTGCGTCCTCCGGGGCCTGAGGCCCTGGCTCAGCCGGCCCAGGCAGGGGAGGCCCATAGTGAAGCTGCCCTGCAGGCGGACGCTGTTGGCACGCGGGGAACCAGCGCTTGGCCCTGTTGTTGCTTCTCCTGGGCTTTTGACATTTTGCAGTTAAGGCTCTTAGAAAACATGGCCTTGGTGGCCACATGCCCCTCAGACGGCGAAGCATGGGGGAAGGGCTGCCACTGAAGTAACTGCTTCCCAACTCCCTCAGCTGTGGAAGCGCCTGCACTTAGGGCCTTGCTCCTCGGGGTTCATTGGGCCGCTGTGCTTGGCACTTCCTGTTGCTTCGACGGTGTTACCAGCGAATGTCGTTTCCTAGGCACCGCTGACGGCCACGGACACGGCCATCCTGTCGGGGAGCCTCTCGACCCAGAACGGGAACGGAGGGGGCTCCATCAACTTCGCGCTCAGACGGGTCACCTCCGCCAAGGGATGGGGCGAGGTGAGAACGCCTGAAGGCCGGCCCTCAGAATCCGTAACGGGGTGCCGGGGGTCAGACTTCACAGGTTCACTCCCCCCGGGAGAAAAACGCCTCCCGCCCACCCGAGAGCTCCCCTCAGCCTGCCCGACAGCTCGGAGTCAGGCCAGAGCCCCAGACTGTCCCCGGAGGTGCCAGCTTCCGGAAATCTCACCTCCGGAAACTCGGCAAAAACCGAGAAGGCTCTCCATCTTCCTGGACAACTCAGAGGGCAGTGCCTCTGCCTGGGTGCCCTGGTCCACTGATCAGCGGCCACTGAACAGCCGGTTCTGCCGCGCGGATCGAGCTGCATCTCATTAGCACCGAGGAGTTGCCCAGAGAGTCCCCCGGACTAGTCAGTGAGGCCGCCGGGCCTGGCAGGGCGCCCAAGGCTGGTGCGGAACTGCTGATGGGCCTAACATTGGGCCCCCGAGAGCCGTCTCCAGTCTCCTGGGATACCTGCGGGCGGCGAAGCAGGGCCGGCGGGGAAAGGCAGAAATGAGGGCCTTGCAAGGGGGGCAGGGGGTGGGGACCCACACCTGGCTGCTCGGGCAGGCGCTCTGCGGACACAGGGGGCCGGGGAGGACTGTTTCCTTGGGGCGGGGGGGGCTCCTTTCAGGGGCAGGGAGCTGCCTCCTGTGGGTCGGCGAGCCCAGTGCGCTCTGGCAGAGTGGGAACACACAGCAGGCCTCTGCCCGCCCCTCCTCCAGAGTGCCGGCCTGGGACCGGGCCACCGCCGGGAGATAAGACACCGTTAATGCTTCTCCTTTTCCTGTTTTGAACAGTTAGAGTTTGGAGCTGGGGACCTGCAGGGGCCTCTCTTTGGTCTAAAGCTGTTCCGCAATCTCACACCAAGATGGTAAATATAAAGAGATACCCCTCTCTGCGGGTCCTTGTGGATGTAGGACGCTGGAGGCTGTGCACTCTCTCTGTCGAGGTCATCTGGAGCGGCCCGTCTGCCCTGCCGGGTCCCCAGGGCAGGGCGCAGGGGCACACGGGTGGGTTCTACTTCTGCCCGGCGCTCCGCCCCGCCGGGTCACCATGGGCTGTGAGGAGCCTGCGGGGGGGCGGGGGGGGCGGGGCCTTCACAATGGGGACGTCGGTCCGCAGTCGGACATGTGTGAGCTCGCGCACGGTTTCTTTGTCCCGAGAACGCGCAGAAAGCTCTGAAAGGGGGCTCCATGGGCAGTGGGCAGCTTGTGAGACCTCCCGGCGTCAGGGAGTGGCTGTGCGGACCTCCGACCCCTCCGGCAGTGATGTCAAACTCCGGTCCCTCCCAGAGCAGCAGGGGTGGCCCCCAGCCCCATGTGGGGCACCAGAGTGAGCTTTGGTGAAATGCAGCGCGGGGCAGCCTGGGATGGGGCAGCTCGCGTCCCATTGGCTGTGTGTCCGTGCGGGGCAGCCTGGGATGGGGCAGCTCGCAATCCCATTGGCTGTGTGTCCGTGCGGGGCAGTCTGGGATGGGGCAGCTTGAGTCCCATTGGCTGTGCTTGCCTGCCGCTGTCTGGCAGTGAGAGCAAGTCCGCGGGGTCCATGGGATGTACGGAGCGTAAGGGGAGTGTTGGAGACACGGCGCGTGCGATGACCGCAGCCTGGGCAGAGACCGCAGGGAGGGGCTGCTCCAGGCTCCGATGTCGGGTCGAGCCCGGCCTCTCCAGCTCTGCTCTGGGGTGTGGGCTGGTGGTTCGGGGAGAGGGACACGGATTTGTGCTTGTTGCCAGCACGTCGGGTGAACAGTGTGTCCCCTGCGCGTCAGCGTTGCCCTGCCCCTGTCTGCTCGGGGTCATCACCTCGGATGCTGGCGGAGGGCCCAGCTCCTTGTCCCCCCCAAGAGCGGGCCCTCCTGGGGAGGGGCCCGCGCCTCCCTGGTTTGAGCAAGCAGAGCAGGTCATTCTGAAGATCGGACGCGTGAGGAAATGCGTCTTTGAGGAAAATCCGTTGGCCTTTTCGTTCTGGTTGAGCCTCAAAGCGTGTGTCCACAGAGGGGGTCACCTGGCTCCAGGGCCGCTGGTCGTCAGCTTTTGCAGGTGTGGAATTTCCCCCAGAGTCTCCAGCTCATCAGACTTGAGTGAAGATTCACAAACAAGGACTCCGGTCTGCTAATTTGCCGTGTCTCAGGGCGCCCGCACCCCAGGTCCCGCTGCTCCCTGCACGTCTGAACTGGTGGGCAGAGTTGGTGCGGAGCCGGCCTGGAGAAAGGAAGGCAGAGGTGGTCTGCGGCGTGCGTGGTGGTGTCTCGGGCTGCCTGTGCGGCGCCCGCGCTGCCGGTCTCTCCCCGAAGTGTGTCTGTCTCTCTAGGACACGCTGGATAAAAATGTACAGGGGTCTCACTCTTCATATTTTGGTTCGTTAAATGTCCCTGTGTCCCTTGTCTTAAAATTCTAGGGGCGACTTTTGTCCCTCTTCCGGCTTGCGCCCCTGACCCCAGTAAAGCCGCGGGGTGCAGCTCCATGGCGCACTGACGGCGAGGTCGGGGTGGGGCCTGAGGAGCGTGAGGAGCTCCTGCGTGTGGCCGTGGGAAGCTACTGGAAGCCTGCGAGTGAGGAGGGACTACGGTCAGGGTTACCCCACTTGTTACCATTTCAAAGGCAGAAGCGACGCCTCCGGGCTTCGGAAGAGGAGAAGGGGACTGGACAGGAGCTGCTGGCTGCAGGCTCGGTTGCTCACTTGAGACACCTGAGTCGAACCGTGTGCGGTGCTTTGTTAGCGAGATGAAATACCCCTTTCTAACCAGAAGGTGGGGCTGCCTCCCCGGAAACCAGCTTCCGAGGAGGCCTTTCCCGGGAATGGTCAGCCGCGCGACAGGCACCAAGGAGGAGAAGAGAGGGCGTGGCCTTGACCCCGGTTTCGCTGCTGGCCGATGAGATGCAGGAGCTTCACTCCTGGCGCTAGCCAGCCTGTGGGACAGTTGGTTTTGTTGCATTTCGTGTGACTTAAAGCACAGGACCTGTCAAGGACACGGAGGACTTCCCGTACCAGCTGTGCAAGTGGCTTCCATCCACAGCTGTCCATCCGAACCCTGTGGGCAGCCTCGTGGTGCCCGGGCCTCGCCTGGAAACCCCGGCCGCACCGGTCCGGGCGGGCTCTGGCTGGTTCTCGGGCTCTGCTGCGCCTCCCGTCACCTGGCGGGCTTTCCCCACTCTCGGACCAGAGTCCCTCGGGCAGGGCCCGTGGGCAGTGCTTTCTAGATCGGCAGGGGATCTAGCGTGCGGCCAGTTGGGGAGCCTCCCATGTGCCTGATGGGGACCCGCAGTCGGACTGGCCCTCTGGCAGGTGCCTCTGTGGTTGCGGCTGAAGCGGGAATGGACGGGGTGGGCAGAGCAGGGGAGCCAGGCAGTTGCTGGGACGGTTCCACCGAGTCGCCCTCGTCTCCCTCTTGTGCTAGAGGCTTGGTCTCCTGCTCTCCGTGCCAGAGCCAGCCCCGGGGTGGGGGGAAGGGGGTGAGCCGGGTTTCAGCCGAGAGGACGGGGCCGGGAACAGCTGAGAGCCAGGCGTCACCCAGGATCCCCTGTCTGTCCCCCCAGCTTCGTGACGACCAACTGTGCTCTGCAGTTTTCATCCCGCGGCGTCCGGCCCGGCCTCACCACTGTCCTGGCTCGGAATCTGGACAAGAACACCGTGGGCTACCTGCAGTGGCGATGGGGCATCCAGTCGGCCATGAACACGAGCATCGTCCGGGACACCAAAACCAGCCACTTCACCGTGGCCCTGCAGGTGGGGGCCGCATGCGCTCGTGCCCTCCCTCGGCCCGCGGCCCGCACCTGCTCGCCCCGCCGGAATCCGAGCGCCTGCGGCCTGGTGGGGCAGGTGTCGACCCCCGCTCGGGTGCTGGCACGCCGTGGTTCTCAGGCTCCCGGGGAGCTGCGTTCAGTCACCCTAACGCCGCGTGCCTCTTTCACGTCTCCCGGCGGGAGGAGCCCACAGAACCAGGGTGCGGGCAGCCTGGCGGAGCTGAGCGCACAGATGCCACTCCGGCCGGCGGGGGCACGGGAGCTGCTGGCGTGACGGACTGCAGGCTCGGTGGTGCAGACATTTTTATTTATTTTATTTTTTTTTATTTATTTTTTAATATTTTATTTATTTATTTTTTAGAGAGGGAAGGGAGAGAGAGAGAAACATCAATGTGCGGTTGCTGGGGGTTATGGCCTGCAACCCAGGAATGTTCCCTGGCTGGGAATCGAACCTGGGACACTTGACATTTTTGTTTTTAACACGATGAGATAGAAGACTGGGTTTCACGTGCAGTCTCCCAGTGTTTTAAATATCAGCGGCAGGGAGGTGTCCACACACGTCGTGCTGTGTGCGCGGGGGCCCCGGCGCCCCGGCCTCCAGCCCCGGTTTCCTGCCCTGTCTTCTCAGCTGGGAATCCCTCACTCCTTTGCACTGATCAGCTACCAGCACAAGTTCCAGGATGACGACCAGACTCGTGTGAAAGGGTCGCTTAAGTGAGTCCTGGCCTGGCTGACAGGGAGCGTGCCGGTGAGGGTTCTGGCGGTGGAACCGGTTGGTGGAACGTGCACACCCATGTTCCTCTGTCGTGCGAGACGTTCTCAAGCGCCTCCCACCGAGGGGCGGCGGGAGTTACTGCTGTGCGGTCCCAGGGGTCGGGAGACTGGGGATCGAATGGACGACTGGACCGTCGGGGTCCTGGCTTTGTTCTGTTCACGGGCCGCGAGTGGCGGGGAGGGCCAGGCGGAGGGTGGCGGCAGACCCAGTGCTGCTCTGAGTGGCTGTGCCCGGGCGTGGGGGCCGGGGGCCTGCTCGCTCACCGCCGTCCGCTCCCGCAGGGCCGGCTTCTTCGGGACGGTGGTGGAGTACGGGGCCGAGAGGAAAATCTCCAGGCACAGCGTTCTCGGGGCCGCGGTCAGCATCGGGGTTCCCCAGGGCGTCTCTCTCAAAGTCAAGTAAGTCGCGTCGGAGATCTGTGGCCACGACAGGTTATTGGGCTTCCTGTGACCCGCCTGGGCCTCACCTGTGCTGGGGGACGAAGCAGGTGTCACTGCACAGTGTCCTCAGAGGGGTGTTCAAACAAACGTCGGGACCCGTGGGCCCACCTTCCGCTGGTGAGGTCTGCTCCCCGGCCGTCGTCCACCGGCCTGTGTCTCCTCTGCCCTCTGCCGCCCTCATGGCCCTGGACCCAGCCCAGGTGCTGGCTCCCCCCGCCCGCTCAGCGACACGGCTCACCACGGCACGCGTGTACCCAGCGCCCTTGGCGGCACAGGCAGGGCCAGGTCACCCTCCACTCAGGTCCCTCCCACCCTCGTCTGTCCGGGCTCACTCCCCGGGGGTCTCACCGAGCCTCAGCCTCGTGGCTTCAGGTGCCCTCACGCGCTGAAGGCTCGCGTTTGAGTCCCAGTGGGCCCTCCCCGCGCCTGGTCTCCAGCTCACGCGTCTGACTTCCTTCCCCCTCTCGGGCATGCTTCGCACAACCTGCTGTGCCCAAGAGAGGGGGAAGGAAGACCTCCAAGGTCTTTCCCTCTCAGTGAGGGTGACCCCGTCCTGCCAGTGTTCTGCTCCAGCCCTCGGAGTTAGCCTTGACCGTGCTTTTCCCACACACTGCCTTGAATGCTCCTGGGAGCCACCTCAGCACCGCAGCAACCACAGAGCCCGAGGGGCCACAGCCCCACCCCTCCCCTGCCTGTGTCTGAGTCACTGCCGTGTCCCCACTGGTCTTGCGCACAGGCAGGGTCTCGTGAAAGTGTAAGTTAGCTGCGTTCCACTTCACCCTTCTGCTGAAGCCCGCAGGGTCTGCCTCAGTGCAGGGCCGCCTTTGGGGCCCCATGCAACTTGGCCCCTCGCCGTCCTTCTGAGCTCCTCCCCTCCCATGCACCCCCGCGCTCCCACCGGGCTGGCCCCCACACTGCTTCTGGGACACACAACTGACTGCCCTCGGCATCCGCAGTTCCCTGGTCCCCGGACAACTACACGGTTGGGCCCTTGGACCCCTCAGGTCTCTGCTGAGGTATCACCAAACCGCCAAGACCGCCCCTCGCCTTGCCACAGGCAGTCCCTTTTCTGGTCCTCTGTTCATTCTTCTCCATCGCACCGACCTCTGCCAGTGCTCCGGAGCCTAGAGCACTGCCTGGCCCCGCGGCTGTGCCAAGACCCCAGGAGGGGAGAGAGGATGCAGAGCGCACCTCTGTGTTGGAGATGAGCGTCGAGGCAGGTCCCCGGGGTCAGCTCAGGTTGGAGAGCAGAGTGCGCTCCTTCCCTCCACTGTTAGCTTGTTGGGGGCAGTGACTGGGACCCGGCGTCTACTCCTGTTGCCCGCGGGCCCGCTGACCCGTAGCCATGTGGGCAGTCACGTCCATCCACGTTGGCCAGGGCGGCAGTGCCTGCTGGGAGCCGGGCCGCAGGCCCAGTGCCAAGGGGCAAGGCCGTCGTTGGGGGGTTGGGGGGAAACGACTCCTTCAGCGCCTCCAGCGAGACAGGCGCTGGCGAGCACGTGCCCAGGGCGGGGTTTGCAGACTCGGACCCCCCCCCAGGGGTGGATGAAGTTCCCCCTGCACCCACCCCAGGCCCTTTCCCCTGAGCGGCTGGTCACCGGCAGGGAGGACGGCACCAATAATGGTGCCCACAGGCGCCACACGGCTGGCGAGGGGAGTTCTGGGGACAGGAGTGCCATTCAGATCGTGTCGCGTGACAGCCGTGTTGGAGAAGTATTTAAAACAGACGCCGAGTCACAATGCTCTGCGCCTAGTTGGTGGCCCAGCGTGGGAGGGGGCGGGAAAGGACTAGAATGCAGAAAGTCTGACAGCTCTCTGCGGCTTTTATGAGACCTCGGCCGTCCTCTGGCCCGAGGCAGGCATGGCGGCCGGTGGAAGTCAGGACGACGGTCTGACCAGAGGGCCGTAGTGCCTGTCAGCCGCTGACCCTGCGGTCCTCAGTGCGGCATCCTCGTCCGCTTCCTTCGAACACGTCAGCCGAGGGCTGAGGCGGGACTGTCCCCTGGCCCCCGGGGGCGAGTCCTCTCCCGTCTTCTAAGGCCACGTTGGCCCTGGTCTGGCGCCGGTCCGTTGCTCTGCCCTCGGCCATCAGCAGGACCAGGGCTGACTGCTGTCGCGCACATCAGACGCAGCAGCTGAACTCGGAACAGGGGCGCCCAGCGGAGTGGGCCGAGAGCGGGCCGCGGGGGTCCTTCCGGCCGGCGTCCCGGGTCCCTGAGAGGCACTCTTCCCGGGCGGGGACCTGCCACCCTTCACCAGGCACCTGCCTCGGCGTGGACGTCCACTTTGGGTTTGGTTTTCAGGCTGAACAGGGCCAGTCAGACGTACTTCTTCCCCATCCATCTGACGGACCAGCTCCTCCCCAGCGCCGTGTTCTACGCCACCGTGGGGCCCCTCGTGGTCTACTTCGCGATGCACCGCCTCCTCATCAAGCCGTACCTGCGGGCGCAGAAGGAGAGGTGAGCCCGGTGCGGGCGGCGCCGACCGCCTCTGTGCCCCGGCGTCCTCGTCCTTTGGGGGGGGGAGCGCCACGACGGGAGCCCCCGGGGGTCACCGGGAAACTCACATTCCCTGGTGCCTGCGGAGCGTGCCCGGGGGCGTGTCGTCCGGCCCTGTGCTCGGGAAGGGCCGGCGAGGGTTCACCGACCTGCCGGAGCTTCACGCCAGGACGACGACAGACGAACAGTGGTGGGGTTTTCCCTCACACCGACCACTCGCGCTCCAGGCGCCGAGTCTACGTGGTTTCCGTGGGGGACCCGTCATGGCGCAGTGATCGCAGTTCGTAAATCACGGAGCTCCGGCTGCCGTCTCCACCCGGTGCGCCGCGGGCGTCTGTGAAGCACGCGGTCCTGGCTGGGCAGCCGGGAGCACGGCCCCTTGTCCCCCCGACTGTCAGATAAGCTGGAAACGACAGCCACCAATGACACAGCAGTGGCCGTCCAGTGTGAATGAGTCAGAATGGTCAGCAAAAACGACACGTTTTTTGGTGTGCCACAGAGTTTTAGTAGCTGTGTGTGCCATGGGACGGGCAGGGTTGGACGTGGCCGAGTTCAGCAAGTCTGAGCGGAGGAGTGAGCCTCCGGTTTGGGCCGCTGCCGCCTTTGAATCCCTGGGGTTCAGGGTCCTGGTTGCCCAGGAGGCTTGAGGCGGGAAACAAAGGGTGTGCTGCGTCGCTTCTTCCCGCGGGGCCGGCGTGTGCCGACCCTGTCTCCGCGCTTTCCCCGGGGGCGGGGCGGGGGGGGGTGTATTCCTGCTCCTGCGTCCCAGGTCTCGTGCGTGTGGCGGCCTTCCTGGAAGGTGGGTGGCCTCTCCCGGAGTCTCCTCTTCCTCTGGGAGTCCCTCCCACCTCCCTGGGAGCCCGGTCAGTGGGGGCTTCTCTCCGCAGGGACTGGCAGAGGCTTCCCCGCCGCTGCGTTGCGGAGGCGGGGAGAGCCCTCGAGGGGCGAGGAGAAAGCCGCACGGGCCCTTCACAAACAGATTTGCTGGGGATTGCCTGGGAGATACTTTTTAAAGTTCCAGATCCAGGAACGCAAGCGGACCCACAGGCTATTGGCCGGACGCAGGTCCAGCGCGGGTGAGAGCGTGCTAACGCGAGGCTGTGCTTTTCTCGCACAAGGGAGCTGGAGAAGCAGAGGGAAAGCACCGCCACCGACATCCTGCAGAAGAAGCAGGAGGCCGAGGCAGCGGTAAGTGCTGCGTCGGGTCACCCGTGCTCTGCGTGGGTCTGCGAGCGCCCACCGTGGGCCGAGCTCATGCTGCTGCTCCCCCCCCTCCCTCCGGGACACACTTCTCCCTGCAGTCCCCGGCCCCAGCCCGGGCCTCACTGAGACGTCTTCCCGGGCAGCTGCGCTGGTCCCCGTGGTCTTGACCTTGCCCCTGGCGTGCTATGCTGGGACGTGAGTCCTGGTTCTGGAGATTCAGTGAACCCCGCGAGGCATGGCGAGGTTGTTTCGAAAGTGGCGGGGCCCTGACCCTGGCCTGTGCGGATCAGTGGGTGGGGCATCCTCCCGCAAACTGAACGGTGGGGGTTCCATTCCTGGTCAGGGCAGGTGCCTGGGCTACAGGTTCAGCCCCCAGTCGGGGCACGTACAAAAGGCAGCTGGTCAGTGTTTCTCTCCCTCTCTTTCTCCCTCCCTTCCCCCTCTCTAAACAATAGTGCTGGGTGTTGCCCTTTTATTCTTTCCCTTAAGTGAGTTGTCTTTGAGCGGCAGAACGGAGGCTCCCGGCACTGTCGGGTCCTCTGCGGGGCGCCGCAGCCACGCCAGGCGCTGCTGTGGCTCAGCAGCAAGGCGGGGCCCGGCGAGGGGGCCCTCATGGCCGCCGGCCTCGTTCTTTGCAGGTTCGGTTGATGCAGGAGTCCGTCCGAAGGATCATCGAGGCAGAAGAATCTAGAATGGGTGAGAAGGCACGGCCTCTCCTGGGAAAGGGTGGGCGAGGGGGTCTCCACGGAGCTCGCTGCTCCTGCCGCCCAGCGGCGGGGGGCGGGCGGGGGGCAGAGGGTGCCGGCGGGGCCCCACCCCTAATGACGGAGCCCCGCCCCTAATGACTGAGCCCCGCCCCTAATGACTGAGCGGTCCTCAGGCCTCATCATCGTCAACGCCTGGTACGGGAAGTTTGTCAACGACAAGAGCAAGAAGAGCGAGAAGGTGAAGGTGATCGACGTGACGGTGCCCCTGCAGTGCCTGGTGAAGGACTCGAAGCTCATCCTCACGGAGGCCTCCAAGGTACAGCGCCCCGCCCCCACGGGGGTCGGACGGACGAGGCCTCTGGGGACAGCCCCTTGGAACGGCCGGGTCATCGCAGCGGAGCCCGCCCCGCCGCCAGCATGCGCCGTGCGGGATGCTGCCCGGCACCTCGGTGGCGTCCGCAGTGGACCGGTGTGCTCCACGCATCACTCACTCATTCTCTCCCAAGTACTTGTCAGGCACCTACTGTGCGCCAGGTGCAGCAGCAAACGCACGCGCGCACGTGCATCCTGCCTTTGTGGGGCTCACCTGCCGCTCACCGCTCGCCTTGCTCCGGGTGTGAGAGGTGGCCTGGCACACCCGGGGCCTCGCTGGAGCCTGGGGCGCGGACGTCAGCGCCAGACGCGAGTGCTCGCTCGCTCAGGCCCAGCAGCGCCCGGCTCCCCGGGAAGCCTTGCAGTGTCTGCGTCGTGGTGGGGCTTCTGTGAAGATGGGGTGCCCTGAGGCGGGGGGGAGCTCTGTTGAGAGGGAGGTCTAGGACTAAATAGGCCCTTTTTTCAAATGTTCGTTTCTGTCTCAAGTGGCCAAGTGTGCTGCTCCCGGGGGATGTCAAGGCCCCGCAGAGGGCGCTGTGCCCGCACGTGGCCGCAGACGGTGGCCGTGCGGGGGAGACGGCCGCCTCGAATCCCGTTGCAAATGGGAATCCGTCTGTTGCAGGCTGGGCTGCCCGGCTTCTACGACCCCTGCGTGGGCGAGGAGAAGAGCCTGAAGGTGCTGTACCAGTTCCGGGGCGTGCTGCACCAGGTGATGGCGCAGGACGGCGAGGCGCTCAGGATACCAAAGCAGTGTGAGTAGCGCCCTCCGCCGTCGCCTGCCCGCTGCAGGGACCGGGAGAGACCCTGCGCCACCGGCCGGGACCGGGGACATCGGTGTGGACTCTGTCACCTGCCTGGGTGCAGTCGTGTTTGGGGCTCGCTCGGGGCCCCTGGTGTGCGGTCCTGAGGGGGGCAGCTCCCGCGGCAGGAGCAACCCCGCTGCCCCTTCACGCTCCAGAGGCACCCACTGGCCAGGCCGCCTCCGGTCCCCTGAGGGCGGAGCCCCACTGAGTCTGCCTTCTCTTTCACAGCCCACAGGATTGACACGGACGGATAAGCTGCCCAAGAAACCAGATTAAAAGAGGCTGCAAAAAATCTTTTCCTGGGAGTCAACAAATTTGGAAGCAGGGAAAAAACCCAGACATAAGATATGTTTATTTTATATTATTCCTATAGAAGGTGGTCCCGAATCAATTATGTGAAGGGACGGAGACAGCCCGCTTCCCCGGGTGCTGCGGGTCGGAGTGCAGCAGCCCCGCCAGGACCAGGACCAGGGCGCAGCTGTGTCTTTGTCCCCCAGGATCATGTCCCCGAGGCCAGGGCCCCGGCCCCGGGACACCCCGGGGTCCCTCCCCGAGGTCTCCGGCACCTGCTGGCCGCAGCCACCCCGCAGCCCCTGGCCTGCCTCGGGGTCCTCGTGGGACGCCCGGCCCCGCCCGGCAGAGGAGGGGAGAGCGGGAGTCTCCGGCCGAGTGAGCATGTGTGGTCAGCCTCCCGACAACCGCCTTTCCCTGATGAAATGTGGAGAGGAGCGTGGGTTTATAAATCTGCTTTTTATCTGACAAGTGATGTTGGAAATTAGTCCTTCTTTCCCTCCCAGAACTTCTCAAGTCATTCCACTGGCACCTGGCTTGGGACAGAGAATTGTGACCGGTTCCCAGGACCGTTCCTGTCATAGGTCACTTCCTTCCAGGACCCCTGTCCCTGTGGGAAGAGGCGGCTGTCCGTCCTTCTCACCACGTCTCTCTCGGCTGGGCCCGGCCCGCCTGTGCCCACGCCACAGTGCGGAGTTGGAACGAGGGGTCACAGGAGGAGGGGAAGCACAGAGGGGCCCCCGGACCATGCCGTGGGCCCAGGGCAGTGCTCACTTGCGGCCAGCAGGTGGCACTGCGGCTCCCCGCACCTGACCCGGCCCAGCTCCTTCTGCACAGGGGACTAAGGCCTTCCTTCCTTGGCCTCGGGTGGGTGCAGGGTACTTTGGGGGCTGTCAGCTGCGATGAGCGCAGACCCGCCAGTCTGGTTCTGACAGCCCCCACGCTGGTGCCAGCGGAATTGCTGATGGCCACTCCCTCCAGTTTTTTAAAAGCAGCTCAGGTGGTCCAGTCCTGTAGTATTTATTTCTGTCCCCCTGCAACATAGTCTGAGTTCTCCGGGCTGCTGCCCTGAACGCGCACTGTGCAGTGGGCACCGTGTTTGACGAGTCCGACCGCGGGCACAGCCCTGCCCCGTCCGCGGCCGGTGGCTCCAGCAGCGCCCGGCTCCCTCCTGGGCCTGACGTGGATGTACAGGAGGCACGCTCACCACAATAAACCTTTCCTGAAAGCCGGGGACCGCGTCTCGGTGCGTCTGTGCGGTGTCAGGAGTGAGCAGAGTGAAGCAGGGGCCCCCACCCGGGGCCTCGCCCGCCCCTGCCCCTTCACGGCTGGGGCTGCGTGTAGCCGCGAGGGTCGCTGGAAGCTGCGGGCGAGGCCACAGCCCGGCGTCTCATAGGCTAGGCTGTTGCTCGTTCTCACTAAAGGCACCTTTTCCTTGTGGTCACGCCCTCAAATCAGTGCTTGATTTTAAAGAAAGGAGGGAAGCCTGCAGTGTAGGAAAACACTTTATTCCGAAGTTCCAGCAAACCAGCCCAGGAAGGGGCCGTCCTAGAACACAGGCCAGTCTCGGCCAGAGAGCCAGCTGTCCAGGCCACGGAGGGGCCACTGCTGCTGCCCGAGAGCTGGCTGTCACCCCGTCTGCTGTGGGTGGGAGCAACCGACCCTCCTGGGGGCGACCCAGCTGCCCCACTGGGGGAGTGTCTGCCACTCTGGCCCAGCAGCTGTAGTTCCAAGAACACCGGCTGGTGGAGAGAGGGCAGCTGGGGCTGTCACCCCCGGAAGACCAGGGGGTTCTCGGGCTCACAGCCCCTGGCCCCTCGCAGCCTGATGCCAAGCTCCACCTGAGGCTGCACTGGGCTCCTCGCCAGGGTCCTGGCCCGGCGTGCCTCTCTGCCACTCAGTGTCGGCCTCAGGGCGGAAGGGCTCACAGCCAGAGCCCCGAAACTGCGGCCCCGTCTCCCGGGCCTCGGGCGAGAGAGCCGGGCGGCCGGCTCAGCTCCGCGGCTCCCGCGGCGGCCCAGCCCGGGGGCCCAGACGCCCGGCGTGCAGGGCTCGCAGGCGGCTGCACATCCTCCGCATCGCCAGCCGCTGGGCCTTGAGGCGCTTCCGCAGCCGCTCATTGTCCTTCAGCGCCACAAAGAGTTTCCTTTTCAAGGCGTCTAAGTCCAACAGGGCGTAGCTGTGGTCCGAGGGGTGCGGGGGGCCGGCCCGCTGCGCCGGGGTCTCCGCTGCTTCTGGTCTTGGGGGCGGGGCCTGCAGAAGGCACGTGGAAGGTAGGCGGTGCCAGAGGCAAAGCTCCTTCCTGGAGAGACAGGTGGGAGGCCCCGGGGTCCCTTCTCGTCGCTCACCTGACCCACGTGTGCCCGCACTGTGGCTCTTACTGCTGGGGGGAAGCCTGCAGCCGGGCCACGCCCTGTGGTGCTCACGGTTTGCCGACCAGTTTTCCTTCCTTCGAGGCAAATCCCCCCCCGCGCCCCCGCAAACACCAACCTGCCATGTGCCACCTTGCTGCCTGGGCTTACCTGTCCTGCAGGGGCTCTGGCGCTGGGGGGCGGCTGCAGTGCTTCCGAGGCAGAGTCCGTCTTCCTCCCCAGGCCCCGATCTCTGGCGCCCTCCTCAGGAAGAACCTGGAAGCGCAGGCATGGCTGCAGGGCAGACCCGCCACAGTGCAGACCGGCCGGGCCCCCAGCGCGGACTGGCCACGGCGCAGACTCACCTTGTCCTTCTCGGAGTCAGCACTTCCGCCCTCAGCGGCCGGGTCTGTGTCCTCCCTCTCCAGCTGCAGGGAACACGGGGCTACTGTGCATGGGCAGCCCAAGGCTTGGCCCAGTCGGGGGGTGAGAGAGAGGCCTGCGCCGCGAGAACCTCACGCTGGTCCCCGTTCTCAGCCCAGGTTTACCCAGTTAGACTGGGCCCTGAAACCCCACCTGGCTCCACCTCCGCCCACCGTTATCTTCTCGCCAAAGATGGTCCCAAATCTTGGGCCAAAGGACCCAATCTGTCCTGTCACCCCCGGGCTTGGCGTTCTCCTAGACGCGGAGTTCGCTCACAGGGGCGGCCCAGTGGTAGGACACGCCCACCTCGGAGCCGGCCGCCCCGCCACTGGGGCGCAGGTCAGAAACGCGCCCCCAGGGGTTACCCAGAACCCTCTGGGGCAGCCGCGGCCACCAACGCATCAGCGATCAAACTGCTGTATCAGCAGGCGTGCGCTGAGCAGAGGGGCTTCGGGGGGAGTTGCTAGCCGTGGGCACGAAGCTTCATCTAAGCAGAACGGTGACCCTCGAGAGCCCCGTTGTACGTGGGGCCTGCAGGTCACAGCGCCGTACCGCGCGTTCAGAAGCTTGAGGGCCGCTGGCGCGGGGGGCTCAGTGGATCGAGTGCCGGCCTGTGAGTCCCAGGGCGCACGCCTGGGTGGTGGGCCAAGCCCCCAGTAGGGGGCGTGTGAGAGGCAGCCCATCAGTGTTTCTCTTCCTCGCTTCCCTCTAAAAATATATACAACTCTTTTTTTAATTTTGAGGGTAGGTCTCATGTTAGCGTTCCTCCCACAATAAAATTTCACTCGTGTATAAATAAAAATAAACAGCCTTCCGTAGCGCAGAGAACAGCCAGACAGGCCCGGACTGCGCCGGGCAGCGTTCTGCTGTCGGTCCGAGGCGGTGAGAGGAGCCGGTGCCCTGGAGGCCGCTGGCGGGCAGGAGACCAAGGACAGGGAACCCACGGTGTGGCGGTCGGGGGCAGGTGCTAGAAAGCCCAGCGGACAGGAGAGGCAGGAACGGCCCGCCTGCAGAACCCTGAACTTGAACGTGGACCTGCACAAGAGGGCAGCCGCCTGCGCGAGGACCTCTGGGGGAAATCACTGGGCGAGGGGGAGATGGCGGGCAGAGGCCGCGCGGGTTCGCCCGCAGCTGGCGCCTGTTCTGCCCACAGCCCGGGACTCCCGGTCCCACGGCCCCCTCTGCTCTCCTTCCCAATAAAATCACACTGGCAACAGGCGTCCGCCAGCCTTCGGTCTGTCCCACCACTTCTCCGCCTTCCAGGCTCAAGCAGGTGCCCCGTGGGGCCCACCCTCTGGGACCCTGTACACCTCTAAGATTGATGGAATTCAGTATAATCCCCCTCATGGCTTCAGCAGCCCCTGGTCCGTGAGCTCCCGTCGGAGCACCCCCACACACCCCACCCCACCAAGACATGTCCCCTCCGTGCCCACTCCACCAGGACATCAGACTCAACGTGCAGGCAGGCCTGGTCCCCAGGGGTTCGGCGAGCTCGCTCCCTGGCCTCCGCCCTCTCTGCCCACGGGCTCTGCCGAGTCCTTCCACGCAGTCCTCTCATCACGGACCCACCTGCAGCTCAGGCGGCCGTAACCACACTCACCTGGGCCACGGCAGGGGCCCCTGAACAGCTTCCAGCCGGATGGAGGCTTCCGAAGCCCCGCCCCAACACCGAGCTCACCCGAAAACCTGTAACAGCGGCTCCAAGCCATTGCCGTCCACAGCCCTCCAAGCAGCCAGAGCCCGTGCTGCTCCCGACTGTCCCCGAAGCCCGCCCCGCCGCCGGCCGGTCCGTGCTGTGCACACCCTCCCTCCCGCGCGGCCCCGGCCTCCCGGGCTGGACAGCGCTCTCAGCCGGCGCACATGGCGCACTGTGGGACCCGGGCAGAGGCGTGCTGAATGGCAGTGGCACAGCCTCTGGCTTCCCGATGGGAGGCGTCCGAGCCCCAGCAGACTCCCTGGAGGAGGATGAGGCCTGAACGAGGCTCAGCAGCTGCCTTCTGCTGGGAAGCCGTCACCGTGAGGCCCCGAGCCCACGCAGGACCTGGCAGAAGTGAGCTGCAGGAGGAAGGGCCGGGCTCTCGCCACATTCGCCGGCGGCTGCTCCAACAGCACCCGGTCGTGAAAGCATGACTCACTCTACATCGGCTTTACGTTGGGGACCCCCTCAACCGAAGGTCATGGCCAGCAGGGCCGGCTGGGCTTGCTGCAGCCTCCGTCCCTGCCACCGCCACCCCTGCCCACCGCTGCCGAGGGGGGCTCCAGGCAGGCCGGCTCTGCAGAGAAAGGACAGAAGTGTGTTCACCTGCGCGGCGTCCTGGAAGGCGAACACCGTGGGCACCGCGTTGTGCTTCAGGTTCTTGCGGTTCCCGAAGGCGCTGAAGCACTCGGGGCGGAAGTGCTCCGAGCAGATGACCGTGTGCTGCTTGGGCTCGAAGTCGCCCCGACCGATGTTGAGCACCCACTCCTTCAGGAGCTCGGGCCGGCTGAACGGGAACCTGAGGGGCGAGGGAAGAGCGTGCGCGGGCGAGTGAGGCCGGGGTCAGCACGTCAGAGCTTCCCGGCGTTCCCCCACCACCACACCGCGCTCTGGGCTGCGTGCATCATCCAGGCACCTCTGTCTGTTAAACCGCGTCCGACGCCTGGAAGGTAAGGCATCCTCGGCGGGAAACGAGGCCATGAGCACGGCCCAAGAGCTGTCTCCGAAGCTACATGCACCAAGTAAGCCTCCCCTCGTCCCCTCGGGAGCCTGCGAGGAGGGGCCCGTTCAGGGTGCTGGGGGTGGGGGAGCGAGGGGGCTGCCTCGCTCCCCCACCCTCATCAAACCCACATTCCAGACAGGGCAGACGGACAGCAAGCCAAGGTTGCGGGTTCAGTCCCCAGTCAGGGCACACACAGGAATCAACCAGTGAACCCACGAATGCACGGAGCAACAAATCGGTGTTTTTCTCTCTCATCCTCCCTCCCTCCCCGCTTTCTCTCTCTCTAAAAAATCAATAAATTAAAAAGAAAAACAGTCAAGGTTAAAAAACAAAGGGAGATTAGTGACAGGCGTGTGCCTGGCGTGTCTGAGTAGTGATCAAGGCAGGTTCTTGCTGAAGCGGAGGAGTGGGGACTGAAGGACATGGGTCTCGGGCAGACGGGGGGCTCCCTGGAGGCTCTGGACAGGGCTAGGGGGCTGGGAGGGACATCCGAGCCCACCCTGGCTGCTGCAGGAAGGTACGAGAGGTGGCTGGGGCGTCGGCAGGAGGAGGGATGCGTGGGCAGATGTGGGATGTGTCTCAAAAGCCACGCGACAAGGGTTGCCAGTGGGCCGTGAAACGGAGAAGCATTGCATGTTCAAGTGGAAGGAGGCAGGAGGAGGGGCAGCTCTGGGACCTGGGAACTTCGGTCTTACGTGTTAGATGTTACGTGTGAGGTGCCTTTCAGACACCCACATGCCGACCTGGGTGGCGGGTGGACACCGGTCTGGAGACGGCCATGTCGGGGGGCTACCCCACACCAAGGGAGGCAAAGTCCTGGGTGCAGTCGGTGCCCTGCAGAGCGGTGTGGGCAGGGACGGCCCCGCCCCAAAGCACCGCAGCGTCTAGTGTTGACAAGAGGACCCAGCAGAGGAGGCTGAGCAGGGACACTGTGACAAGGGAAAAGGCTGAAAGGTATCCTAGAAGGGAGCGTCTCAAGGGGTCAGAGATCAGTTGTGTCAAATGCCGCAGAGAGACCGCCTCAATCCACAATGAGACCCTGCGCCTGCCATCCTGAGGGCCACTGGGGATGTGCCAGAGCCCGTCTGTGGGAGCGGCGGGGGCACGAGTCTGACGGCAGCGGGCTTGAGAGCGAATCGAGGGCAACCCCGCCCTCAGGCCTGCGCCTGACGGAAGCATACAAACGCGTCCCGGCAAACACGCCAGCAAAAATGTCGAGCCATGCGCTTGCTATGGCCAAACACGGGGGCACCCAAATGCCCGTGAGATCTACAACAACAAATTAATGCTGGTTTGTGCGGTCGGTGGAATACCACGCAGCAACGAAAAGGGATGAACAGCCGCCAAGTGAAACAAAAATGACTCCCAACTGCAGACGAAAACAAGGGGGTTCAAGCCCTGGCTGGCGTAGCTCAGTGGATTGAGCTCAGGCTGCGAACCAAAGCATCACAGGTTCAATTCCCAGGCAGGGCACATGCCTGGGTTGCAGGCCATGACCCCCAGCAACTGCACATTGATGTTTCTCTCTCTCTTCCTCCCTCCCTTCCCTCTCTAAAAATAAATAAATAAAATATTTTTTAAAAAGGGGGTATTCTATGGAAAGCAGCCCCCGGGGTGACCTGATCAGAAATTCCTAATGAGGCAGGTCATGCTGGGTAGTCACACCCCAGGCCTATAACTTCTTGAGTAAAAGGTTTGTCTTTGCCTTGTCTACTGCCTTCGTGCATCTATGTTAACTCTCCCACAAGCTGATCCCCACTTCGCTTTCTCCCACCCTCCCATAATCTCTGCATTCCCGCCGTAGTTTCACACGCATAAAAGAAATTTGGAAGCCTATAAAATTCTCTACAGGTTCGGACGTTTCTATCGATGACACAAACACAGTGGCGAGAAAAAAACCAGGAGGAAAGTGCACTGTGTGAGTCCACTCCTCAAGTTCAACACAGGCCAGAGCAACCCCTGAGGAAAGGCAGGGTGTGTGGGGGCCACCCTGGGGGACGTGGGAAGAGGAGGGACAGGAAGGGGGTGCTGTTGAGGGCCTCCTGGGGGCTGGCGATGGGCCATTTCTCCGCAGTCACCCAGGGTGTTCATTTACTTTGTTAACTTGGTTGAGCTGTGTACTTGTGATTTGTGCACTTTTCTGTATGTGTTATATTTCAAGAAAAGCACTTACGCTGAAATAGAAAATGTTAATAGAAATAAAGACGAGTGCAGCAGCCCTTTGGAGCCCAGCTCTGAAGGAACAGAAACGGGCGCTGTGAGGGCGGGCTCTCTGGCAGGGACCTACCTGTTCCAGGGCCAGGCCCCGCCCAGGGCTCCGCCACCACCACCACTCCCCCACCCCCCACCCCCGCGGACTCCCGCCAAATCAGTGTCCCACACCACCCCCCCCCAGGACGCTCTCCCGCCCTCCAGCCTTCCTCCTTCCGGATGCGGGGCCTGCTCCTGGCTCTGCATAGGCAAGACGCACCGCAAAGCAAGGCGGCAGCAGCTTCGTAGTGAACGCCTACGGCATCAAGCCCGCGGGACGTGGGGAGCACCACCGCCCAAATGGCTGCAGCGGGTGCCGAGGGCTGCGGAGGTACCGCCCGCATGGACCTGAGCTCGCAGCAGGCCCGCCCTCGGCCTTCCGCGACAGGTTGGCGCGAGGCTGCGCGCCCAGCGTTCCGACCGCATTCCAGCGCGCCCAAGCTGTCCGAGGCAGCGCGGGGCCCTGGGCCCTTGACTGCTCCAGTCCCCAGGCCGCAGGCCACTCTGCCTCCGAGGCAGCGGGGTAGTGACCCTGACATCCCGGTACCCCCCAGCGCCCCAGGCCTCGGGCTCAGTGGAGTCCGCGGCCCCCTGGCCCGGGCGAGGCGGGCCCAGCAGCAAGGCCCCTGGACCCCCGGGTGCCCCCGCCCCTCACCGGTGGAAGGTGAGCTGCTTCCTGCGGTTGCTGTAGCGGTTGCAACACTGCCGGGCTGCGCAGGACTTGGGCATCTCCAGACCCAAGGCCCGGCTGCCCCTAACAAAGATGGCGGCGGCGAGGTCTTCGGGCGCAAGCAGGCCAGAGGCAGGACTGGTCGGTGTGGATGGGCGTGGCCTGTGGGAGGGAGGGGGCGGGGCTGCCTGGAGGTGCTGGAGTGTCTGGCTCTGCTTCTTGGTCAACTCCCCACGCTGTGCCCGCCACCCGTGTCGCGCGGAGTTTGGAAGGGCTCTGGGGTTTTTTCGCTGAAGCCCAGCGCCCTCACTTCGTTTTGGGGTCCCCCAAACTTACACCCAGAAACAGCGTTGGACAACTGGAAACCGGAGAAAGGCCCAGTGCCCAACTTGGCCAGCATTGTCAAAATTTTAGGTGCTGAGACGCATTTTGGCCGCTGGAACCAGGCGGCCCCAGATTGGGGTGGGGCACAGAGGACAGAACAGGCTCCAGCACTGCGAACCCCAGGTGTAAAGGGGCTGGATATGCACCCCCAGGAGACCCCAGACCTGCCTGCAGAACCTCAGAGGCTGCAGCTTTTACAAAGCAGGGTAACCTCTCAGTGGGGTTTAAGCTCAGTTTGATGAAGCAATTGTGAAAGCAGCCCTGGCTGGCGTAGCTCAGTGGATGGAGCGCGGGCTGCGAACCAAAGTGTGGCAGGTTCGATTCCCAGCCAGGGTACATGCCTGGGTTGCAGGCTATAACCCCCAGCAACTGCACATTGATGTTTCTATCTCCTTCCCTTCCCTCTCTAAAAATAAATAAAATCTTAAAAAAAAAATTGTGAAAGCTACTCCTGTCTATTCATACAATGGTTTGCTTTTGGAGAATCTACTAGGAAAGTAGATCAAGGCTGTGGATGTTCTTCATGCTGCTAAACCAAACCCGACTTGTACTTCCCAAGTGTTTTCTTGTCGTCATGGTTTGGGGAGGCGGTGAGGGGAGGACACAATTGTCCTCGGGTACAGAACGCAAACACCTGAAGGTGGACACGAACCTCAAAGTAGCAATATCTTTATTTACAAAATATACAGTTTCACAGAAACAGCTTCGTTTTTACACATAAACTTTATAATTACACAGAACCACGTAAACGATGTTAAGTGTCTGGCCGGGCCAAAGCCAACGAGAGGGGCTTGCTTTTGGGGTGACACCTTTCCCTCCCCTCACTCCATCAGCCACCAACCAGGAGCCCCTAGATGGGCCATGCCTAAAATTTGCATAAAGCTGATTGCAGCTGCCAGCTCAACCAACACAAAACCGAGGTGTCTTGACTTCGTAGACACTGCCCACAGGGACACAGCTGTCAGGAGAACAAAAAGGAAATGAAGCAACAGAGTGAGGTGAGTGTCAAAGCCTTCCAGGGGTCGCTGGGCATCGAACCTTCTGAGAGCACATCACAGAGCAACTGCCAGTGCCGGCCGCTCGCTGGAAAACCACACGTACTCTTACATGCACTTTTAAAACTCTGGAGTTTAAAAACAAAAATGAAAAAGAAAGAAACACACTGGACCTTTGGCTACTCTCACGGTGAAGACACTGGACAGGCAACGTCCTGGGGCAGATCTTTGGCAAATTCCTCCCCCGACTTCTGCGCGGCTGCCCTCGTCGGAGCCAGGGTCAGCTGTCTGAGGACAAGTCTGTTTCTGACCCGGCTTACTCTCTCTCTCCACAGCACGACTTCCCCCTTGGGGACCTCTACAATAAACGGGGTTTCAAAAGCTACGTCTATTTTTGTGTTAATAGTAAAAGCAACAGAACTGAACACAACAAAGGCAGTTAGTTGGCTGGTCAAGCATGAATGACACTAGGACAACATGCGGGCTCTGCTGAGCCGGTCACAGCTCAAGCCCCAGGTGCTTCTTCGGTGAGAAGGTGGAGGGAGCCCCCCTGCTGGCCCGCGCAGGGTGCCCCGTGGAGAAGCCCCCGGCGGGGAGACTGGGCTCCCTCCTGCTGTAAACACACATGACCAACTTGGGCATTCTTCCCTTTTCATGCTTTTACAAGAAACAGTATTCGTGAAAACACACCCATCCATTTAAAAAGAAGTTTTCTGAGAACATGTATCGGAACTGCTAAAACACTGTCAGTCTGAGACCAAGCTGAAGCCCTCCCCCGCAGGGCCCCAGGGCTCACTGGGGCAGAGCCTGGCAGGCCTCTGGGACTCCCCGGCTTCTCAGAGCTGGGCCCTCCCAGGCCCCCTGCGAGCAACTCTGCACAGTTCAATGGCATGTAACTGGAGGCCAACGTTACCGTATCACTCACTCACTCATTCACCAAAAAGGCTCCGGGTCCTAACCTTGGCCTGTGGAGCCAGCAGGCCCACCTGCACTAGGGACACTGAGAACCACGCGGGGAGAGGCCCGTCTCCCATCTCCCTTCACCCATTAAGCCAGGAACGCCGTTCCCGAGGGACTGCCTAACTCTTATGCTGCTACTGGAAGGAACAAGGGGAGGGGAAGAGGTGAGGAAGGCCCCCAAGTGCCCCCTTGCTTCAAAACACCCTGCCTGGGCACCCACTGGCTCCCACAGGCCAAGTGGAGAAAAATGGCACCCAGGCAAAAATCTGCCAATACTTTTGGCTACATCGTGCAAATAGACAGGATTTTTACATCGTGCAAAACAGGAAACTGAGTTATGAACATGGGCCACCTCCATCCCCCAAGAAGCAACCCTCTTTCTACAGCGAAGCGGCCACACACTATCCTTTTTAACGAACGGAAGGAAACCTAAGGACCACCGGCCTGCCCGCGCCCCCAGCTGCTCTCGGAGGGAGACAGAGTCCAGCAGGCAGAGGGGCAGAGGCGGCGCGGAGGCAGTGGGGAGAGTGAGCCACTGAGGGGGGGGGCGGCTTTGATGGTTGCTGTACAGACATTTACGGTAAAAGACTTACACTTGAGAAAAACTTTGCACGTATGGCTGTTTGTTAACAGGCCGGGGAAACACTTGTCCCCAACACAGCGGAAGCAGGAGTAACAGCACTTGTTCTAACCGGTGGGAGTTTAACAATAGCAAGAACTCACAACTACCACGGACCTTCCTTTTCAGCCGAAGCAAACCCGCCGCGCTGGAGCGCGGAGCCCGCCTCCAGGGCAGAGACCACAGCTCCGGCGGCAGCGGCTTCGGCCTGCGAGGACCCTCCTCAGTTACCGGCTATGTACAGATGAGACCTTGGACAGCCTGTCCTTTTGCTTAGGCACCTGAATGGCAGGGTCTGCCTGCACCAGAGCTGAGAGTTCTGTGCTCAACTAAGAAAGGGGCCCGAGAGCCCACCGTCCCTTCCGACTCTTCCCCCGCAGTCTCCGCCCTCGCCCGCGGTCAGTCCAGGAACAGCTTCCGGGAGCCCATGCGGGAGCGGTTGGAGCGGCGGATGTCGAACTTGGAGTCCCGGCACTTTTGGCAGACGAACACTTCCGGAACGTTGGACTTCCGGATTTTGGCACAGGACAGGTGAATCCAGGTGTGGCACTCGTTACACTCGATCATCGGGCGGCCGGCGAAGGGCTTCATGCAGAAGCAGGTGACGAGGTCCCACGAGTCGTCGTCTGAAGGAGACAAACACGTAAGGGCAAGGAAAACACATCTGGAGACCCCTCCTCCGCACGGGGAACTCCTCTCCGTCAGCGAAGCCGAGCCCCGGGGGCGGCGGCGGGGGGCAGAGCAGCCGACTCTCAGCGACCGACCAGGTTGCCACTCCCCCTCAAGGGAGCCACCACTGCCCTCCCTCAGAACGCAGTGCGTGCCCGGGACCCGCAATCCGGGGCCCCGCAGCTCACCGTGGGGTGTGTCCTTAGGGGCCGCGTCGTTTCTATATTTTAAGGTCTGGCTTGGGGGCTCAGCCACCTCTAGCTGCGACCGCCCCCACTCCCCGCACCTCGGCACCCACCTCCCGCACCCTTCTCCTTGCAGGTGGCGGGCGCAGTCTGCGGAGGGGACGGCCCGGGACTCCGGGTCACGCCCCCTCCCGTCCGCCCACCGGCCGCCAGGTGGCCGACCCCGGCCCACTCACCCGAATCCACCATGATGTCCTCGTCGTTGCCGGTGCTGTCCTCGTCGCGGAACACCACCTGCTTCCCCTGCCGGACGATAGTCCGTTTGCCTTCAGTCTTTATCTCCTTGGCCTGGTCGGGGGTGGCGGCGGCACAGGACCCGCTGGAAGGGGTGTCGGAGTCCCAGCCCGAGCAGGGGTCGCCGGGGGCCTGGGGGACGCCCTGCAAGGCGGGACTCGTGGGGGTCTCCGCGTACGGGTCGGCGGCCTCCAGCTTCAGCAGGCTGCCCATGTACCCCTCCTTCACAGGCACGTCGCTGTCCCTTCGCTTCCTCTTCTTCTTCTTCTTCAGCTTGTCGGTCTTCTTTCTGTCCAGCAGGAAGTTGCTGGGCTTGGCCCGCTGAAGGAGGGCGGGCTGCAGGTGGCCGAAGCAGCGATCCGAGACCGGCAAGGGCACCCCCGACGAGATGTCAGTGAAGCCGGCGTCCCAGCCGTCGCTGTCGATGGTGCCCGCCGTGCTGTTGGCGGGGCTTGGGCTGCTCCGCAAGGGCAGTTCCTGAAAGGGCAGAGGCAGAGGTGGCGGGTTCCCGTTATCTCGCCCAGCCCCCGGCAACAAGAGCGGACCCGAGCAGAGCTCCCCTGGCCCGCTCGGGCCCGCAGACACGTGCCCTCACAACCTGAGCCTCCCAGCTCTCGTCAGCATCCCTCTTTCGGAACAGCGGCATTCGCGGTCAGTGCGACCTTCCAGACAGAACGTGAGCCCGTGAGAGGGGACCTCCTGCCCTGGCCGGACCCCCTGGAACCGGGCTGACGCTCCGTCAGTCTCCGTGAAGGGAGTGAAGATCACTCTCCAACACACGTATTCTTCTAGCCATACTATCTCCCTCTGTCTGTCCTCCCACAGGATGGGTTTTTTTTAATTAAGTGAATTTAAATTAGTTTTGAGAATTTCCCAATACTTTTTAAAAAAAAACTAGAGACGAGCCCTGGCTGGCGTAGCTCAGTGGGTTGAGCATGGGCTGCGAACCAAAGTGTCGCAGGTTCGATTCCCAGTCAGAGTACATGCCTGGGTTGCAGGCTATGACCCCCAGCAACAGCACATTGATGATTCTCTCTCTCTCTCCCCCCTCCCTTCCCTCTCTAAAAAAATTAAATAAATAAATAAATAAATAAATAAAATCTTAAAAAAAAAAAACCCCACAAAAAACCTAGAAATGTCCCAAAATACTGCAAAAATCAAAGCGGGCAATCATTGCACTAAAGCAGTGAGTGCGCTGCAGTCCAGCCCCTCCAGACCCCCGAGCGCTTTCCTTCCGGCGATGACAGTCTGCGTGGCACAGGGCAGGCGCAGAGCAGGCGCAGCCTGTCCAGAGGCAGCGCCAGGCTACCCTGGGATGTGGCCCCTACGAACATCAGGCCCCTTCTCTTTAGCCTCAGTCGGCGCAAACGCGGTCTCTGAAGGTTGAGGACCACGGCAGTGCTGGTCTACGGCTCTGCCCATGTCTTGCCCCCCCCCAACCCCTGGAACTAAGAGAGATTTCAGCCACCGGCCCTGCAGACTCTGTAACGTGCGCACAGCAGCTGGGAGGCTGCTCGCAAGGCAGGTTGCCGTCTGGACAGGTGGCCGTCTGGCTAAAGCCCGGCCCCACCCCTCATTAGCCCATGACCCAGAGCAAGGAGTTCCCTATCTGTGCCCATGGGGACAAACAGCCCTGGCTGTGGCTCACTGGATCGAGCGCCAGCCTGCAAACCAGAAGGTCACAGGTTCAATTCCCAGTCAGGGCACATGCCTGGGTTGTGGGCCAGGTCCCCAGCAGGGGCCAGAAGAGAGGCAACCACACATGGATGTTTCTCTCCCTCTCTTTCTCCCTCCCTTCCCCTTTCTCTAATAAATAAATAAAGTCTTTAAGTGGGGACAAACAATATCACCCACCTCATCCCATTCTAAGGGCCAAAAACAGTGGCCGGCCGTAGACACCAAGCACTCAGTAACGGCCAGCCACCGAGGCGGGCAGAGGGGAAGGCGGGCCCTGACGCTGCGGGCACCGTGTGCGGCGCCGGGCAGGCATGAGCACACTGGGAGCAACACTTGTGAGGTGAGGGATGGGCGGTCTGACCACTAGGCCGCACACTGAAACCAGTAAAAAACCGTGTACTGAACGTAAACTGTAACTGAAAAATACAAATTTTTAAAGAGCAGGCAGATAGCAAATGGTTCTTTTCAAGCAAACTTTGAACGTTTACTAGTCATTTCTAGACAAGCCTTCGTTTCATGCCCCACCAGGGTCTGAGGAACCATTCCCCAGGCTGGCCCAAGGCCCCAGGAACGACTCCTGCCCAACTACAGTCTGCAGCCCTCCCGCGCCACCCCTTCCCGGCGGCTCCCCGGCCTCCCTGCCAGCCGGAACGGGCGCGCGAGTGCCGAAGACTCCTTACCTCCTTCGGGTAGGGGATGTAGCCCGCGTAGGCCAAGACAAAGGTGCAGAATTTGTTGAAGTCCTCCACGGTCCTGCGCCTCTTGTAGCCGGGGGAGTACTCCTGCCGGCAAACCAGAAAGGGGCGTGTTTGAAGGCGGGCAGTTGCAGGTGGACCCGCAGAGACAAACCAGGCAAGCCGGAGCTTATGTCACGGCCAGCCACGCAAAAACACGCGGAGAGATTTACAAACACGCAGACGAGATACGGCAGGCGCGGGTCAGGAAACAGCACTGCGTCCAGAGGGCTGAGAGCGGGAGTGCCGTGACTTTATGCCAAGAATACCGGGAAGCTGGTCAGGAGATAAAAGCCTGTGCACAAGCCTACTTCTTAGCACGCACGGGCTTTTTCTGGCATTATCTGTGTGCTGCTACAGGCCTATCAGCTCTAATAACTACTTTTTTTGCTACAGATTTTCCATCTTGAAAACCGAGTGCGGCTGCAGCTGTAACTGAAGCATTCAGTGATTTCAAAAGTCAACCTCTTCTTATCCTTTCCAGCTAAGCTCCTCAGGCCCGACCCCTCCCCAGCCGGGCTGCCTGCGGAGGGCCCCACCACCGGGTCTCCGGAGGAGGTGTTTCCTTCTGGTCCCTCTGCTGCGCCAGCACCCCGGGGGCCAAGCACCCCAATGTTTCTCGACTGAGAGAATATACCGGAATCACCCCTGCTAGCCTTATTTGCACGGTGAAGATAAAGTATTAGCGGTTCTGGCTTGCGAGTTGCATCCCCATTCAACCTAGAAATGCCCTCAACAAAAATGGACTTTCTTCTGAAAAGAAGAGCAGCTCAAGGAGAAAAAGCCTTTATTTGCTACTGAGCAAAACAACTGCACTTTATTCTGGTTTATTTGACTAGCGCATCTACTGAGATTTTCTTTAAGCGTTTCATCAGCCACCCCGACCCCATCCTGAGGTGCCCAGCTGACATGTGCAGAGCCTAGGGGCCCAGTGCCTCGTTGAGGTGAAGGCGGGGGGATTGGGGGTGGACTCCACAGCACACCCCACCCCAGGGCAGGGCCGAGAAAGAGGCGCCGCACGACCGTGGTGCCGGCAGGCTTCCTTCCAAGAGCGCCACTTCGTATTTTTTCAACTTGGTTCCCGCGAGCCGCCTTCTCCCCCCCCTCCACCCCTCGACCACCGGACCCCGGGAGGCGCGCAGGTTCGCGGAGCACGGGCTCGGCGGCCCCGGGCCGGGCGCAGGAAGCCAGGAGATCCTGCCTCCCCCCACCCCAGGCGCGACTGACCGCCCTCCCTCCGGCTGCGGTGGGAGGGCCGCAGCCCTTGGCCCTCAAACTCTCGGCAAGAACAACTATTTCGGCGGGGAACGTGCCGAAGTGGGTCAGGGGCCGGGGCGCCGAGTGGCAGGCGGCAGCGCCCTCGGGCGCGGGGCGGGGGACCTGCACCGCCCCCACCCAGGCCGCCCCGCCCGCCCCGCCGCCGACTTTAGGAAAAGCAGATGGCGGTGCGGCCCCCTCCCACCCTCCCGCGGAAGCCGCCCCCCGCCGACACTCGGCCCCGGAAGGTGCGGGGCCCTTCCCGCTGGGGAGGGGGCGCGAGGAGCCGGCAGGACCGGGGCTCCGGGGCTGATAGGGCCCGCGAACCCCGGAGGCGTCAGCTTGGCGGGAGATACCCAGCAGAGCCTCCAGCGGCCCGACCCGCATCCCGGACTCCGGGCCTCCGGCGGGGAGAAGGGACCGCGTCAGGGGCGCCAACCGGGAGAACCGAGAGCCGATCCCCGGAAGGAGGAATGGGAGGCGGGGCGAGCAGAGCCCGCGGGCGGGGGGCGGGGGCCCCGAAGGGGGATGAGAGCGCCCTGGAGGGAGGGGGGGGGACTCGGCTCGGGCCCCCGCTCCGGTGAGAACCCCAAAAGACAAGGCTCCCCCGAGCCGGAGGGGCGGGGGCCGGCGGGAGCCAGGGGGCGGGGCGCGGGCCACTGGGCCTGGGGATTAGGGAAGCCGGCGGGGGCGCGCCGGGCAGAGTCCGCGTCCGAGGGGGCCGCGAACCCCTCCGGGAGGGGGGCGGGGGAGTCCTCCGAGCAGCGAGAGCGCGGGGCGGCGGCCCACGGGCCGAGTCCCCGGGGGCGGGGAAGCGGCGAGTGAGGCCGGCGGGGCGGAGCCGGGAGCAAGGACAGGTCCCGAGGCCACCGAGGCCCGGGAAGGGTCGGCGCTGACGCCCGTGGAAGAGACGCCGAGGCAGGGGCCGGCAGGGAGGACCGGGCGCGGGCCCCAGTGGGGGGCGGGGTTGGGCACGGAGGGGGGGCGACGACGAGAAGCTGGGGGAGGGGAGGGTGGAGCTCGATAGCGGGGGTCCGGCTCCGGGGAACGAGGGAGCGGGGTGGGGGTGGTCGGGGGCGAACCGAGAGCAGCCCTCACTCACCTCAGGGTGGAAGGCGGCGGCGCAGGAGTCGGAGTCCATGTTCAGGGTGGGGGGCGGCGGCTGTGGGAGTGCAGGAACCGGAATGCCGCCACCGAACCGTGGGGTCTCTCGGAGCTGGGGGCTCCGGCGGCCGCGTAGGACCGGGGAGGACCGGGGAGGGGTCGCCCCGGCTAGAGGTGATGGGGGGCTCGGCGCGACGCGTCGGGTCCAGAACTCTGTGCTCCCGGGCCAGCGACTCCACGGCCGAGCAGAGTTAGCGATGCAGCTCCCGCGGCGGGAGAGGCGGGAGAGTCACTGCGGGAGGGGGGCGGCGGCGGCGGCAGCGGCGGCGGCAGCGAGCGGGAACCCGACCGGCTCCCCGACCTGACGCCCAGTTCGGCTCGTGTCTCAGGAGGGAGGGCGGGAGATCTGCGAGGCATGTCGGGAAATGTAGTCTGAGGGGGACGGAAAGCCGATAGGGAGGGGGCGTGGCGCGGGGGCGGGCGCTGGGCATTGTGGGAGTTGCAGTCCCAGGCTTCGCCGCTGCGGCACGCAGAGGCCGTCTCGAGGACTCCAACCCCCATAGAGCGCCGCGGCGACTGCGGAGGCTGGTCTCCGGACTGGAGACTGCCGGAGCGGGGGCCGTGCGGGGGCTCGCGCCGGCTCGGCGGTGGGGGAGGGGCGGTGCGAGCGGTAGCGCCTCGGTCTCTGCGGGGGCGGGGTGGGCCAGGGTCCCTGGGCGGGTGGGGGCGGGGCTGGCCGCCTCGGTCGCGGAGCGCGGACACAGACAGCTCCTTTTTATCCTTGCGGACTAAGGGTTCGTTCCCCTTTGTGGGGTCGGGGTCCCCGCAGCCCGGGCGAGAGTGGGGGCGGTGGCGCTGACGTCGAGGCCACCCCCGGACTCGGCTTCCGGCGCGGGGGTGGGGGGGCGAACCTTCTTTCGCGGATGTATGTTCTCTGGCCGGGCCCTCCCTGCGCTGGCGATCCGAAACCACGGGACCGAGACTCTTGGTCTCCGTAAGGTCCAGTCCGAGGTGTCGGGCGACCGCATCTGAACGTCTCGCCCGGCGTCATCGAGGTTTTAGAAGATGTCTGCTTAGCTTCGCTTTTCTCCCCGCTTCGCCCAACCTTGGTTTTCTCACTTCATTTCCTGAGTGTATCCTTCACAGGATTATAACAGTGAGGCCAAAACGTGATCGAGACGGGGGGCGGGGGGGATTGCCATTGACTTTGGGTATCGATATGTAATTGGGGAGTTCGCGGTGTGGACGCGCTGCTCCGCGGCGTATTTTACAACTTCGTGTCGAAGGCTGGTTGACTCTGAACACCTGGTTGAAGACGAGCTGCTCTGCTCGGGTTACCAGGGGGAGGCCTGACCGTCTTTAACATTTTCTAAAGAAAAGCCTAGATGCAAAATGCAAATGGCTCCGTCGCATATTCTGTACCTTCGCAGACAAAAACTGTTGAAGACGAGTAACGTAGCATTGTAAATTCAAATCATAAAGGAAACTGATATGCTGAATCAAAGGGACGGTGGGAAGAACCCCTGAAAGATAAGCTTATTTCCAAGGGGGTGAAGGCTACTCGGGTTAGCTGTTGCTCTTTAGGTGGTTAAGGGACTGGGCGTATCTTAGAACTACAGGGTCCGGCAGAAGTAACGCTACTGAAGTGTGGTCGGTCGGGTAATAGGGTGGGTGTAATGATTTCATAGTTTTAATTCGAACGTTTCACCTACAATGCCATGTGGTGTGCTTGAGTGTGATATTGCTATTTTACATGCTTATGCTTTTGTAATTAAAAAAAGGGGGCGATATTTGAGCTGGACCCCTTGCACTTTTCTGAGCCTCCGTTTTCTAACCTGTAAAAGTTTTAGCGTAGTAGCGGCCCCAATAAATGAGAGTTTACTGTTAATATTTTTAAATATTATTTCAGCAATATCTTCGAGGATTGGAAGACTCCCCAGCTGTGATAACAGACTGAGGTGCATTACAAAGCTAGTAAGATGAAAATAGACATTGGGCTTCATTAACAACGCCTTAACAGAGTGGTCTTTTTCCGGTGATTTAGCCGGATCTGAATGTTCCCTGACCACTGTGGCCTGGACCATGTCCTGAGCACAGCCCGTGTTGCCCTCCCCTCGGGCCAGATTCAGGAGGAGCCACTTGGTTTGCGGGAGTGAGGAAGGGACCGAAAAGATTATCCTGTTGGCGGTTTAAAGGTATAAACATCAAAGAATAGTTATTAGAGGTGGAATCCTAAGGAAGAAAAATGGATTTTTTAATTGATCATTATTCCCTATGGTATGATTTTTCACAATATAAACATTAACACCCGCCCTCTATTAACAAACTGAAATACTGACCCTGGCCAGGTAACTCAGTTGGTTAGAGTATTGCCCCCGATACACCAGGTTGAGGGTTCGATCCCTGGTCAGGACACATACAAGAATCAACTGATGAATACATAAGTAAGTGGGGCAGCAAATTGAGGTTCCTCTTTCTCTCTCTACCTTTCTCCCTCCCTACTCTGTCTCTAAAATCAACAAATAGAAAATTTACCAAAAAAAAAAGAACTTCATAATAATAATGGACTAGATGACATAAAAAAAAGCCTAGAATTCAGGAATGACTCAGTCACCCTAGAAAGAAAACCACAAATTTGTATTGGGATCACTCTTTTGTATTTGTATTGGGATCATGTGACAGTGATCACTCTTGCTTGATAGATATCCAAGAGACATTTTCTTAATTTTTTTATTTACTGATTTGAGAGAGAGAAACATTGGTCCTTTGCCTCACCTTCCGACGCATTCACTGGCAGACTCCTGTGTGTGCCCTGCCTGGGGATGGAACCCACAACCTTGACATGTCCACAGCTGAGCCACCAGCCAGGGCTAGCAGGCATTTTTGAAGAAGTTCTTAGTAGACTGTAGCTCTTAATGCACGGGTGTGACCAAGACCGCCTGCTTGTCTCCCTGCCTGACACTCCAGAGCAGCAATTTCCAACTTTTTTCTGTTGTTTAAAGATTTTGTTCGTTTATTTTTAGACAGAGGGGAGGGAGGGAGAAAGAGAGGGAGAGAAACATCAATGTGTGGTTTCTGCTCATACACCTCCAACTGGGGACCTGGCCTGCAACCCAGGCATGTGCCCTGACTGGGAATCGAACCGGCAACCCTTTGGTTGGCTGAAGGCTGGGGTTCAATCCGCTGAGCCACACCAGCCAGGGGCACAATTTTCAACTTTTCATCTCATGACACACATAAGCTAATTACTAAAATTCTGCGACACACCAAAAAAACTATATGTTTTGCCAATGGAAAAAAAGAGGTATAATTTCGATTCGTTCACACTGGACAGCCGTGGTGGCTGGTGCCACTTTCTGTTCAACAGTCTGAAGGAAAGCAGGTTGGCGGTCCAGACTCAGTAGTCAGGTATCACGCTTTAAAAATTCTTGCTGTAGCCCTGGCTGGCGTAGCTCAGTGGATTGAGCGCGGGCTGCAAACCAAAGTGTCGCAGGTTCAATTCCCAGCCAGGGCACATGCCTGGGTTGCAGGCCATGACCCTCAGCAACCGCACATTGATGTCTCTCTCTCTCCCTCCCTTCCCTCTCTAAAAATAAATAAATAAAATCTTTTTTTTTTTTAAGATTTTATTTATTTATTTATTTTTAGAGAGGGAAGAGAGGAAGATAGAGAGAGAGAGAGACATCAATGTGCGGTTGCTGAGGGTCATGGCCTGCAACCCAGGCATGTGCCCTGGCTGGGAATTGAACCTGCGACACTTTGGTTTGCAGCCCGCGCTCAATCCACTGAGCTACGCCAGCCAGGAATAAATAAAATCTTTAAAAAATAAAATAAAAATTCTTGTAGCTTATCACTTGAAAACCACTGCTCTAGGGAATAGAAAACTTCATGAAGAGGACCTTCTTTGTCTCTTCTTCCTTCGATATCCCTTCGAAATTTCGCCCTTTGGAGCAAGTGTAGAATCAATACTGACCATCCACTCCCTAGTCTCAAAACAGGACTATCACTGAGAATGGACCGCAGCTCAGCCATGACGTGTCGCTGTGGGGTGACAGAGCTGACTCTGTGTGGCAGGTTTGGGTGTCTTCAGTGTGTTGTCCGTTTCCCAGGTGTGCTGCGGTGCCCCTGAGCTCCAGGGACCAGATCCAGAACTTCGTGATTAACGCAAGAACATTCGCCACGGTAGCCAGATGACTGGGGTTTATGATTTTTTTGTTTTCTGCTTTAAAAACATAAATTATGCCTGCTGCTGAATGCTAATTCTCAGATGGTTATAATGATTACAGTGACTTAGGAAAGAGGAAGAAAAAAAGCCAACACTCACACAGGTTGTGACAAGTTTAAAAATACTAAGAATACCATGGTTTCCCAGTAAGTAACTTGAGAATGTAGTTATTTTAATTGGGTTACCAAATATAGCTTCACCTTCCTCAGTGTCTCTGGCGAGGTTCGTGGGGGAACATTCGGGAAGGGCTCTGCCTCCGCTCCAACTCTGTGCTCGAGTGTGGGTACGAGCATGACTGAGGGTTTTGTGTGTTTTGTTTTTTCTGAAGTTACTTTCTCGTGTTTCACCTTTTCAGTGTATTCTTAGGGCTTTTTCCTTCCCTCAGTTTTCTGCCAGTCACACTTCCATTTGGACCGGAAGAGGAAAAAAATGAAAACCCCCTCAAAATACTATTTCAACGTTTAGTACCCTGACTACTGTATTAATATGTGTGTGTGGATAACTCATTAATAAAGAATCTCTGCAGCATGCACTTTGGACATTTCATAGGCTGAGCAAAGCCACCTGTGCACAGAAGCACCAAGTGCATTTCTTTTTTTTTTTTTTAAGATTTTATTTATTTATTTTTAGGCGGGGGGGGCGGCGAGAGAGAGAGAAACATCAATGTGCGGTTGCTGGGGGTTATGGCCTGCAACCCAGGAATGTACCCTGGCTGGGAATCGAACCTGGGACACTTTGGTTCCCAGCCCGCGCTCAATCCACTGAGCTATACCAGCCAGGGCATCCAAGTGCATTTCTTGTGTCATGGTTCTTGCAGGAAAACTGAGGGGTAACCCAGCACCATGTGCGGAACACTGGGCATATTTTCACTTACACTACCGTTTACGTACAGTGTTCTCTGTCCATCAAGTGCATTATTATAACATTCCTTAAAGAAAAAGGCTCGTATACAGCAGGCGCATTACAATCCACACCTCAGGCAGCCCGGAATCAGAAAAAAATCACAGTCCAATAGGAAAAAAAAGGCGCAGTCTCTGTTCGACTGAGTGCTAAGGTGTGTGGTCCCAAGTGTTCCCAGGAGGAAAGGGAAAGACAAGTAACAGCAGCTTTTAAAACTATCTCAGTCACCTCTTGTCCTATCTGCCAAAGGTTAGGATTTAAATATCAAAATTAAGTAGTTTGAATTTTTTTCAAATTAGAAGGTACCATTTCATTGTTAAGTTGCACTATCATAAAGAAGTCACTTCGGCAAAGATGATTCTCGTGATTTCAGAAAGGGTAAACTGCTCAAGCTTTCATGGCTGAGGTTTAACCTTTAAATACGTTTTCCCACAGACTGCTACATTATTTTTCAATAAAACTGGAGAAAACAAAACTATTGCTTGTTTGGGGAGAGCTGGCATCTTCCTCACAGAACAGTCTCATTTCCACCAGGCCGGGGTGCTAGGTGGTAGCCGAGAACCTAACTAACACAGTTTGCTGACTGCCTGTCATTTTGTCCTAATGCAATGAATGAAGTTCTCACATTCCCATTTTCAACTCAGGAGGCTGATAAGGAAAAAAAAAAAAAAAAACTACCGTGCCTGGGTTAGTAGGTTATTCACAATTCCAAACAGCTGGTGGGTCTAAATCTGTTCTTTTTCTCGCCACGTTCATTTATGGACTTACATACAAACACGTGGTTTCCAATGCTCGCCTCTTAGGTCCAAGACATTAATCATACAGCTTTTCTCCCAACAACTGAATATTTTTATTTTTAACTGGCATTATTTGTGCAATACACAGTTTATATGTTTGGTACCTTGAGAGAAAATTAAAGACGTCTTGAGGCAAGCAGAAAGAAGCCTAAACACCCGGAGCAAGTGTCGCCTTCACAACTCTTCTGTCAGCATATACACACATACATGGGTCACATTGTGAGTAACCAGATTTTTCACTTGATCGAACATCTTTCCATTTCAATAAATATCTACATTATTCTTCACGGCTTCCCAGGAAGACTCAGACAGGATTTGCTGAAATAAGCCCTTGTTAGGAACACACAGTCAGTTCTTAGCTATAGAAACCTTACCGACTTCCGGAAGATTGCATGTATGCAAGGTGGGTGAGTTCTGACCCGAGGGACCCTAGTACTTTTCCCTGCAGAAGTCCCACTTCCTGGCTCCTCAGACTCTCCTTGTCACAAAGCCTGTGCAGCTGAGCTGTTGGCCGGGCTCCTGGGCCCAGGAATGCCGCTGCTGCCGCTGCTGCTGCACAGAGCTGTGTGAACACTCCATCTATGGGCAACAGGCGGCCCGCCTGGTACCTGACTGTTTTCTTACTCAGGCCTGGGCTTCCCGTGCTGAAATTTAGACCAGATACGTGCTCGGGGCAGGCTGATGAGAGACGCAGGAGAAGAGAAGGCCTCCAGTTTTCATCTCCGATAGGCAATGAGAACAAGATGTCGTCGGCAAGGGCTGTGCAGACTTGGCTGGAACTGACTCCCCCGTGCGGACCTAGGTTGGGACACTCCTGGGGCGGGAGGGTTCTTCAGGAATGTCTCTGCCAGGCCCACAGGGCACAGAGGTGGGAAACTGTTAAATAACAACAAAAACAAGCGCGGATTTCATCTGCAAAGCAGGAGATTTGGAGGCTAAATAGGAGTCTTCTAAAACTCAACGCAGCGTTGTGTTCAAGGAAAAAGAAATGGCTCCCAAGCGCAGGAGTTCTTGCATGTGCTTACGTTGAAAATGCAGTCCTGCCTGTACTGTGTTTTTTGGAACCAAAATAAGACATTCTTTTCTTAAGGCAGATTTCTCTTTCTGTCACCCCACAAGTGACTGGGACATTTCTGAACGGCCACATTCCCTGGTTTTTAAAGCAGTCCCTTATCTGACCTTGAGCTGAATGTCCCTGACATTCCCTTGAGGGGACACTGAATGTCCCTTGAGCAGCGTCCCCTTTAAGAATACAAAAACCTGCTTTTCCTGGAATTATTTTCTGGTGCTTTAGCTTTTTGTCCAGCTTAATAGTATATTCTCAGGAATTTTTCCTACCCCCTGTTTTCCGCCTTTCTCACGTCCATCGCCAGGACAGGAGGCAAGGAGCCCTTGATCACCAGGGTTACCCAACCCAGAGCAGGCCTGCCCCCCTCGGAAGACGGCCCGGGAGCCTAAAAGAGTCTTTGCATCGGAAATGGAAACTGCGCCTCGGATACTGACGAAAGTTAATGACCGAGTTAGTCAAGTCTGAAACTCCTGCAGGAACACAGAGGGACGAATTCCTGGCACCTGGCCCCATCACTTATAAATGAGCGCGGGGGGGGGGTCACTTAAAACCTTTATACTTGCTCATACGTTGGTCCTGAATTGTAAAGATCCTGTTTGAAAACTTGCCAGTGATGGGGTTAATCAGCATCCCTTAAAACTAGAGAAACAACAACAAAAAAAGCTGTTGTACGGAGCAACCGTAGGAGTTGGGCGTGGGGCGGGGGGTGGGGGGGTGGCGCGGACGCAGTTAGGAAATCTGGCGCGAAAGGGGTGACTACCCTTTCGGGCGCCGCGCTCGCCCCCGCCCGGTTTTGTTCAGCAGCTGGGTCCGGGTAGGTCGTGGGCAGGCCCTGAAGGCCTCGAATCCAGGCGCAGGGTAGGGCCTCCCCTTAGAACACTTGTCACCCAGCGTCCCGGCCCGGGCTTCTGCGGGAGGCCGCAGGAAGCCCCGGAAGAACGGCGGGAGGGAGCGGGCGAGGGCGGCGGTGACTCAGCCGCGAGCGTGGGACGGGCGCGCGAGGGGTGATGGAGCGGCGCGCTCCGCCGGGCGGCGGCGCCGGGCCCGGAGGGGTTAAGGGGGCGGTGCCGGCGGCGCCCCACCCCCCGCCGGCCTCAAGGAGGCCGCGGCGCTCGGCGGTATTTATAGCGGCTGCGCCGGACGCGCCGCGTCTCTCCCGCTGGCCCCGGCCGCGGCTTTTCCCGGTCGAACGCTTCCCTGCCCCGCGCCCCGCAGCGAAGGCGCCATGGAGCGGCCGGCGCCCCTGGCCGTGCTGCCCTTCTCGGACCCTGCGCACGCGCTGAGCCTGCTGCGCGGCCTGAGCCAGCTCCGCGCCGAGCGCAAGTTCCTGGACGTGACCCTGGAGGCGGCGGGCGGGCGCGACTTCCCGGCGCACCGAGCTGTGCTGGCCGCCGCCAGCCCCTACTTCCGCGCCATGTTCGCCGGGCAGCTGCGCGAGAGCCGTGCCGAACGGGTGCGCCTACACGGCGTGCCGCCAGACATGCTGCAGCTACTGCTGGACTTCAGCTACACCGGCCGCGTGGCCGTGAGCGGCGACAACGCCGAGCCGTTGCTGCGCGCCGCCGACTTGCTGCAGTTCCCGGCGGTGAAGGAGGCGTGCGGCGCCTTCCTGCAACAGCAGCTAGACCTGGCTAACTGCCTGGACATGCAGGACTTCGCCGAGGCCTTCAGCTGCTCCGGGCTGGCGAACGCGGCACAGCGCTTCATTCTGCGCCACGTGGGCGAGCTGGGCGCCGAGCAGCTGGAACGCCTGCCGCTGGCGCGCCTGCTGCGCTACCTGCGCGACGACGGATTGTGCGTGCCCAAGGAGGAGGCCGCCTACCAGCTGGCGCTGCGCTGGGTGCGCGCCGACCCGCCGCGCCGCGCAGCTCACTGGCCGCAGCTGCTCGAGGCCGTGCGCCTCCCCTTCGTGCGCCGCTTCTATCTGCTGGCGCACGTCGAGGCCGAGCCGCTGGTGGCGCGCTGCCCTCCCTGTCTTCGCCTCCTGCGCGAGGCGCGCGACTTCCAGGCGGCGCGCTACGACCGCCACGACCGCGGGCCCTGTCCCCGAATGCGCCCGCGCCCTTCTACCGGCCTCGCTGAGATCCTCGTGCTCGTGGGCGGCTGCGACCAGGACTGCGACGAGTTGGTCACTGTCGACTGCTATAACCCGCAGACAGGCCAATGGCGCTACCTGGCCGAGTTTCCTGACCACCTGGGCGGGGGCTACAGCATCGTAGCGCTTGGCAACGACATTTACGTGACGGGTGAGTGGACTCGTCGGGAGGAACCTGGGCCTGCCACCCTCAGGCAGGAGTTTCTGGGGTTGGCTTCCTGCACCCCTTTGGGAGGGAACATGTCCACCTTACCAAGAAACCCACAGAATGCAGAGTCTGGGACAGCACCTGAGTACCAGCGGTCACTTCCCTTTCCCTCAAGCTGGCGGGTGGGTAAGGTTCTAGGGTCAATACTTGGGACCTAGAAGAAGAGCTGTGGGTTTCTTTCAGGAGCTGCGGGGCGTGCCTGGGTAGTCCACTCCTTCCAGGGAGGCGCCACTCCCCCCGCCCTGTGGTTGGAAGATACTGGGGCATTCACCCTGCACAATGGGTGCTTTCTTTTTATCCCTATGAGATCCAGCGTCGGGCCTGGGGGTTACGCCCTGTGACACATCCATTCTCCCCTCCCGGGGATTTCTCCCAGCTGAGCCACCAGGGCCTCCAGATGCCCGACTTGTGTCACCACTGACTAGGTTCCCTTGGGCTTGCACTTGGGATGCAAGCTGTGAGTCACATGGTGTTTAGGCTGCTCCCTTCCCGGCGACTGTAAACATAGTCACATGTTTAGGAGGTTTTCTTCCAGTTACTTGGCTCAAACCCCAAAACACTGCCGAGTCATGCTGGGCGGGCCCCAGCCCGCCCCAGTTCTGGGCTTCTCCCACATTTTTTATTAAGGATAAATCCTGGTGCAGACAGGAGGCTGCCAGCTTCTGTGGGGTGAGACGGGGCGTTCCCTGTGGCGGCTATATAAGGAAAGAAGGCCTACCGAGTGGGGAGTGTGCATTCGGGGCCCTGCGTGGGGCTGTAATCAGGCAGGGAGCCTCGGGGATGTGCGGGGGGCCTGGCACATCCGGGAGAAAGCCAGATCTGAGACTCGCTCCCGTGTTTCCCCGGGACTCGGAGCTGACAAGTGGGAGGCATCCCAGCCTAAGGACACGCTCCACTCTGTGGCCGTAGCTTCCTGGGCCGAGGGCTCCAGGTCCAGCCTCTGCTGACATGTCCCAGAACCCCAGCCCCTTTGCAATCTGAGGTCGGCCCCATGTTGTTGGGGAACCATGCCCCTGCCCCCAAGTCTGGCCAAGGAATCCCCTTCCCAAAACTGGTCGCACTGGCCCCAACTCGGCACACGCCTCCATAAATGTCTCAGCCGAGCAGCTAATGGGTTTAGACAGGTGGCTGGGCCGTTCCAAACAGCTGCCCGTAGGGAATGTCGCTGGGGAGAGCAGGGTCTCAGCCGCCCCGGACCCGGTTCTCCCGTAGAAGGAAGCAGGCCCGCAGCGCAGACTTCACCCAACTGGCGTTCTCCCTTTAAAAAGCTCGGGGCCGCGAGCCGGATGGGATGGAATGGAATGTCCTCTTGGCTTTGCCGTGGCGCCATCCTCGGAGCAGGGAATGCAACCCGGGGGTCCTGGGGACCCTTCACGGGGTGACAGGGTTCAAGCTCCCTGGCAGACTGGTTAAACTCACGATCACAGTCCAAGCCATTAGGCTTTGATTTTTTTTTTTTTTTAGTTCTTTTTTAAAACATGGACAGAAGCGTATACAGGGGTGGGCCAAGGTAGATTTACAGTTATGAGGACACAAAACAGTTTACCTTTGTATTATTATCCATTCATTGTATTTGAAAGTGGACCACTGATTTTGCTCCGTTCCGTATTTGTACAACTTGGTGAGTTTTCCCAGACAGGACACGTGGATAACCTGCACCTGATTTAAATCAAGAACTAGAGCCCAGAAGTCCACTCAGGGCAGCACCTTCTGGGTTGGGTCTCACTTGCAGTGCAAAGTAGACTTCTTCTCAGCTGTTCCTGGCACGGCCCGGGTCAGGGGATGGCCAGGAAGCCTAGGGTTTGGTGGACAAGGCCTTGTGCATCCCACTCCCGTGCTTCGCGTGCCTCGGAGAACTGACTCTAAGACCCGAGGTCCCGGCTTGGTTCGGGCATGCGACGGCGCATTGCCCGAGGCATTGCAGCCCCGGGGCCTTTGCTTGGCCTGCAGAGATCGGGAGGTTTACTTTTTTATTTTTATCCTCCATTGCAGACAGGCTCACTAATTTTAGAGAGGGGGGAAGGGAGAGAGAGAAACTTTAATGTTTAGAGAGAGAGAAACACTGACCCGTTGCCTCTCGCACTCCCACGGCCCGGGGACCAAACCTGCAACCCAGGCCTGTGCCCTGACGGGGAATCAAACCCGAGACCTATTGGTTGGCGGGAAGACGCTCCAGCCAACCGAGTCAGGACTGACGTGGAGGTGTTATCATGGCATGAAGCGTGGCCAAGGGGCGTCTGCCTTGCCTTAGCCCCGGCAGGGAGCCCCTGGCCTGGGCATTGGGGAGAGAGGACGTGTTTCCACCCAGGCCCCAGGAGGTCTGCCGTCCCCTGGAGGCGCCCTCTGGGAAGTTCCGGGGGAAGTGTGGGCCGGCGACCCGCCCTGGCCGGCACGGACTGACGTGTGCACTGTGCGTGCCCCGGCAGGCGGGTCCGACGGCTCCAGGCTGTACGACTGCGTGTGGAGGTACAACTCGAGCGTGAACGAGTGGACGGAGGTGGCGCCCATGCTGAAGGCCCGCGAGTACCACAGCTCCTCGGTGCTGGACGGGCTGCTGTACGTGGTGGCGGCGGACAGCACGGAGCGCTACGACCACACCACCGACTCCTGGGAGGCCCTGCAGCCCATGACCTACCCCATGGACAACTGCTCCACCACCGCCTGCCGAGGCCGGCTCTACGCCGTCGGCTCCCTGGCCGGCAAGGAGACCATGGTGATGCAGTGCTACCACCCGGACACCGATCTCTGGTCGCTGGTGGACTGCGGCCAGCTCCCGCCCTGGTCCTTTGCCCCCAAGACGGTGACTCTGAACGGACTCATGTACTTCATCAGGTGAGTCCCCGTGGGTCACGGCCACCGCGCCATCCCTCTGACCAGGCCCTCGTGCCAGGCGCACCAGCCCTGTTCTTCCCTCCACGGACAAGGAGCCTGTGGCCCGCCTGGGTCTTCGTGGCCTGCGGCCTCTGTCCTGCTAGTTCTCAGGGCGCTTTCCATGGGCTTCTGGGTTTTCCTAACCAGGGGATCCCGAGTGTGGTGCGGTCAGGTCCTTTCCAGGAACTTCCCTAGATGCTAAGTAGAACGTGCCCCTTCGGCTGGACCCACACCTGGAGGGCCCCCTGAGGCGCTGGCGGCTCGCACGTGGCCTTTGTTGTTGGACAGGACCCGGTCCTCTCTCCGGGGCTCTGAGCCTGGAAGAGACCAGGGGAGACCTTTTCTGGACACTCGGGCCTTTGGGCGAGGTGCGGCTGCGGCAGAGGGACCCTTTGCTCTCCTCGCAGAGTGCCCACCACACTCAGGCCGGGGGCGGGGGGCCCTGCCTCCAGGCACGAGAGGCCAGGAGGCTGGATCAGCCCCGCCCGCTCTGTTTGAAGCGCTGGTGTGTCCCTTCCGTCCCCACCTGGCCTGGCACCGAGAAGGCCCGTGTGTCTTGCCCACACATGCCGTTGTCCGAGGTCCCCCGGCCGCTCCGGACCGGGAGAGAGCTGGTGCTGAGCCAGCCCCAAAGCCACCTGCGGGGTGATGACACTAGCCGGCTCGCACTGGGGCCTGGACGGGCCAAATGCTGTGTCGCCTGCGTCCCAGGCGTTTCCATCGCTGGCCTCCCTGACCGTGGTCCCTGTCTCACGGACAGCAGAACGGGCCGAGGGGGGTAGGGGACTTCCAGCCACGGGCTCCAAGGGGTGGTCCGAGGTTTGAAGGGAGGACATCCATCCAGGTCGCTGTGTGGTGTCACTGCGTCACCGCCTCCCTGGTGGGCAGGCTGCGGCCCTGGCAGCGTGGAGTGGAGTTGGGCAGCCGCAGGGTCACCAAGCATCTGCCCAGTCAGAGCCACACGCCGCCTCCCGGTGGGCCCGTGGGCACCCAGGGAGCCAGGAGCCCCCACCTGCCATGCCCACCTGCCGTTCTCCTCCCTGGCCCGGAGCCTGCCTAAGGCACAGCCCGGGAGGGGAGGGGAGGGGAGGGGAGGGGATGAACAGTACTCTCCCCCCTGTCCCCTTCCGGTCTGGGGCTTTGAATTGGGAGCCTCAGAAGAAGGGTGCACTTTGCTTCTCAGCACCCCTGGACCCCCACCGTCCGAGCTTCCCCTCCCCTCCCCTCTCCAGGCTCTCTGGGGGGCACCTTCAGACAGAGGTGGTGTCGCTTGCACGTGGCCGAGGGGCCAGGCATCACCGCAGGCCAGCCACTGCGTGCGGTCTGCTCCGAGCCCCTGGTCCTGTCACAGACGTCATCTGGCCCTTCCCCCAGCTCTCCTGCCCTGAGTCCTGGTAGCTGTCTTCAGGGCGGGGGTGGGGACAGCTATAAATACAGCCCGTCGGAGTGCCAGCCCCTTGGCCGCGTCCCAGTGTCTTTGAGAATGTCCTTCCTCCCCGTGGTCCCGGAGCCAGGTGTGCCCAAGGGCCAGTCTGCCGTCCCGAGGCCCCAGGACCTCCTGGTCTCAGTCGTTGGTCATTGCTAGGCCAGTCCACGTGGAAGCATTGGGGTGCCCCCCGCACCCATCCTTAGCCTTCGGGAGGATTTCCCTAAGCTACGGGGGGCCAGAGGAGGTGGGCTCAGCTCTGCCCGTCCCCCCGCCCAGCTGAGCGAGTGCACAGTCAGGAAAGAAAGCCCCCCCGCCACCCCCACCCCTGTTGGTCCTCTGGTGGCCAGTGCAGGCCCAGCCCTGCCTCCCTCGAGTGCAGCGGATGCCTGTGTCCGATGCGCTTCTGTGTTCGTCCCAGCACCGCCCTGTGCGTGCTCGCTGGTGCCTGCCGGCCCACAGAGCCCCCTGCCTGGACCGCCCACCGTGGGGCCGCTCCCGTCGGGAAGGTGTCCGCCAGCACCCCGGCCCTGCTTCTGTCCTGGGAGCAGCCGTGCCCTCCTCCCCCAGCCTTGCCCACCCTGGTCCCCACGTAAGGCCCCTGCAGAGGGATGGGTTGGCCACACTGGCCACCTTTGCACGTCTGGTGGCAGTTTGTACTGCCTCTGCTTGGGGCAGGCGGCCCCCTGGCTTCTGGCCGTATTCATCACAGCGTGGGCCTTGACGTGGTGGCGTGATTGGAGGGAAAAGTCAAAGCAAGAGTGAGGTCGTACGACGTGTGAGAAGTTGTGTGAGATTCAGATTTCCGCACTCCTTACATAAGGCTTGTTTGGGGGTGCCGGTGGCTGCTCTTGTCCCTAGAGAGCGCCCCAAATATTTACTCTCAGGCCCTCTTGCTGAGCCCTGGTCTGCAAGTATTCTGTCTTGGGGGAACAGCCCTTGCTTTTCAAGGCTGTGCCTCGGAGCCTGTGGTCGCAGGGACCAGGGCCCTGCAGACAAGGTCAGCCCCAAGAGAATAGCTGTGTGGGGGCGCCTTCCTTCCTGTAGCCGCCGTTACCCCGCCGGGCACCAAGGACGCAGCAGTGGACAGGGTGGGGTTGGGGGGCTGACAGTGGGGGTACAGGCAGAGGCGGAGGATCAGTCTGGGGCACATGGCAGTGTGCAACGGTTGCGGGGAGCCGGCCCGGCCCGGCCCGGCCAGCTCTGAAAGGCTGTCTCGCACAGGGGGCCAAGTCCCAGGTGAAAGGCTGAGCAGGAGACGGGTGGCAAGGACCCTGGTGCATTCTGGATCTGCAGCCAGTGTGGCCGCAGAGAGGGGGCTGGGTGGTAGGGAAAGGGTTAAGCACCTTGAGGGTGGGCTCTTTGACTTTAGGGACCAAGGCTGGGTTCCAGCTCTGGAAGCCAGGCCAGAGGTAGGTGCAGGGCCTAAAATCGGGGGTGGGGTCCCGCTGGGTGCTGGGCTGTCGGGCGGCACCAAAGACGACGAGCTTGGAGGACCCTCCTCTTCTGACCCCTTCAGTACTCTCGCTCTGACCCCCGCCTCCCCACCCCCACAGGGACGACTCTGCCGAGGTGGACGTGTACAACCCCACGAAGAACGAATGGGACAAGATCCCATCTATGAATCAGGTAAATGGGCGCGTGTCGGGAGCATGAGCCGCCGCGGGGCAGGGAGTGTGCTAGGGAAGAGTGTGCCACAGCGGGGGGGAGGAGTGGGGAGTGGGGCACCCACACGCAAAGGCCCTGGAGCGGGTGTGCCTGGTGTGTTGGTAGAACGAGTCCTCAGCCCAGTGTGGCTGGTGCAGGTGGACAAGCAGACAGCCAAGCGGACCAGGTCACACAAAGAGCTCTCCAGAGGCTGCTCTTGGGAACAGAGCATTTATTGAGCACCTGCTGTGTGCTCTGAGCAGGACACCCACGCTGCTGCTGTTGCTGGATCGGGGGGTCTCACCCTCTCTCTGCCTGTTGAGGAGAGGGGGGCAGAGCTGGACGGTGTCAGGGGACTGGGAAGCCTGGGCAGTGGTTGGCCACGAGGGCGACCCCCTTAGCCCCGGCTCCACCTACATGCACCACCATCTTTTTTTTCTTTTCTCCCCCCGCCCCCCCACCCCAGTCTTCCTTAAAATTTCCAAACCTCCTCTATGGCCAGTGTCAGAAGTCACAGCATCACAGCTTAGCATCTTTATTTACCCTTCATACATGTAATGTGCTCCCCCCCCCATCACCTGCACACACTCGTTACAGCAAGTCTGGGAAAGGTGGGGTGGTCCAGCCCTGTGGCTCGGAGCCCAGGCTTTGGGTCAGGTCCCAGCTCTGTGATCCTCGCGGCACAAGGCTCCATTCTCCTATCATGAAGGTGGGGAGGACAGTCGTGCCTGTCTTAAAGGGCCAGGGACACTCACAGGGAGACTCGGTGCCCCTGTAGCCCCCTCACCACCATGGGGACTGGGCGTGGGGCCCGTGTTCCTGGGTGGGGCGTAGCGAGGGCGTCGGCCTGCCTGGGGCGTGTGCGGAACAGGGCTCACGGCGCCAAGGCCAGAGGTGGTGAGGCCGCCTCGCCTGGGGGCCGCAGGCACCCTCCCCATGGAGAGGGGCTGGGGCAGCTCCGCCACACCCTGGCTGCCAGCCACCACTCACCTGTCCCCCTTGGCCCACAGGTGCACGTGGGGGGCAGCCTGGCCGTCCTCGGAGGGAAGCTGTACGTTTCGGGGGGCTACGACAACACGTTTGAACTCTCGGACGTGGTGGAGGCCTACGACCCTGAGACCCGGGCGTGGAGCGTGGTGGGCCGGCTCCCGGAGCCCACCTTCTGGCACGGGAGCGTCAGCATCTTCCGCCAGTTCATGCCCCAGACGCCCTCGGGTGGGCGCGGCTTCGCGCTGGACAGCGGCACCGTTGACATGGACCTGGGCCAGCCCCGGCCACCCCAGAACCCGCAGGAGCTGCACTAGCCCCGGCCTGGCCCGGGGAGGGCCTCGGTGCAGGTAACCCGGCACCTCGGGGGGCGACGACCCCCCGCCTTCGTGCCCAAGGACAGGTCGGGCTCACCCGGTGGAACGGGGGCTGTTGGGGTGCTGAGTGAGCCTCGGGGTCCGGCGCCCAGGTTGTTCCGTGCGCCAAGAACCTAAGTCACAGCTGCTGGGGCCGGGGCCAGTTGTGAGCGCCCCTCCCTCGGTCCAGGAAGAGCTGTCTCGCTGCCGGCACATGGCTCTCGCTCCAACAGGTCACCCCCCCCCCCACACACACACACACACACCCCGTAGTCTGTCTCCCAGCATCGACTGACTGGCTCCCGCCTCGGGAGAGGAGAACCCCACTTGGGGCGTGAGCGGAGGGGGACAGGTCCTCCCTGGAGAGCCCAAGAATGGCCGAGGCCTACCTTCCCACAGGCCCTGCTGCCTTGGGCACTAGGAATCAGGCTGGCCATGGCTGCAGCAGGGCCCCAGACTTCACGTCCAGTGCCGGGTATCCTAGCAAACCGTCTCCGCAGATGAAGGGGCTCACACACCAAAACACCCCTCATAGGGGTGGGCCTCCAGCAGGGGAGGACCTCAGACCCAGGGGCTCAGGGCGGTGGGACCTCGAGGGGGGCCCAGAGGGGCCTGCCAAGTGTGTGCTGTCCGCAGGGGACCTGGGCTGAGGCAGGCACTGGCCGTCCGTGCCCACCCCCCACCAGCTGGTCTGTGGCCGTGCTGCACTTGGCCTCTGCAAGGCCCCTGCAGGACCCCTCCGGACTCGGGGTGTGAGAGCCTGCAGGTGCAAGGTCGCGGCCCGCTCCTTCCCGGGAGGCCCCGGGAGCTCGCCTTTGAAGCCCGGCAGGGCAGGCAGCTGCAGGCGCCCTTGCCGGCCTGCGGTCCAGAACCCCACCTCCTCTGGGGGTGGCGGGCCCCGGGCAGCGCGGCCTTGGGGTTGGTTCCAGGGTTCGAATCTCAGTTTGGCCTTCACTCCTCGAGTGAAGGGGCCTCGGAAGCAGGGTCCAGTGTGGTCGGGGATGTGGTGCAGAGGCCTGGGGGCAGGGCTCCGGGAGCACCCGGGGAGCCCCGCAGTGCGGGGGGCCCTTTTCTCTGGGAGTGGGAGTGGGTTCGGGATTGGGCGGTCCTGTCCCCTCAAGGCCCCCGGTGTAGCTTTGCTTTAGTTCGCCTTCCCTCCGAAGAGGAGGGTGTTTGCATGTTCCTCGTCAGGTGTGTTGAGAGTAGGTGCTCGCCCAGCAGCCTTTCCCGGTGAACTGGGTGAAGATGCGTGTCTCCGCCCCCCCGCCCCGGGAGGAGCCAGGGCCAGCAGTGTCGCGTCCCCAAGTGCCACCTAAGACCCCTTCTGGCCACGTGGCCGTGGTTCTGGGGAGGAAGCCTTACGGTCTTGAGGCCATCGGGTGGGTCCTCCAGTGTGGTGTCGTCACTTCAGGTTAGACGGTGTGGTCCGGACACCCTGCCGGAGCGGCCCCAGCTCACAGCTGTCCCTTCCCATCCCCTGGGGCTCGCTGCTCACCTGGCCCCTCTGCACCCTCTGTGCGCCAGGCACTGCTGGAGGGCAGGTGGGGTCGGCCCCCGCAGTGCTGCAGCCTGCCCTGGGCCTCTGTGCCCTGGGCACCCTCCCCTGGGTCTCTGCCTTCACCCCAGTTAGTGCGGGGACTTTGCCACACGGGCAATGTGGTGACTGCCGTGACAGGTCATCTCGGGGCTGTCTGCACAGAGGGCCTTTCGGCAGCTCGAGGAGGTGTGACTTCTGCAGAGGGTGGCCTGTGCTGTGGTCACTGGAGCTGAGCTCTCCTCCCCTCCCTCCAGCTAGGCTGGGCAAGCGAGGTGTCATATAAAGCTTTGTGGTTGAGACGGGGCTGCTCACGCTCTCGTTTTTCTTGCAAAACCAGCCTTCCTCCGGCACTCCCCGTAGAGGCTCTCGGGGCAGGGGGCCGGTGCTCCGGGCTCTCTCTCCTCAGTTCTTCACTGTGACTGCCCTCGCGGGCCTGACCACCCCACCGGCTGGCGACGGCCCAGGTGACGGAGAGGGCTGGGTTTGCGTCCTTCTCCACGTCTCCACCACCCAGACTCTGTCTTTGGTTTCAAAGACTAAGGATGGGAAGGGGACGCAGCAGCCTTAGCAACAGCCAGCCCCTCCCGACTCCAGCAGGGGGTCCGGGATCGGGGACGCCCTCTGGCTCGTCGGCTCCCTGGCTCCCCCGGCACGGGTTCCAGGTTGCAAGCTGCACCCCTTACCAACTTTCATATACTGGCCGGGGTCAGAGGGCCGGACCAGCTGGGGGTGGGACTGTGCCCGTGTGTGTGGAATGCACACACCTTTATCTGTCTACAAGTCAAATTAAGTTATGAGAGTTTGGTGGTAGTATTTAATGCTCATCTAGGACGTATTGTGTATTTATGGCTCAGAGACCCCTCCTGTGTCCCGCACCCAGGTTCAACCCCAGCAGGTGGGCAGGTTTGCGTATTTATTTGTCTGTTCTGTAGGCTTCCACGTCCAGAACCCTGTAAGGTTTTCGGATGCCTCCAATATGTACTTTTTGAAATAAAAATGTTTCCTATACACGTGGTGTCATTGCCTTTGTCCTGCTGCAGCGGCGTCTGGGACACCTGGCCGAGTCCGGGACACCTGGCCGAGTCCAAACACTCGGGGCCACCCCCGTGCCCGGCGGGGCCGGGCCAGGTGCAGTGGCCGGGACGCCTGCTCACAGCCCTGGGACGCAGCTTTCCAGGTCCTTGCGCCACCTGAATCGTTACAAGGTGCAACGGGGAGGAAGAGGGCGGCCAAGCCCGAGACGTGAGGGACTGGGTGGCCGAGTCCGGGCCTCGCTGTTCCCCGCCTCCCCGGCCCCACCTGATAGCACCCAGCCCCTCCTCCAGGTGTCGTCCCTCCCGCGGACCCTCCCTCTCCGGCCCATCCTGAGAGTTGGCAGGGTCGGGCGCAGGACCCTTCCACTGGAGGGGCCCGGAAGAGGCCGTGGGGCTCAGGAAGGCTCCCCACATTCGCAGAGCAGCAGGCCTGCCCGAGCCCACGGAACAGGCTGCTGCTCACGGCGGGGGGCACTTTGAGACCTGCACTTGGCTCCGTTAACACTTCTGCCAACCAGCCCCAGGCAGCTCACCACCTGGGTGTCGGTCATTGATTGCACCTGAGCTTGTTATCACGGAGCTAGTAGTGGTCAAGGAGTAAAAGGAAGGACAGAGGGGCTCCTCCTCAACCTCCGGGAGGGACTCGGCACAGCTCAGGGCTGGTGTCTTGGGGGACCTCCTGTGATGGGACTCAAGTCGGGCCTGGCCCGGGTTCTCAGGGTCATGACTGTTGTCCCTCTGGGGGGCCAGCTGGGTATCTGTGCCGATTCCAACATCCCTCCCACTGGGGGCCCCTGGCAGGAGCAACGCTGACTTCCGGGGCTGCGTCACAAGGCACCCACAGGCTCAGCCTGTGGGGGCTTCTGCCCTGGGCCCCCAGCTGCAGTGCCAGAGGGGAGCAGTCCTCAGAGCGGCCCCCACCCCAGGGGAGGTCGGGGGTGGCTCACCGGGCAGCCGGCGCTCACTCAACCCTCACCTATTGGAGCCGCACTGTTACAGGATCCATTAAAAGAGGGGAAATGGGGCTTGCCCCCCCCGGCCAGACTACAAATGGGCGGAGGAAGGATTCGGATGCAGCCTGCCTCCAGCACCCGTGACAAACAGCGCCCCACCCCCCATGGGTCCCGGTATCACAGAGGCAGGGGACCTGGCCTCGCCTGTGCCCAGGTTTCCTGGGCTAGCTACCCACGCTCAGTGCCCCTGCCCCCAGGGGAAGGGTCTCACCTGCAGGCCAGCAGCCCCCGGGGTCCAGAGCTCACTGACCCACCAGCCTGACCCTCCTCAGCCCCCAGGAGTGCTCAGAATGTTACTGCTGAGTGCAGCTCTGCGCCCAGTCCTGACACCCTGACGACAGGAGGGCTGGGAGACAGGGGACAGCCTCCTGGACCGGAGGTTTGGCTCCCTTAACTCACGCCCCGGTGTCACTTTGCAGAGAGCTTCCAACGAGGGGGAAGGGGGTGGCTGAGGTTGGGAGCAGCCAGGGCACCGTTTCTTGGGGGGTGGGGCGGAAAGCAGCAGGCCCCTGGAGGGACCCAGGGAACAAGACAGTCCAGTCCAAAGCCACGTGGTTTATTGGGGGCCGGAGCCACGCGGGTGCGGTGGGTCGGGGGGGGCTACGTGTCGCAGTCTTCGGGGATGGCGGCCTCGATGAGCAGCGAGGGCTCCACGACGCCCGGGCCCGCGAAGCCCTCCTCCGCGCACAGTCTCTGGGCCGGCAGCTGGGGCGCCAGGCCGCCCTGGGCCAGGGACTCCACGATGACCTCGGCAGAGCCCACCTCCAGCTCGGCGGGCGGCTGGAGCGCCACCACCACCATCTTCTCGTCCTCGATGACCAGGTTGCGGAGCTTTCGCTGCCGGGGGTTGTAGTTCTCCACGCGGTCGTGGATCTCCATGTGCCTCCGCAGGTGCGCCTGGGGGGCAGGGGGCTCAGGGCTGGGCTGGCAGGTGGGCCTGGGGGGCAGGGGGCTCAGGGCTGGGCTGACAGGTGGGCCTGGGGGGCAGGGGGCTCAGGGCTGGGCTGGCAGGTGCGCCTGGGGGGCAGGGGGCTCAGGGCTGGGCTGGCAGGTGGGCCTGGGGGGCAGGGGGCTCAGGGCTGGGCTGGCAGGTGGGCCTGGGGGGCAGGGGGGCTCAGAGCTGGGCGGGGAGGGGTGGGGGGGGCAGGAGGAGGCGACCCCAGGCCCACCTGCCGGGTGAACTTGTAGCCACACTCCGTGCACTCGAACTTCCTCACGCCCTTGTGCCTCCTGACGTGTACGCGCAGCTGCTCCACCGCTGCGGAGGGCGGGGGGGGGGGGCGGTCAGGAAGGGCAGGAACCGGGCAGAGGGCAGGACCTGCCCTAAGCCAGGTCCTCTGGGTTCCAGCTGCTGCTTGGCGGCCCCCCACCCAGACTACAGTGCCGACCCTGGGGAGCGTCCCCCATCCCCCGGGAGGGGAAGCAGACCGCCACGGGGAATGGGCGAGATCGCCGGGGTGCCCTGCTGAGGAGGGGCCCAAGGAAGCCGCGGCCACGGGCGGCCTCGCCCAGGGGGGACCCTCCCACCCTGGGGAGCAGGAAGTGGGGGTGGCCCGGCCCTCCCCTCTGCCCAGGGCCTAGAAAGAAGCGCAAGGGGCGAGGGCCTGGGAGCGCCCAGGCACCTTTGAAGGTCTTCCCGCAGATCTGGCAGAAGTGGGGCCGGCCCTCCTGGTGGCGGCTGGCCACGTGCCTCAGCAGCGGCCCCTTCTCGGTGAAGCGCTGCTCGCAGAACTCGCAGCTGAAGGGCCTCTCGCCCGTGTGCGTGCGGTTGTGCTTGTCCAGGCTGGCTGCGGGGACAGACGGGGGTCCAGTCTCCGGGCCTCGGCCCTGAGGCGGGGGCGGGGGCGGGGGCGGGGGACGGGTCGGCCTCACCTTGGGTGCGAAAGGTCTTGCCGCAGAGGTGGCACTGGAAAGGCTTCTCGCCCGTGTGCGTGCGCAGGTGCATGTTGAGGTTGGCCTTCTGCGTGAAGGCGTGGCTGCAGAACTCGCAGACGAAAGGCCTCTCGTTCCTGTCCGGGTGGGGGCCCAGGCGGAGGCCTTGACCGAGGGAAGGGCACCCTTCGCCCCACGGCAACCAGGAGCCCTCCCGGCCTGAGCTAAGGAGCTGCACGGAGCCCTCAAGGGCAAGGCCGGCAAGGCCAGCAAGGCCGAGGCGAGCCTGCCTGAGCCGCTGGAGGGGCCTAGGTGTTGACGAGCTGCCTGGCGGGGGCAGGGCTTGGGCAGCGCCAGGGAAGGGGCACCTGCTCCAGCTTGCAGCGCCAGAAACTGAGAATCTGCCCAGGGGAGCACAGCCTCGTCTTAGCCTGGAGTGCCCTCCCCCAGCCCGACTGGCACACTTGCTCATCCCTCCGATGCCCCTGCAGGGGCCACACTCAGGGTGGGAAAAACTCTGTCCCGTGTGGCAGCAAGCAGACTCCTGGGCCCCCTCGCTGGCCCGGAGCCAGCCCAGGCCCTGGGGGGAGACGGGCCAGCCCCCACCTGTGCTTGGCTTTGATGTGCATTTGCAGGCCATTGCGGCTCGAGGCCCGGTGCCCGCACTCCTCGCACACGAACAGCTTCTCCCCGCGGTGCTTGAACGCCTCGTGCAGCTGCAGCTCCGTTCGGGACAGGAAGCACTTGGCGCAGGTGGGACACTGCGGGAGCAGGGCCAGAGTCAGGGCGAGGCTGCCCGGAGCCCTGCCCCGCCCCGGCCCGAACACCTCGCACGGCAGGAACCGCAAGGCCGCCCTGCCGGAGCAGCTCCGGAGCTGGCATCACAGTGTGCTGGCCCCGCCCCCGGCATGGCCTGGCACTTACAGCGTGGGGCTTGGGGGCTCCGTGCAGCTTGATCATGTGACTCTGCAAGTCCTTCTTCTGCATGAACTGCTGGGAGCAGGAGGAGCACTGGAAGACAGGCCCACAGGCACCTGAGGCAACCTATCCCCAAAACCCCAAAACCCTGGGCACACCCAGCCACCCCCAAGCTCTGCAGGGGCCACAGGGCAGTGCCCAGCCTGAGGTGCTGGAGGCCCCCTGACCTGGGTGAAGGATGCACTGGCAAAAGGCTGCCCCCCCCAACCCGTGGAAATAAACAAGGGCCCGGAAAGGACCGGTGGCCCAGCCTGAAGGTGCAGGGGCACCGGAGGGGTGGGAAAGGCTGGGTTCCTTGAAGCTGGCGAGGGAGGCGCCTGACACCATCCCAATAAAGGGCTCAGTGGGAGGGACCCTGAGGCTGGCCCGTGGCCCGCGGCCCCAGGGACAGGGGGAGCCTGACCTTGTAGGGCATCTCCCCCGTGTGGGACACCATGTGCACCCGCAGCTCCGTCCTCCGGCGGAAGGCCTCCTGGCACACGGAGCACGTGAAGACCTGGCAGTGTGGGGGGCAAGCAGGGCCGGCGTCAGCGGGGGCCTCTGCCTGCGACGGCGGCCTCTGCCCGGGCTTCCGCTCGCTGCTGGGAGGCGTCTGCCCGAGGAGGGGGCCGCTAGGGTGGGAGAGGGCGACACGTAACCTGCCTGCCCGGACCCTGACTGCTGCAGACCCACCGCGCCAGGCCCTTCCCAGGCCCGGCGGGCTGGGGGCAGGGGCCCAGCGGCCTCACCCGTAGCCCCCGCCCGGGCAGCAGGCCTCACAAGGGCAGGATCTGGCCGGCCCCGCTACACAGGCCAGCCAGCTGGGGGAAGGGAGTAGCCAGATGGCCTTTCCCAGCAACCCCCACCCCCCGCAACCACGGTGCCCCTTCTCCAAAGCCCAGGGGCCGGGCAGCCAAACCCAAGAGGCCTCTTGGGCTGTCCCTTGCACTCTCGGGACCTGTGTCCCCACCTGTAATACCAGGGAGCCCACCCGACGACCTCCGAGGACCCTGCAGCTCTCTCGAGGTCACAGTCCCACCTACGTCTCCCGGGGGCCCTCCCAGCAGCAGGAGCACACAGGCCAGCAGGCCCCTGCCCGCGGGGCCTGGGCTGGCCCGAAGTACCTGCTCTGAGCGGTTCATACAGTTCCGGGCTTCGTGCTCCAGGAGGTTCTCCTTCCGAAAGTAGCACTTCCCACATTTGGGGCACTCGAAGGGCTTCTCGCCGGTGTGCTTCCTGCCGGGAGGAGCCACAGAGGGCGTGGGGGCTGAGCGACTTCCAGCCCCACCCTCGCCCAGTGCCCCTCTGGCTCCCAGTGGCTCACCGTGTGGGTGGTGAGCCTGCAGGGGGCGGGGGAGCCTCGCTCCAGGCTGAGGGGCCACCCTGGAGCTCTGCCCATCCCTCTGGAGGCAGGAACAACCCCTGGGTCCAGACTCACTGGAGAAACCACTCAACCTGCCCGTAAACTTCCGTGGACGCCACCAACAACACTGCGGCCAGAGCCGACCCCTCCGCCTGGCCTCCAGCTACCCCCTCATGCGGCCGCCCAGCCCCTCGGCCGCTGCCCGAGCCTCCCACCTGTCGGCCCCACACCTGCCTCCTGGCAGCTTTCAGCGGCCAAAGGAACTCGTACACAGTCGGCTCTTATCACTGCTTGGCACGGGACCCTCCCGGGCCACCCACGTGCACCGAGAGAGGGCCTGGGGGCCTGGGAGGGCACGGCGGGCCCGCCCCCTCCCTTGCGGGCCTCATTCCCAGGTCTCTCCAGCTCAATGTTCACACCCCCCGCCCCGCCCACGGCCTGCAGCCCAGCCCAGGCGTACACTGGGGAGGGGCCGGGCAGACGAGGACCGCCCCGGGGCGCCCCCCACACCGGGCCCTCCCCAAAGCAGGGGGAGTACACGGGTTCCACTCGGCTCCAGCTCCGGTCGGCCGCCGGGGGCGTCCCAGACTGTCGTACTGAGAAAACACACGTGGCCCCGACCTGGCAAGAACAGCGCACCACGGTGGACCGGTGATGTCCTGGGCTACAGAGAGGTGGGGCTGGAAGCCTCGTCACCCAGCTGCCACCGCTAGAGACCCCGCAGGAGCTCTGGCGCAGCCCCCTCCTCGGCAACAGTGGAACCCCTGTGCCTGCGCCGTCCCATTGGGCAGCCAGCCACGTGTGGCTGCTGAGCACTTGCCCACACCAAGCACTCTGTGGGTCCGAGAGGGGCCCCCGGCCCAGAAGTGGGGAGAACGGGCCCCCTGCCCCCAAACGGGAACGGCAGACAGGAAAAGCAAGTAGAAAAGCAGGGCGTTTACCTGTTGTGGACTTTCAGGTAATATTTGCTGAGGAACTTCTTATGGCACGTGGGGCACTCGACGGGCGCCGCTGGGCCTTTCCTGCTCTCAGGGGGCTCGGCCGCTGCGGCCGCCGTGCCCAGAGCGGGGTCGGCGGCACAGGGCTTTCTGAGCGCGTTGGATCTCCTCCGGGCCGGCGGCGCCTCCGTCTCAGAGACACAGTCGCCGTCCCTGTCGTCCTCGACTTGAACCACCACTTCCCACTAGAGCAGAGGCAGCGGGAGGGGGCCTCGTCAGCAAACGCATCAGCAGGGCTGCTGGGGCCGGGGGCCACCTACGGGGCAGCCAGCTCCATCCGGGCCCATCCCAAGGCCCAAGCCCCGCACATCCAGGACGAGTCCCGTAACTGTTCTGTTCCCTGCGGGACCCCAGGGCAGACGCCTCGGAATCTCGCATTCGGAGGCCAGTGGCCGTCTGTGAGGAACTGCAAGTGTGGCTGGAGCTCACTGCTCTGGGGAAACGAACACCGCAACCCTGATTCCGCCCACTCCGCCCCACGCAGCTGGCAACTGCCGGCAGCTGAGCCTTGCGAAAAGTCAGCCTGAGGCTGTGGGACAGGGCCGGTTTCCTCCGTTTGGCGAAAGCCTGTTTCAAACCCGCATAACACACGTTCTATCTGGGGGTCCGGCTCATGCCAGAAAAGTGTCCCTCTCTTCCCCCTAGGCCCGCCTCCCCATTCCCAGCACCCAGGGCACGGCACCTCGTTACTCCTGCCCTGCAGCTGGGCACCTTCCGCCTCAAAGGGCCTTGGGGGCACTTTGCAATCCTCAGGCTCCTTGTCCTCTGGGGCACAGAGCTTCAGGGCCTGCTTGAGTTTCCCGCGCAGGAAGGAGGGGCTCTCCACCTGAGCGGGGAGGCCAAGCTGGACCCTCTGCGGGCTGTGACTGCCACCGAGCTCCGGGCCTCTGGGCACTTGAGCCGCAGTCCTTGAACCTTCCTCGCCCTCCAGGCCTGCCAGCTCCTTGAGGTGGCTGTTCACGTCCCGGGGGACAGGCTTCGCTGGCACACTCTGGCCACCAGGTGCCTGTCCCACTGAGGCTTTGGGTTTGAAGCTCTGGCACAGCTCAACGGCCTCCGGGACTCGCAGCTCCCTGGCTGCCAGGAGCACCTGATCCCTGTTCCCCGACGTGAGGGCGAGGTGACCGGTGTAGAAAAAGTCCAACAAGAGGCCAAAGATCTCGGCGAAGCCAGCGGGGAGGACCACGCTGCCGCCCGAGCCATCGCCGTAGAGGCTCTGGAAGAAGTGGCTGCAGCAGGCAAGGACACTCCAGTGCGCCTTGAACACCAGGCCTCCCACGTCCAGCGTGGCGTCGCAGTACTGGCCCTTCTCCCGCTGCTTGTTGAGCTCCTGCAGGACCCTCACACTGTGCTGGATGAAGGAGCCGTCCATGGTCTGTCTGCAGGGGAGGAAGGCATAAGTGACACCCTGGCCAGCCCAGGGAAAAGAAAAGTGACCTCTACTCAGTCCCATTGACCACGACGAGGGCTCAGGTCGAGAGTAGAGTGTGCATGCTGAGACAGAAACAGACGCAAAGCCTCCCTGGGGGCCGGGGTGTGGTCAGCAGTCCACAGTCCGGTTGGCCAGCGAGTGGGTGGCAGGGGCGCAAAGGGACTAGGTGGGGGGAGGCTGCATGGCTTGGCGGGAGATAAGACAGGTTCCTAAAGGGGAGCAGATGGAAAGAACACAGTTCAGGGAAAGAGGCAGGGGATCAGCACGAACTGATAGGCCTGGCAAAGGGAGAGGACCCATGGGAGGAGAGGGCGGCGGCTGAGGACAGGTGAGCGAAGCCCACGCCGCGCCCACAGGTCCGGAGCGGCCGTGCGAAAAGCGGCTGCGGCCGAACTCCGGCAGCGCACGCAGCGGCGGCAGCCCTTCCCTCTCTCGCCCCGCCCTTCTCACCCGGGCCAGTCCTGCCCGCGCCGGCCCCTCTGGTTCCAGGCGGCGTCCACTCTACAGCTCCGCCGACCAACTGCTCAGACTGTACGTGCCCAGGACTCCGTACGGAGACGCTGTCGCCGTCGCCGCCGTCGTCGCCGGACGTGACGTCAGGGCGCGTCCGCTCTTACGTCAGGGAGCGCCAGCCGGGGCGGAGCAATTCGAAGGCGCAGGGCTTCCAGGTGCCAGCTTGGGGGTGGGGCCAAGAAGAAAACGGCCAATGGGGTGTGGAAGAGGAGGGGCAAAACCCCGTTCTCTCTGCGTTGGGCCCGTCTCCCGGAGTTGCCTAGCAACGCCAAGCTGGGACCCTAGTCCTCATCAGGCTCCCCGCCGAGGTTCAGGTTGTGGTTTGTCCGCTATGATGCTTTCAGGGTTGACCAGGCAGCTCTCTACTCTCGCCCAGTCGGGAAGCGCAACAAAGACGTATAGGTCACCTCTTTATTGGCAGCCGGGAGTCTGGATTGGGCTCTCCTGTGCCCTTACATTTCCCAAGCCCAGAATGAAAAACTTGAGAGGTCCCTAGGAAGGGCCTTACTGACCCTGGTAGCTCTGTCCACGGGCCAGTCAAGCTTTGATGAAGGGGAGCAACCAGCCCCCAGGAAAAGCCATTTGCATCTCTCTCCCCAGCATTTGCACTACACAAATCCACCTTTTTGAGCTCCCGCTCTGCGTTTTCTCTGAATTGACTCTCTGCAGGACAGGAGAGATGCACTCCCACAGGGGTAGTAACAGGAAATCACGCGGCCCCTGGATCCAGCTCTGAGCTGAGCCCTAGTTACCTCGGTTTGCTTTCTGATCTTGGCCTCACATCTCTGGGTGGCTCATGCTCTTGTTTTTTCTGAGGCAGACGTGCTAGTACATGCATTCCGGCCAAGTTTTGTTTCAAGGTACTAGCGGTCTAGTGTCTTGAATCTAGTATCTAGCTGCCTATTGGCACGGACAAAAGAGGGATATCATGGGAAGGTGCATTGAGAACAGAGCTCTGTCCATTGGGATAAAGAGGTGACATTTAGAATGAGACTGCATCTGTAGGAGTCGGTTGGGAGCTGTCTAGTAAAGAGCAAGGTTGGTCTGAAGCTTTCAACTGGTTGTTTCTTTCTGATTGATCAGAGTGGTCTGGGCCGATGTCCTCCAGCCTGTACCTACCTGGGAGCTAAGTGACTGGGGCCCTGGTCCTGGGGTCAGGTGTGCACACATGTAGCCCCAGGGATGTCCCTTCACCTGCTGTGCAGTTGTTCACCCATCACTTGGGCTCTCCCCACTCTTGTTGAGGAAGACCCCGGCTTCACAGGGCATGCGCTCGAAGCAACAGTGGGGGAAGCCCACAATCCCTTGCTGGCACCCTTCGAGACAGTCAGGGGGGCACAAAGACATAGACCCCGGCAAGAAGCCACACTGGTTCTGTAACTGCACGGAGGGTCCCACGTCAAGGGACACTCACACGTGGAACGGAAAACAGAACCTGTGCTTCCACACCCCTGGCTCACTCACAGGGCCAGGCCCCTGTTTGTGTGAACCAACGGCAGCTGGGCCTCTGTCTCGTGGTCTGTGGAGTTTCCCTGGAAGGGGCCGGGCAGAGCCATGGTGGCCTGGGATCCGAGAGCCCCTCCCGCTCATGTGAGCTGCGTCAGCATCGCCCCCAAGCCCCGGGCTGCCCCTAAGGCAATCACTGGTGAGTACACGTCCTCATTACCTGGCTGTCCTTTCCAGGCCACTGGGTTTGCTCTTTTCTTTTTTCCTAAATATTTTATGTATTTATTTTTAGAGAGGGGGAGGGAGGGGGAAAGGCAGGGAGGGAAATATCAGTGTGTGGTTGCCTCGCATGCGCTGCCCACTGGGGACCTGGCCTGCATCCCAGACATGTGCCCTAACTGGGAATCGAACCAGAGACCTCAACAGGTCCAGCCCAGTGCTCAATCCACTGAGCCACAGCAGCCAGGGCTAGGTTTGGTCTTATTTATGTCCAGCCAGACTGGAGGCCACGTGGGGGAGTCAGTGACCTTGTGAAGGTCCACTTGGGGCCACTCCAGTCCAGGGCAGTTATGTTGTAGCTGCTGAGGGGGTGCAATGACAACTTAAGGACATTGTCGTTAAGTGCCACAGTGTCCTCATGCAGAGGGAAATTCACCTTGCAGATCCGCTCCAGAAGCCAAAGTAGAAAGTGATGGTGGTGTGACATGATGACACAGACTGCTCCTCCTTGACCCTCCTTGACCTTCCCAGACCCTGATAGCTCAGGGAGCAAGTGCCCAGGGCCTTGCTGGGGCCTGTCTGGTGGCTTCCACCCGCCTGGGAGTTCCGATCCCTTTCTGAGAGCCCCCTCCCATCCTAGGGTGCCCACTGACCCTTCAGCCAGCCTCCTGACTGAGAGGAGGCTTCTAACAAAGGACCCTTTCACTAAGGAGCCTTTCACAAAGGCTAAAAATGGGGCCAAGGATAAGAGAAGAAAAGCCTAAGAGAAGGGACCAGCTTTCTACTTGGTCTCCTTTGTCCGCCACCCCCAGCACTTAGACTGGCCGAGGAGTGGCCCCCTGCTTCCCTCAGGAAAGCACCTGATAGGGGTGCCAGGAGCTGGGCAGCCTTAGCCGCCAGGGATAGACTCAGTCTCTAGAACAGGCTTTGGAGGCACAGCCTAGGAGCTGGTGGAGGCCGTGAGCCACCGGGACAGCCCCATACAAGTTGTAGGCGGAGCTCACAGGGACTGCTCAGGGCACGGGCATCTTCTGTGCCGTGAAAGCCCAGCGCTCTCTGCAACACTGGCTGCTGCCGCCCCAGGAGCCCCTGGGGCATGCCTTCTGGGCCCTGTTGTCTGTCAAATTCCTTCAGGCCAGGGACAAGCCTCGGCCAGAGGGCCACACCCAGCACCGTGCTGGTGCCCCTGATCCCAGGCACCTTGATGTGTGTGGGGAGATGGCCCAGTTTTCTGGGGCGACCCCCACCTTGGCTGTCAGGGTGGCCAGCACCACGGACTCAGACAACAGTCCATCTAGCTGCCTGCAGAGAAAATGACCACGATGGTGGTCCTCATTCAGGCCAGGCAGAGGACAGTGCTCTGCATCCTCTGGCTGCCTGGCCGGGCAGAGAAGGGCACGATGGCCCTGAAGGGGAGGCAGATGCCCCTCCGGTGTCCCAGTCCTCCAGTGCCTGCACCCCCAGGTGCCCATAGTTACTGTCGCTGCTCACCAGTGAGATACAGACCCACGCAAAACTCTGTCGCAGCAGCACCACGATCTCCACCTGGTGCATGTGACTGAGAATGATGCGCAGAAAAGAGGGTACTGCCACCTCCCAGTCATCCGCACGCCTGTGGCCTCGCACCTGACCTGTAGGGGTTAGGTTCAGCAAGTTCTGCGGCCGCACACTTGACTGAGGGCCCCCTAGTGCCCTATGCTCGGTGTGGAGACAGGATGGAGACAGGTCCCCGCCCTGTTTCTCAAAGATAGCACTGCTTGACATGTGAGTCTGACAAGTTATATATGGAAAAGGGGGCAGGCCTCAGGGGAGGCTTTGGGGACAGGAATGGGACTCTGCCTGGTGGACGGAGGGGAGGGGTCACGCAGGCTAAGCAGGGGGAGCCAAACCTGCGCAGGGAGTGAGGTAGGGTAGTCCATCCGGGACCCAATGGGAGCTTCCGCTGGGCTGGCGGGAGGTCAGACTCCAGGACGAAGGAGAGCGTGAGTGGGCGTGTCCAGTCAGGGCAGGGGGCCTCAGCTGTCGCCACGGCGGGCCTCTAGGGTTTAGGCGGAGAAGTGACATGTTCAGACTTGTGGTTCAGGAATGTGTCTCTGAGTCCAGGAAGGAACATGTTAGAAAAGGCTCAAGACCAAGTCAGGGAGAGCCCCTAGGAGGCCGATGGAATCATCCAGAGGAGGGAGGGTGGTGGGGTGCGTTACAGCCGTGGCGGTGGCGATGGGGAACAGGTTCAAACCTCATCGTGTTTAGAAGGGAAAAGCCGAGGCCGTGGTGACAGCTAACCACGGGGGCAGAAGTTTCAAAGGAGAATGGGTTTCCCCAGGTGTGCGGAGGCAGGAAGATGGGGAAGCAGCCCTTACAGAAGAGGAACACTGGGCCGGGGATCCCCAGGGACAGGGACCGCTGCAATGTGGCCGAGGAGCTGCGTGCGGCCACCCAGGAGATCGGGGCCAGACTGTGCACCTGCCCCAGTGCACACTGGACTCCAGAAGGGGAGAAGGGCGAGCTGCTGGGGCTCCTGCTCACCGGGGGGCACCAGGGGGGCCTCACTCAGCAGGGCTGCAGTCGCGGCAGTGTGGGGGGTGGGGTGGGACCCAGCCGCCACCACGGCTGTGGGGGAGTAGTGGGAAGGGTTTCCTGGGAGCCTTCTGTGGGGTGTCCCCAGCGGGGAGAGCATGCTCAGAGGGCATGCACATCGGCTGACTCTGAGTACACACATCGTACATCTCGCATCCCAGAGTGACACAGGACAGCAGGGCCTGGAGATGTTTATCTCCACAATGCCAGAGCACGTGGCCCAGAAAAAGCGGCAGCCGTGGCTGCTGAGGCTGCTGGGTGTGAAGGGAAAGCCCAGGCGAGGGCTGGGAAGAGTTCCGGGCCTGGGAGAGAGAAAGGAGTCTCTGAGGTTCTCTGTCCAGCCCCTCCAACCATGACCTCCTGTGGCCTTTGTCGCATACCCACAGTTCTGAAGATAGGCCTTTGGACAGATGGGGAACAACCTGGAGAAATGCACATACCAGGCCCCACCTGGAAAAGCATATTAGCATTGAAAGGCTCATGGACCTGGCCGGTAGCTCAGTTGGTTAGAGCATTGTCCCAGTACGCCAAGGTTGTGGGTTCCAATCCCGGTCAGGGCCTGTGGGAGAATCAACCAATGAATGCATAAATAAGTGGAACGATGTATTGATGTTTCTTTCTCTCTCTCTCCCTTCTTCTCTCTCTCTCTAAAATTAATAAATTAGAAAGAGGGGGAAGGAGGTATAAGACTAAATGATAATGGAAAAAAAACAACTAAAAAGAAGGCTCACAAAAGCGTGTAAGCAGAGAAACCTGCTGTGTTCACAGGCTTCTCCGGAAAAACAGAACCAATCGGATGTAGAGAGGAGGTTATGTTACGGGATTGGCTCACCATCGTGGGGACTGGCAAGTCCGAAGTTTGCTGGGAAGCTGGGCATTCCCATAAAGTTGATGCTGTATTTTGAGTCCAAAGGCTGATTTCCTTCCTTTTTGGAGGACTCCAGTCTTTTCTCTTACGGTCTTCAACTTTATGAGTTTATTGATTTAAATGTTAACCATGTCTAGAAAGACCTTCACAGGGATGCCGATGGCTGTTGGGTCAAATAACTGGGCACCACACCCGAGCCCAGCTGACACTCAGCATGAACCGTCACGCCTGCCGACACTGCTCAACACGTGCCTCTCACCAGCACACCCGCGCGTGCAGCAGGAGCCCGGCTTCCCGTGGCCTGTTGGGGAACTGCTGGCTGGACCCCAACAGGGCTGCCCTGGGGACGTGACTCAGTCCTGCCCGAAGAGTGTGCTAGCCCGGTCTGCTTTGCTGTCTCTCTGACTTCCCAAAGGGCCTTCCATCATCCCTGTCACTCCTGCCCTTCAGTCATTTGGAGGAAGCACAGTGCCTCCTGCTCCTGGCAGCCCTTGGGTCATCTGAAGCCAGTTTTTATGTTTCTCCCCGTCCCCAGTCTTCTCTTCCCAGGCTCTACCTGCAGCTCTTTTGGACCAGTGTTCATGAGCCAGAACCTTCCAGAACCTTCCAGAACCTTCCCCCTGGGCCAGCTGTCAGGGGTGCTTCATGTTTAGGGCATCCTGCTGCCAAGCACTGGTAGCACCCTCCAGGCCCCCACATCTGTGGTTTGCACAGACTATAAGCAACTATCTTTTTTTTTTTTTTTTACCAGAAAAGCACCGGTTTGCCTCTGCCCGGGCTGTGGACGTAATGAAGGCACCAACCCAGTGTAGGTTCGCTAAGCTCCTGAAGCACCTCCTGCCACGTGTCTCCACTTCCCTCCCCGAGGAGAACCCCACCGGTCATCTGGGACAGCAAGAAGTCTGGACGTGGGGAGAATGGGGAGGAGGTGGCACAGTGGAGAGGCTACATTTGCTTTGGTCCTTGCTGTTGAGTTATGTCATGAAGCCAGGGAGTAACTGCAAGGGAACTGTAACACAGAGCATTTTAATCGCCAGGACAAAAGCATGAATTACAGAGTGGAAGCTGGCCAGAGTGCCTGGGAAGGCCCGGGCGGGGCAAGACGGGAGGAAGTTCACGTGGGTACCCCAGAGACAGAACCGGTGAGGTCCTGGCTGAGGAGGGCAGGGGAGGACCCTGGAGGCACAGGTTCTACTGAGGGACAGTTCCGCTGAGCCCTCGCTGCCCCGTCACGGAGGGTCACTGTGGGCCTGTGTCTGCCCTGGAGACAGTCAATGTGGAGAGAGAACAGGCCTGCACCAAGGCGATCCTCCAGGAGGCTGGAGTCGGGGGGCAGCTGAAAGCCCAGCAGCAGGAAAGGGGGAGCTGCAGGCCAGCCAGGTGAGCCACCCCAATGACATGCTGGCCAGACAGTCCTGGGCCTGCACGGCAGCGCCTTGCCCCCTGAACAGGTCAGCCTAGACAAAAGTGGATGGGACTGGAACCCGGGTGTTGCTGGTACCAGGCTCTCTGCCTTGGCTTCCAGCTGGTGGTCGGTCACACTCAGGAGCTGGGCTGGGCCATGAAAACCTGGCAGCACCTACCGGCCCCTCTGGAGCCGGAGGGTTCTGGTCCAGCCCTTGTGCTGCACCTGGCTCAGGCAGGGAACCCTCACGTTTCGGGGGACTGGGGTGGGTGCAGTGGGAGGCAGGAACGCGCCTTCTCTGGGGAGCCCGAGGGACAGGGTATGGAGGGTTGTCATCTAGAGCTGCCGTCACAGGTGGGCACGAGTACCCAGGTTCTAATCAGGTTCTGACTGGGGACAGAGACTTAAAGCGAACACACAGAGAGTCTACAGCAGAAAAAGAGAGAGCAGATTTATTAAGCGATAGCACACTCCACGGAATGTGGGAGCAGGCCAACTCTGAGCAGAGATTGACCTCAGGGGCTGGAGGGATTCTACTCTTACAGGGCGGATATTTTCCGGCTAGTTTTGGCGGAGTTTTATTGCGCACGTACATTACTTTAAAGCTACTGCGCATGTGGTCTCCGATTTTCCTCGATTGGCCAACCCGGAAGGGGGTCCCACAATGTTAATTTATTATAATACTATTATAATGAAGCAGGGGTCAGTAGCATCTTCTGCGCAGGTGCGCTCGTGATTCACCGTGATTCAGCGCTTTTCCAGAAAGCGGGAACAACCGGTCTTAGGCAGGGGGGGTCTCTGTCTTGTGTCATCGTCCCTTATCTTAGCCCTGGGGCACCTCCAGAGTGTCCTCTTTCCTGAATATTTCCTGCCTCACTGCCAGTCCTAGAGCCTTTCACCTGGGCCTCAGTTTACGAAATGAACCATGTCTTTGAGTTGACCTCCCTGCCCCCTAGTCCTCAGTTTTCTGACAGGTTTTTGCCTTCTTATCCAGGGGTGCCCCCCTTCAACCCAAAGACAAATGCATGCAGACAGAGAGTACGCAAATGGCCGGATTTGTTTAAACCGCCCGTCCTGCAGCTTCTGTTTTGTTTTGTTGCAGGAAAAAAAAAAAATTATCCCACTGGATGGATTTCCGGAGAGGTGGCCCGGGACTCGGGGTGGTCGATCTGGCGGTCCCTCTCCGGGCGCCCGGGTGGGCTTTTGCATAATGTCAACGCAGGCCATCATGTGGGATCGCCGGGTCGGTGGTCGCCGAAATGCCAACCCCGGAGGCCCCGCAGGCCCGCGGGAGCCTTGGAGGGCACAGCCGCGGCTCGGGAGCGCCGCGGGGGGTGATCGGCAGCCGCCGCCCACGTCGCCGCGGGCGCCCGCGACTCCCAGGCCTCACCTTCCGGCCGTTCCCGGCCGCGGGGCGGGGCGACGAGATCTCGCGAGCTTCCGGGGCCGCCCGCGCCGGCGCCCAGCATGGCGGACTCGTCGCAGGTGCAGAAGCGGGGCTCCTTGCGTTCCACGTGGGCTCGAGCCCGCAAGACCCGGCCCCAGCTCCTCCTGAGCCGTCGGCCCCGCCGCCGGCTCCGGATCCTGCGCTGGTGCGGCCGCAGGCGCCTGCGGCGGCGGCTGCTGCAGGCCCAGGCGGCCGGCGCCGACTGGCGGGCGGGCACCTGCCTGGTGTCGCGCGCGGGGGCGGCCCCGAGGCCCAAGACCGCAGCCCCCAGCCCGGCCCCCAGCCCGGCCCCCAGCGCGGCCTCGGACGAGGAACCTGCCCCGAGTGTCCCCGCGCCCCTCCCAATCCCCCCGCTGCGGCCCGCCGGCCCCGGCCGTGCGTTGCTGCTGCTGCCGCGGGATCAGGTGAGTCGCGCCAGGGGAGAGGGGGGACGCCGCCCCGGGGGGTCGCAGGCCGGGAGGAGACCGTGTCCCCTCTGCGTGTCGTCCGGCCTCCGTTCCTCCTGGCGGCGGTGCTGAGCAGAGGGTAGTAAGAAGGCCTCTGCCGAGGTTCATCGAGAGGTTCAGAGCAGAAAGGGACTTCAATAGTAATAGTTATTACTAATAAAAGGGTGTGTAGTAATGCGAATCTCTGAGTGTTATGTGTTTTGGGTGTACGAACCCATTCAGTTACTCCCAGCTCACGTGGAGTCGTTACGGCTGTTACTTTGAGTGTTTGTTTACAGAGGAAGAGTCTGAGGTTTAGTCGAGGTAACTTGCCGAAAGGAACGCAGTAGAGGTAGAGCCAGGATCCGAACCCACAAAGCCTGATCGTAGCCCCCCTTCCTGCTCTTCACTTGGATTCTGGTGTGGGAGATCTCCCTCCAATGCGGGAGGAAAGTGAAAAAACCCCCGAAGGCGGAGACCTGGCAGGCAGTGCTCTTCTGAAAGGCAAGAGCCAGGAGAACAGCGGAGCAGGGTTCACTGGCCCCCTTGTTTTCCGTGTGTCCGTCTTCTCCCGCTGTATGGGTAGCTGCCGTGGGGTATGATCTTAGGTCCAAAACAGCCAGTGCCTCCTAGTCACCTACTACAATCTATTGTTACTTAGAAATGTGCCCCCTTTTGACATGTGAATAGTAATTAGGGTCTCAGAAAATGTCAGTCCTTGCTAACAGAGTCTGCAATGTTACTTGTTCCTTTCTTTTTTCTTTCCCTGCTAGGGTTTCACCTTTAGCGGCGTCTGCCGCGTGACTTGCCTTTACGGCCAGGTGCAGGTGTTGGGTTTTACCATCGGCCAAGGCCAGCCTGCCCGGGATGTCTTCTCCACCTACACCCACTCCCGCCTCGCCATCAGCGCGGTTCACTACTCGATGCCGGAGAAGAGCAAGAAGGAGATGAAAAGGGAAGCCCGAGCCTTGCTCCGGGCTCATCTTAACCGGGGTAATGAGGGGAGCTGGGTAACGCACGGAGGGTGTACCGGGACGAGGCTGAAAACTCTCAGACGTGTTCTGTGGCCTAGATGGTGCCTCTAAACCCTCCCCAGGGTCCTGAGCGTGAAACTCTTGTCTTCACCATTTTCCAGACGAGAGGAGCTGCCCACGGCCCCACAGCTAGTAGGTGGCAAACCTGGCTTGACTTCTCAGCCCAGGTGTGTTCCCGCTACACAGTGTGGCCTCCTGAAAAAGACTCAGGCACAAGTCTGTCCACAAAGAGTTTGCAGTGTAGCCAAGGGAACGGCAGCCCAAAGGGGCGCCGAGTTCAGTGGCATTGCTGTCCCACTGACACAGTCAGGTGGCTGGATTTTCCCTTTACAGATGACAGGTGCTGGCTGATGAAGAACTTCTCCCCTCTGTGTTCCATCGTGATGCTGGAGAGGCTGAAGACCTCCACGGTGAACTTCATAACCAGCCATCCCGGGTTATCCTACGTTTTCCTGCAGGAGGTAAACCAGTTTTCGTTCAGAGTTCCACCGATTATTTTCACCAAAACAGTCACATTAGACGACTGCGTAGGGTGTTCCTTTCGAAGACCAGTCTGCCCGGTTGTGCTGCGGGTCATGCCGGTGGTAATACGTGTGTGTCCAGCAGAAGTAATCAGCACAGGAAGGTATTTCATGAGGAATGCTCCCCTCCCCCCTTAGTTCCGTTCCCCAGCAAAAGCCGTCATTTCACACTGTCGTTGAGGAAATGGCTCTTGGCATTTTTGTAAATGGTTTTCTTTGTGTCTTGGTTTATTAACTTGAGACACTGTAAGTTGTTTCTAAACTGTGCGTGAGTGATTTCAGTGCACTTCTACTTTCTCCCGTCTCTTCTCACCTGCATATTCTGCTGGCCATGTTGTTAACTTCCTGAAGTCAAGTTGTTACTGTAATTGCCTCCCGTGAGCCAATAAATTGAGTCTGACCCGTAGCATTATTGAACAGACTGGACGGTGAGGTATGAGGAAGAATCAAGGACTAACTAGGCTTTTTGGGCTGCACCCCTGGGTGCTCGGGGTTGCCGTTCGCTGAGAGGGGGCAGCTGTAGGAGGAGGGGCTGTAGGTGAGTCGACTTCGCCATGCCCACCAGCTGTGGAGTCGGGAGCTGGAGAAGGGGGTTCCAGAGCCTCCAGGGGCGATGATAACAGCAAGCAAGGCACCGCCCCCCACTGGGCTGCAGGAGCCGGAGGAAGTGTGGGCGTTGAGGTGGAAACGGAGGGCCCACCCCTTTGTGTTCTAGACTCCAGAGTTGCTGCCAGGACGTCTTAATGCCAGGCGGGTCTCATTCCTTTTGTGACAACAGTGTCCTTGGGCCTGATGAGTTGTGATCCTGGAGGGGTCTCTTCCTGGGGCCTCTTCCACATGTGGGTGGCCTCGTGCTGTCCAAGCCCCACCCCCTTCCGCTGGGACGGGGCTCTTCCAGCCCTCGGGCCGCTTTCCCGCGGTTTCCTGGCGCTCCTGCTGGAGCGGCGTTGCACTGCGTGGCCCTGCCTTCCGCATCCTCTGGGCCCCGTCTGCACAGTTCTTTGTCCCGGTGCTTTGTTTGGGGTATTGCCCCGACTTTCTTCCAGATCGCCGGCCTGCTCTGTGACTGGTCATCGGTTGCATTTTTCTTTCGGCGCTCGCCTTTAAATTTCCACACACTTTCTTCTTCCCGGGAGTGTCCTGCACAGGAAGTAGCATCGGCCATGAAAACGGACCTCGGGTGACTTTAGGAAGAGCAGTGGCAGGCCGTAGCTACTGAAGGGCTGGATTCGGGGTTGAGGAGACGGGGGCTGGGGTCAGATTTACCTTCTGTGGCTCACAGCTGCATCAGGCGTATTCACTCAGAACTGAAGAAGAGAAGATGTGTTTGTTTTCACCTTTTCTAAACGCTCACACTGTTCATTGCAGAGCCCCACCTTCCAGATTAACACTGAGTACTTCGCCCTGAGGTCTGTGGGCATTCGAAGGGAGAAGAAGAAAGCCGGCCTCCGTTTAACCGAGAGTGGCCTCGCCGCCCTGGAAGAGCTGGTGAACGTCTCCTGCGGTGAGTGACGCGGTGGCAGATTCGGTGTTTTCCGCCAGAGCCCCAGGTGGTCCCCGTGTGCGGTGGTGGGGGTCCTGAAGCGGGTGGGTGGCTCACTCTGGGGTCCGCGTGTGTCTCACCCCCAGAGGAAGTGGACGGCTGCCCCGTCATTCTGGTGTGCGGGTCGCAGGACGTTGGGAAGTCGACATTTAACAGATACCTGATCAACCAGCTGTTAAATAGGTGAGAGTGTTTTTCTTGTTTTGGCGTGTTGCCAGATTTGGGGCACAAAGTAGTTTCAATTTAAGAACCTATGTGGGGCCCTGGCTGGCGTAGCTCAGTGGATTGAGCGCGGGCTGCGAACCAAAGTGTCACAGGTTCGATTCCCAGTCAGGGCACATGCCTGGGTTGCAGGCCATGGCCCCCAGCAACCGCACACTGATGTTTCTCTCTCTCCCTCTTTCTCCCTCCCTCCCCTCTCTAAAAATAAGTAAATAAAATCTAAAAAAAAAAAAGAATCTATGTGGGAATGCCTCCTGACTTTGGGCGGAGGTGGTTTACAACTTCGGACCAGGCCGCTCATCTGAGTGACGGCATCGGCCGTTTCACTGTGTCCCGGGGGGAGGTGGCCGTGTCTCAGGGTGCGCTGGCCTCGCCTGTCTGTGAGCTTGTGGGAGCCCCTCGGTCTCAGAATCTGTGCTTGTCCACATCCAGAGATTCAGAGGAGGGACACATTCTGCTGCTGTTTTTTATGTTTATGTCTCTAAAGATTGTATTTATTTTTAGAGAGGGGAGGGGAGGGAGGAGGAGAGGGAGAGAAACATCGACGTGCAAGAGATGCATCCGTCCGCTGTCTCTCACACGCCCCCTACTGGGGACCCGGCCCACAACCCAGGCGTGCGCCCTGACTGGGGATTGCACTGGTGACCTTCCGGTCCTCAGGCCGGCGCTCAGCCCACTGAGCCGCCCCAGCCAGGGCTGTGCTGTCTGTTAAAGGCCAAGTTTTAGCGGGGTGGGCTGGGACAGGAGTAAAAGACAGAAAACTGTACTTGAACAACGATTAACATAAAAATTAATAAATAAAGGCCAAGTTTCAGGAAGGAAGAAGTTGTGCCGTATTATGGACGGACACCGCGACCCCAGCACGTGCTCTGTTTACGCTTTTCTAAAACACGGACTGAGCACCCCACCGAAGAGCTCGCCTGGCGTGGCTTAGCCTGCATCGCATAAATCTTTAAGATCTGTTGTATGCTGTTGACGTAGTGAAGCCAGCTGAGGTTTTTTTTTGTTCGTTTGTTTTGTTTTTAAGATTTTATTTTATTTTTTTAGAGAAGGAAGGGAGAGAGAGAGAGAAAGAGAGAAACATCAGTGTGGGGTTGCTGGGGGTCGTGGCCTGCAACCCAGGCATGTTCCCTGACTGGGAATCGAATCTGTGACACTTTGGTTCACAGCCCGCGCCCAATCCACTGAGCTACGCCAGCCAGGGCTTAGCTGAGGTTTCTCGTTTACGTTTTCAGCCTCCCCTGCGTGGACTACTTGGAGTGTGACCTGGGGCAGACAGAGTTCACCCCGCCGGGGTGCATCTCTCTGCTCAACATCACGGAGCCGGTGCTAGGTACGTATCCCGTACTCTGTGAATGTCGTGGTGTTACCGAGTGCGAGAGTAATGACATGTAACCAAGAACTCAGGAAAAATATAGGAGGATAAAAAAATAACCGTGAACGTCCCCCTGCCAGGCTCACGGTCTTCCTGTAACGGGGTCTCCAGCCCCCAGATGTTGGAGGACAAGCTGTGACACCGTCCAGGGCTGCGTTTTAGTAACCGGAACTGCGATTATCTTTGTCGTGTATAAATCGGAAGGACACCTTCCTGTAATATTTACATCTCAGCCTATACAGTGATCTAAACTGGGAAATTAATACCGATACAATACTATTAATTAACCCATAGAACTTTAAGAATTTTTAGAGAGGGAGAGAAACATCGATATTCGAGAGACACATTGATTGGTTGCCTCTCTCTTGCCCTCAGCTGGGTACCTGGCCTGCAGCCCAGGCATGTGCCCTGACTAGGAGTTGAACCGGCGACCTTTCGGTTCACAGGCTGGCGCTCAGTCCACTGAGCCACACCGGCCATGCCTAAGCTATAGATTTCATTCAAAACTAACTAGTTATCCTGCTAATACCTTTTTTCTGGTTCAAAACCCAAACCAGGAGTCCACATTGCTTGTTTTTTTTCCTATGGGAAAGTGTACATAACATAACATCATTGGAACCACCCACACGTGTACAGTTTACAACGTAGTGGCATTAAATACGTTCACAGCGTTGTATAGCCATTACGTGTATCCAAAACCTGCTCATCACCCTGAAGTGAGCGCCGTGCAGCGTTCTTGTCTGCGGGGCGCACATTCCGTCCCCCGGCGGGTGCCTGGGACCAGGGCCGCCCAGCGCTCTCCTGTGTGCACGTGCCTGCCTGCCTGCATGCGTGCGGCGAGGCCCGCGGCTGCTCTTGGGCGCGACCGTCACCAGCAGCGCCCCTCTCGTGCTTCGGGGTCGAACGGGGGATGGCTGGACGCAGACACTGCGACACTGTGGCGGCTGGCTCAAAAACTCAGCGACCGACGGGTGGATGTCCTGTACGGCGTGGGTGTGCCAGGCACGAAGGGCCGACTCTCGGGGCGGGTGGGGCGAGGGTTCGTCGCGCTTCCCCCGAACAGCGTGCCCTTTAGACTCAGGAACTGTGTGTATCTGGAGTTTTTCACGAGGTGCCTGCAGACTGTGGTTGACCGCGGGGTAGCTGGGACCACCGAAGGCGACACCGCGGATAAGGGGGTCTGCATCAGCACACAGCGACCCCCGTCCCGCTCTCCCTCAGCCCCGGGAACCTCTGCCCACTCTGCTTTCCGTCCCTGTGGAGTTGCCGGTGCTGGGTCCCTCACGTGGACGGGGTCCTGCAGTGCCTGTCCTCAGCGCAGTGCAGCCCGGGCCCAAGGCTCAGGGCCGAGCGTTGTTCCACGGGGGGCGTGTGTCACGTTTGGTTGGTCCATCCAGCGCTGTCGGGCCCTCGTCTTGTTCCTCCTCTGGGGCTGTTTTGAGCGGTGCTGTGCCAGACGCTGGTGTCTGAGAGTCTGCTCAAGCCCCGCTTTCCGTTCTTTTGGACTGGACTTGCTGGGGGGTTTGGTGCTTCCACGCCTGACCCTTTGAGAAACCACCCGCTGGCCTTCGCAGTGCTGGCCTTCGCAGTGACCACACATTTGACATCCCGTCACCAGCGCGGCGGGTCCCAGCCTCCGGCAGCTCTGGCTCCTTTGACTGGAGCCGTCTGTGTAGGTGCGAAGCTCTGTCTCGCTGTGGCTTTGAGGTGCGTTTCTCTGATCACTAATGATGTGCGTGTTTTCACACGCTCCCTGGCCACTCGTGGGTCTGCGTTGGAGGAGTGTCTGTTCAGGTCCTTTGCCCATCCTTGAACCGGGTTGTCTTTATTGAGTTTTAGGAGTTCTTTGTGTATTGTGGGTATTAATTCTTTGTCAGATATGCTTTGCCAATATTTTCTCTTATTCTATAGGTTGTCTTTTCATTTTCTTGACATCTTTGATGCACAAACACTGTTAATTTTTATGAAGTCAATTTATCTGTTTTTTCCTTTATTGCTTGTCCTATTGGTGACATATCCTCAAAGTTGTTGCCAAATCCGGTGTCATAAAGATTTCCTGTAATGTTTTCTTGTAAGGGTTTTGTAAGTTTCAGCTCCCAGCACCCCCAGCTCCCCCAGCAGGGAGGAGGGTTTACTTGTCCGGCAGCCGGACAGGGAGCCTGAAGAGGAAGCTCAGACCAGCCTCCCTGCTCCAGGATTCCGGGCCGTTCCAGAGCAAGCATGCGCAAGAAGTGGCGCGGCACGCTTTGTTAGTAATTTAGCTGGGGGAACTCGGTCATTTCTGGAAGGGGGCTTCGGCGCCGGATCTTCCCGGACTGCGGACCCTCCGTTTCTGAAAGGGTTCTGGTGTCGAGTTCCCGTCCTGTGTCAGTTCCTGGGTTCCCCGGGGGGTGGGGGGACACTTCCGTTCCGGATGCAGCTGGAGGTCGCAGTCCTCTCCCCTGTGCAGGCTTCGGCTGAGTGACTTGGGGTGTTTGTCGTCTCTGGTCTGACCCACTTTTTTTGGTAAGTTTTTCTGTACGACGTAAAGAAAGGCTCCACCTTCATTCTTGGTCATGGGGCTGTCCAGTTTTCCAGTCCCTGTTTGTAGGAAAGACTCCTTTCCTCATCGAATGGCCTTAACACCTCTTTGCAAATCACTTGACCAGATAGGCGAGACTTTCCCCGGGGCTCTGTTCTGTTCCGTGGGTCTTCTCTACGTCTGTCCTACGTCTGTCCTCATCCCAGCACCGCGCTCACCCAGTCACCGTAGGTTTGTAGTCAGTTCCAAGTCGGGCAGTGTGAGTCCTCCAACGTTACTCTTTTTCAGGGTTGCTTTGGCCCTGGCCGGGTAGCTCCGGTGGTTGGAGCGTCCTCCCGATACGCCAGGGTGGCGGGGTCAACCTCAGGGCACACACAAGAACCCACAAATGAGCACACGAATGGGTGGGACAGCAAATCGACGTTTCTCTGTCTCTCTTTACCCCTTCCCTCCCTTTTTTTCTCTAAAATCAACAAAAATGTAAAACAATTAAAAAAGAAAGACATTGTTTCCACCTTTCGGGACCCCTTGCAGGTTCATTTCCGGTTGAGAACTGCCTTGTCCGTTTCCGTGGAAGAGGCTGTGACGGCATCGACGGGCTGCGTTGAACCCGTGGACCGCCGTGGGTGGTGGTGTCTTCCTGTCCACGAACAGGACTCTTGTGGTTTCTCGTGTCCAATTTAATTTCTTTAAACAGTATTTTGTGGTTTAAATCCTTCATCTCCTTGGTTAGATATAGTTCTAAGAATAATTATTTCAGCTGTTACTATAAATGGAATTCCTTTCCTAATTTCCTTTTCAGATTGTTCACTGCTGGTGTATAGAAACATAATGGATTTTTGGTGTGTTGATGTTACTCCCTGAAACTTGGCTGAATTCCTTTATTCTAGTAGCATTCCAGCAAATTCTTTGGGATTTTCCATATGTAAGACTGTGTCACCTGCAAATAATGATAGTTTTATCTCTTCCTTTTTAATTTGGATGCCTTTTTTTTTTCTTGTCCAATAGCTCTGGCTAGGACCTCTAGTACAATGCTGAATGGAAGGAACCGTCCTTTCCTTGTTCCTGGTCTCAGAAGGAAGCCATCCAGTCTCTCACCACTAAGTGTGATGTTAGCTGTGGGTTTTCCTGGGTTTTGTCAGGCTGAAGAAGTTGGCTTCTACTCCTGGATTGTGGAGTGGTTTTATCATGACAGGATGGTGGACTTGGTGTCTATTGAGATCATCATGTGGTTTTTGTTTAGTTGACTTTTTTTTTTTTAAAGATTTTATTTATTTATTTTCAGAGGCGGGGGAGAGAAACATCAATGTGTGGTTGCTGGGGGTCATAGCCTGCAACCCAGGCATGTGCCCTGACTGAGAATCGAACCTGCGAGACTTTGGTTCACAGCTGGCGCTCAATCCACTGAGCTGCGCCAGCCAGGGCTTGTTTAGTTGACTTTTGAAAGAAGCAAATGGTATTATGTTAGGTTGCTAGGTACATTAGATTTTTAATAGACTGTCAAGAAGAATTCTTAAAACATTTGCATTGTGTTAACAGCTTGATCAAAAAATAATTGTTTAGGCTTAGCTCTTTGACTGGCTTCACTGCCCTTCCCCTTTTTACATTTTCTCTAGTCCATTTAGTAGTGTTTCTCTGTTTTTTTTGAGCCCTTAGTATTTCAGTAGGTAATTCTCAAAACAAGGACACTGCTGCGTAATCGTAATACGACCACCAAGACCAGGGCAGCAGGCATGTTGCCACAGTGCTGTCCTTGAACTTGGCCCGCTGTCCCTGTCCTCTGAACAGGCCTGGTGTGTCGTCAGGAATCTTTAGTCTCCTTCGGTCTGGAACAGTTCTTCCCGCGCTTCTTATGTTGTGTGACCTTGGCGGTTTTAAAGGGCAGGGTTACAGAACGCCTCTGGTGATTGAATGTGGAAGTGGTGCTGTGTTCCCGGGGCACCGCCCCGACACGCCGTCCGGCCGTCCTCTTCCTGGAGGCGTCAGCCCTGCTGCCCGGCCGAGGCGTGCTGGCCCGGGCGCTCCGCTGCAGCGGGAGCCGGGTGCGCTCCTGGGCGCCGTTGCTTCCAGCCTTCCTCGGGGGGTGGGTCCCCTGGGCAGGCCGAGGCAGGAAATGCATGCCTGTTTAAGCCCTTGCATGTCATGTATGCCACACACACACCTGGATCTCTGCCGTTTTCTGAGAGCCCCGAGTTTGCACCATTGTTCCGGTTCCACTCTGACGCCCAGGCCACTCTAGTCGTCTGTCCCCCTCCCCTCCTGTGTTGACAGGTCTCTTCTCTGACGACTAGAACCCTGGCTACGATGGCTCTCAAAATATTTACGTAGTTGCTCAGTCCCTTTGTGTTTGTCCCACCCCTTGACGACCTGGGCCACTCTCAGCTGCGAGCCCCCCCCCCCCCAACCCCAGCCAATGGGAGTCTCACTAGCTCTGTCTCAGGTGGCCCTGCACCAACCGCATGGGCCAGGACCCTCGCCCCACCAGCTGCGTCGTCACACGGCCCTGGTCACCTGCCTGCCGGGGCTCTGGCCTGGCTCCGGCCAGAGGAGGCGGAGAGTGGCCTGGGCTGAGCAGACTGGTGGTCTTGTTAGGGAGCGTGAGCTCCAGCGGTGACTGGGGTGCCTTCGTTTGAGCCCGGCTGGCCTCTGCCAGCTGTGTGACCTCGGCCAAGTCAGTCCCTCTCCGTGTCCTCGCCTGTGAAAATGAGGATGACGAATAACACCGAACCCCTCCTAGGGCTTTAGTGAAAGTTACGGACGGTGCGTACCGTACCCGGACACAGTGCTGTGTTCTCTCTAGTGGTTGCTGCTGCTCCCAATCCCCCCTCCCCAGGGCGTGAGCCCTGAAAGCAGGGAGACGTTCGTCGTGTTCGCAGGTGTGACCAGCATGTAACAGGTGCTCAGTAAACGTTGAGTGACCGGCCTTACTAGGACGTAACTGGAGCTACCTGTGCGGGTACAAGGGAGCCGCCTTTTACTGAGTTGAAAGTTCAGCGTTCTGCCGGTGGCGGCCCATCTGCTCCTGGTGGGGGGGCGGTCTCAGATCCCCCAGGACTCTGTCACGGAGCATGGCCGACCTCGCCCCCTCTTGAGTTGTGGGTTCATGACTCTCATCCCTGTCTTCTTAGGACCGCCTTTCACCCACCAGAGGACACCTCAGAAAATGGTGTACTTCGGGAAACCTGCGTGTAAAAACAGCCACGAGAATTACATAGAGATAATAAAGTACGTGTTCAGCGCCTACAAGCGAGAGGCCCCGCTCATCATCAACACCATGGGCTGGGTGACAGGTGAGCCCGCGGGGGCGCATCTGGCGGGAGAGGGCGGGCGATGGGGCTGAGCGCAAGCTGCCGGCCCGGGGGTCATCGTGGCCGGAGCCCGGTTTTTAGGGGATTCCCCGGCCGATCGCGTCCTTGTCTCGGAGCAAGCACCCCAGTTCTCCGTGGGTGCGCGGCGTGGCTCCGGCACGCTGACACCGCTGCTGTCGCCCGCCGCCTCGCAGACCAAGGGCTCTCGCTGCTCGTGGACCTGATCCGACTGCTGGCGCCCAGCCACGTCGTGCAGTTCAGCTCCGTCCGCTGCAAGCCCATGCCCAGCCTCACGCCCGACTACGTGGACGGCGTGGACGGCCTGTACACGAGGAGCAAGTCCAAGCGCAGAAGCCGAGGGTTCTTCCTGGCCGAGTTTGCCGAGAACTTGGAGTTCGGCGACGAAGAGAAGGAGAGCCCGGTCGTCTTTCCCGGACATAAGCTGATGTGCGTCCAGTCGGACTTCGTGTTCCGGAAAACTCCGAGAAACAGGTGAGCGGGCCACCACGGCTGGAGTGGCCCGCGGTCCTCCGTGTGACCGGCCGCGGTCCTCAGGCTGCACACGCGGCGCGTCCCCTGGGGCGGCCCAGGTCCCAGCACGGCCGTCTCTGTGTGGGGGAGAGTCAGCGGTCCCCGGTGGGGTACCCGGTGGGAGTGGCCGGGTTGGCTCGGGCGGCCGGGAGCTCTGGCCGGGAGGGGCTTGTGCTTCCTGTTCGGCCCCCGGGTTCACAGAAGGGCGGGGAGGGCAGGTACTAAGGTGTACGTGTCATCTGTGTGATGACGAGTGTCCTGTGTGTCTGAGTCAGTGACACCTTTAATTGCCGCCTCGTGATCTGCTTTTCAGGGAGTCGCATAACCGGGTGCTCCGGGACTTGGCGGTGCTGGGCTACCTCGGGCAGCTGCAGAAGCCGGTGCCGCAGCCGCTGCACCCCCTCCACGGCCTGACCCCCTACCAGGTAGGGCCCGAACCGGGCGGCGGGCGGCTTGGTCTCGTTCACTTGGCGGGCGCTTCTGCGGCTGCCGTGCCCCTGGTGCTCCCCTGACCCTCCATGACCCTCCTTCTCTCACTGACCCCTGAGAACCTGCCCCCTGACCCTCCACCGCCCCGAGTGCTCGCAAAGCCTTCCATGCTGGGTTATTGTCAGAAGTGGGTTCTAGCACCGGCGTGTTTGCCTCTCTTGGGGCGTAAGCTCTTAAGAATTATTTTGGGAAGAAACCACCTTAACGTTAGGCTTCCTGTGATGGAAGAATAAAATAACCACAGGTAGCATTCCTTAAGTGGCTTACTCTCGGCTGTGCTGTGCTCTGTTCTGAGCTGGTATTTACTCCCTTTTTTTTTTTTTTAAGATTTTATTTACTTATTTTTAGAGAGAAGGGAAGGGAGGGAGAAAGAGGAGAGAAACATCGATGTGCGAGAGGTAATGTTGATTGGTTCATGCCGCCCACTGGGGACCTGGCTTGTACCCCAAGCATGTGCCCTGACTGGGAATCGAACCGGCGACCTTTCAGTTCCTAGGCCAGCACTCAGTCCACTGAGTTACGCCAGCCAGGGCCTGTGTTGGCTCCTTGACTCACAACAGCCCTGGCATGATACCGTCTTGCAGATGGTAGGACCCAGGCCAGGGACAGTGAGGCCGCTGGCCCAAAGGGCCCAGTGAACATCTGGTCTGTGCCGGGGAGCCCAGAATGCCCCCCTCTCGGTGCTGTGTGGCTTGTCTGGTGTGGAGCCCTCGCTGGGGCCAGGTGCTCCGCCAGCTCCTGATGAGGCGTGGCGTGGTGACATGGTGGCACCCCCGAGGGTCATGCTGGTGTGTCCCCTGCCTCCAGCACAGAGACCTGGGCACCGCCAGGTGGGTGAGACAGGCCCGAGGGCCCGAGGGCCGGAGCGGTGGGCCCGGACATCAGTAGGCCTCCCGAGCCCGAGGGGGCGGCTGGCCCTCGGCTCCGCTTGTCCCACCGGAGAGTCCGAGGCCGTTAGTTCCTGGGGTTGTGCTTGCAGGGAGCTGCTGTGGGACTGGATGTGGGGCGCGTCTGCCAGTGATTCAACCTGCCTTGTGTTATTTCACACGTGTTTTCAAAGTCTAAATAACGTGTGTAGCAAAACACTTTCCTCCTTTCAGCATTCGAAATTGCCCAGAAAGTTACATGTTAAAGGTAGCTGTTTAACTTGTGCTCCGGGAGCAGGATCCATTGCTCTTAATTCATGTGTTACTTGGGGACGAATGGTGGCTGTTTTGTGAAAGGATTTGACTTTGTTATTTTAAAAAAAGTTGTTTTAGAAGATTTTATTTATTTTTAGAGAAGGGAAAGGAGGGAGAAAAAAAGGGAGAGAAACATCAATGTGTGGTTGCTTCCCTTGCGCCCCCTACTGGGGACCTGGCCCACAACCCAGGCTTGTGCCCTGACTGGGAATTGAACCGGCGACCCTTTGGTTCACAGGCCGGTGCTCAATCCACTGAGCCACACCAGCCGGGGCAGATTTTGGCTTTGTTGTGTTGGAGACTTAAGGCGTCTTCGGTCTCACTCGACCACAACTCCTCCAGGACATCTGCAAACTTGTGTCTTGTGCGTCTCTTCAGCCGAGAAAGTTCCAGGCATTAAGTTTAGGTTTTCAGCAAGCGTCGATGGTACGCAAGAGCTCGGCGTAGGTTTCTTAGGTTCTTTGCGTTAGAGCAGTGAGCGCCGGTTGGTGTTTCCGTTCCGTTCGGAGACTCTTCGGCAGCAGCTCGGCAGCCGAGCCTCAGGCAGCCGGCTGGACCGGAAGGGGCGGGAGACGGTGCAGCACGAAGGGGGCCCGCACGCGAGGTGGCGGGGGCTGTGACGCGGGAGCTGAGCCCAGTGCAGGCCACGGGTTGCGTGTTGTGGAGCTGTCCCTGAGACCTCCGTGGTTTTACTAACAATAACCAGCGTCACCCCCGAGACGTAACTGAAAGGACACTCGGCGCTGGCCTTCCAGGTGCCTTTCAGCGCCGTCGCCCTCCGGGTCGTCCACTCCGACGTCGCGCCCACCCACGTGCTGTACGCCGTGAACGCCAGCTGGGTCGCCCTTTGCAAGATCCTGGACGACGTCAGGGGCTACGCAGAGGGGCCCGTCCTGCTCGCCCAGACTCCCGTCTGCGACTGTTTGGGGTTCGGTGAGTGAAGCCCGCCCGCACACCGGCCGCAGCCGACGCCCGTCCCCAGCCGCGCGCTGCATCTCCTGTGGTGGTCCGGGCGCCCCTCGGGCTCCGAGGGCAGTGGGCCTCGGCGCCTTTCAGTCTGGGGTTCCCGAGGACCCGGCAACAGCCTTCTCACTCACGGGGCCACTGGCCCCCCCATCCCTCTGGGGCTCTCGTCCAGTGTCCTGCCGACTCCCCTACTCCCCAGAGCACTGCTCCAGTCCAGCCGTGCCCCGGCCCAAGCCCCTGTGCCCCATGCACTTCTCTGCGTGGGCCTCTTTTGGGCACCTGGGGCGTAGGTCCGAAACCAAGGTCCTAATGGGCCCGCACACATGAGGTTCTCCTTGGATTCTTCCTCCCACCCCATACCACCTCCCACCCCATATACCACCCCGCCCCACCTCCCACCCCGCGCCACCTCCTACACCACCACCCACCCCAGACGGCTCCCTGTTCCCTTGGGTCCGTTCAAGGGCCCTTCAAAGACCCACACTGGTGCTCGGGCCAGACCCTGGGTCCTCCTCGGCAGCCCTGCCCCTTCTCTGTTCTGCACACCTGACCCCCAGGCCGGGTAGCTTCTCTCTCCTGAGCGTCACACCGCTCCCTCGGTGTCCTCGGGTGCCGGTGCGGGCGCCGTCGTTCTGCACTGGGCACTGGAGACGCTTCCTGACTGGACGCCACACTCGGAAGTGTCTGAGTACACCTGGTGGTGGCCCGACCCACCATCCCGGCATTTCTGTAGCACGGGTCCGTCCCTTGGCTCATGATGACAATAAACATCAGTGAATGTTTCTCGAAGGGTGACCCGAAATTAGCAAAGTCCTTAAGTAATTACACGTTTCTGATTTATGCAGTACTGGGCTTCCCGAGAGAGTTTCGGCAGAAGTGGTGTCCCTTTGTGGCGGCCCGCCGTGTCCCCAGCGGACGGCCTCGGCCGGGCGGCCCGTAGGCGGGACAGCCTAGGCTCTGGCCTGAAGGCCGGCGCGGCGCCTCTCAGCTCAGCGAGGAGAGGCGAACGAGTCTTCCGACACTCGCACGCTCCGCCTCCTACGACCTTGCGCTTTCAGAGCAAACCCCAGCTGAAACCAAAACTCTTATTTTGAAAGCCGCTCTCCAGTTGGGAGAGGCGGGAGGTTTGCTCTCCTGCAGGAAGGGTGATTTCCGCGTGCCCTGTCGTCCTCCAGGGATTTGTCGCGGGCTCGACATGGAGAAGAGGCTCTACCACATCCTCACGCCTCTGCCCCCCGAGGAGCTCCGGCACGTGAACTGCCTGCTGGTCGGGGCCATTTCCGTCCCGCAGTGCGTGCTCAAGAGCCAGGTGGGTGCGGCTCCCGGGGCGGCCCTGGGGGGGCCGGCCGTGGGCGAAAGAGAGAGAGGGCCTGAAGGTGGGGCGACGGTCGTGGAACAGGCCGCTGTGGGGGGCCTGCCTTTTCAGAGGGGGACGCCACGCCCACCCGCTCGTGCCGCCTGACGTGTCTGTGCGGTGGAGCGGGATGGGATGGGACCGGGCGGGGCGGCCGCCTGTGTGCGGGGGGCCGGGCGGACCGCACGTGCGTCCACATCGTCTCTGTGTTTCCACTCCAGCGCGGGCCCGAGGGGACAATCCCGTACATCACGACGGATTATAATCTCAGAATTCCCGGGGCATCGGGGGAGATCGGAGCACGAGAAACCGAGGAGACCGGCAGAGAGAAGGCACACCCCAAAACCAGGTTCTATCGAAAGTCAAACTGATGCGGGGAGTAAGGGAAGAAGACGGACTCTGTCTCCAGCCCGACGTGGGCAGACTGGCGGGCTGTGCTGCCGCGGCCGGCGCCCTCCCGTCCTGGGGTTTCCCGCCTGCGTAGCTCCTGGAAGTGCTTCGTCGGTCAAGTCCCTCCTTAAAGCGACGTGGCCCGGCTTGGCCCTGGTCTGCCGTGTGGCTCCTCACACGTGGTGTTGTGTTTTCTGGAGAGACGTAGCAGACGGGAGAGGGCTGTGCACCACCGAAACGAAGAATACAGTCGGTTCCTCAGAAATTCTCCCAGGACCGAGCTGTTGGACTCGGGACAAAAACAGGGAGACCGGGGCCGCAGGAGCGCGCCCAGGACGAAGACGGGCTGGGCGGCAGGGTCCAGGCGCGCCGGGACGCGGAGACGCCCCTTGGTCCTCGCCCCTGATGGCCGGCGGGCGCGGGAGACCCCTGGAGGGGTCTGCCTGGGGCGGGTTGCGGCCCCCGCGGTTGTGCCTGCCCCCAACCCTGTGATGCGACCCTGTGATGCCGTCCGGCTGCTCTCCGGTCCCTGTGGGTCGGGTGTGGAAGGCGGGTCTCGTCTGGACTCGAGGGCTGGCAGGTGAAGCTCGGACTCCAGAGCCTTCACTGTCTCTGTCGGGTTGATGGTTCGATGCTGCAAAAATCGCTCCCAAAGCCGGGAAACCTGTCCTCAGGCCTCTGAAGCTAGATTTGTGCCGACTTCCCACCTAAGACTAAAGACGCAGCTTGGGCGGAGCTGGCCACGGGGTGTTTTGGGAGAGGCCCGGCAGGGCCGCTCTGGGAGAAGGGCCGGCCCTGCACGTGGCTGGACCTGAACCCACACACGGGCCCGGCTCTGGGCCTGTGAGCGTTCTGTCCCAGAGCACGGGAGGCTGCGGATGGGGCTGTCCCCCCGGGCGGCCGTCCGTTCCTCCTCCTCCCCTGGGGCTCGCGGCCCCTTGTCCTCCAGGGCTGGAGTGGCGGCGTGAGCAAGGGGGGGAGCTCAGAGGGTGGGGAGACGCCCCTGAGGCCGCGTCCCCGATTGGTACTCTGAGTCTCTGCTCTCGGCGGAGCATGGTGGAGCAGGCCGTCAGGGGGTTTGTTCCTGGGTCCGTGGGAATCATCAGTCATCGGTCACCACCGCCCATACGTGCCTGTGCCCGCATCTGGTAGACGTGGACGCCCTCCCGGGAGCCCTGGCCACTCCAGGCTGACTAGGAATGTCCTGGAGACCATGGCAGTCTGACTTCTAAGATGCCTCTTATTTGTATTTGAGTTTACCTTGTGCAGGTTTTCTGTCTTGGCCTCGCAGAGAACTTGGAGACAATCTCCCACCATCCACTCCTCGCTCCCGCCCCCCAGTTCCCTGTGTCTTCATCCTCATAGTCACTGTAAGCTACTGGCAGCTGGTCCCAGAAGGAAAGTGCCGCTCTGCCATTTACCCTTTCGTGATGTCCAGGCTTGCCTCTAGCCTCCCCTCCTGCTGGGGGTTCAGGACGACCTCTTGCTCCCGCCCCGTTGGGAAAGAAAGAAAGAAAAGAAAGAAAGAAAGAAAGAGAAAGAAAGAAAGAAAAAACGGATGTCGCCACTAGAGGGAGCCGTCGGCCGCAGTCGGAGCGCCAGACCCTCCAGAGCGGGCTGCCAGCCCTGGAGGCCTGTCTCGGGATTCGGAGGTCCTGGCAGCGGTGGGGGGGCGCTGGTGAGGCCAGCGGCAGTGACACAGACCTTGGGTGTCGGTTTGGCGGTCCTTGCCGGCGGTTTCGGCGTGTTCTCTCCGCGGTCTGTGGGGTTCAGGGTGGGCAGGCAGGCATGAGTCTGCCTTGGAGTTACTCTCAGTCTCGCGTGTGTGACTTCCAAAGCGGCACACGCGCATTTTAAGGAAACTAAAAGCCTGCGTGACTTAGAACGTGAGAGTCCTGGGCCCCTGATTCTGTAAAAGCGCTGCTTTCAAAGAGGCCCTTCTGCAGGAGGGGAGATACGCAGATGAATGACAAGACTCGCAAATTCTAGGGTTCCTTTTCTTTCTCAAACAAAGTCCAGTTGCTCCCACCTGTCCCCGTTAGGTGTGGCGGAGGGCACCCACGGACCCCCTGAGACCCCGGCCTGGAAACTGAAGACTGGGGAATGGGGGGCGGGGCGCGGTGAGCCGGTCCTCCAGGTGCTGTGGATTCCGGCCCGTGGGAGGGAGCAGCGGGCGGCTGCTTAGCCTGCCCAGCGCCCGGCTGCCTGCCTGCACACAGTGTGGGGACCCAGCAGCGTGGGTACAGGGCTCCTTTTGTACCAAATGGAGGGTTTTTTTACAAAAATTGTTTCATTGGTAGACTTTTTTTTTTAAGACTCCGATGCCGCAGCAGTGGGGTGAAGGAGACAGCAGCTCTGGGGGTCGAGCCCGAGGTCGGGTCCTGGCTGGACCGGGCGCCCTTCCCCGGCCCTGCCTGCGCAGGGCCTGAGGCCGGGCCGCGAGCGAGGGCTCGGCTCGGTGGGCGGCCCGTCTCCGGTCCTGAGGCAGACCCCCAGAAGGCAGGGACCAGGGTCGCAGTGTTCACGGTCACGTTGGGACGAAGCAGAAACTACATGTCAGGATCAGAAACCGTCCCGCCTGCCTCACCTCTGGGCAGGATCACCTTAAAGCCGGCTCTCCGGCGCCGGAGCTCCAGAGGAGGGGTTCCGCGGCTCCGCCGACCGCCCGTCCCTGGGGGATTGCCCTCACCCTCCAGCTAGTGCTTTTGAACTTGGTTATCCGTCCACAGGTGCTGAAAGCGGCCCCTAAGCCCGTCGCCACATGGTGGTCGCTGAACGCCCTGATGCCCTCCCCTCTGGTATTTTTCTAAACGGAGTGTGTTCTTTACATCGGTGTCCTGCTGTACATGTGGTTTTCTGCCAGCTTTTTTCATTTAACTTTATTTTGTATCATTAAATATTTTTGAGAACATGAACTGGTGTGATCTCATTACCTACATAGGCCATTGAGTTCCGGGAGATCATGTCAGTGCTTCGGAGAAACGGCGGCAGAAACCCGGGCCAGAGGAAGACACCGGAGGGGCCGGCCCCTCGGGGGGCTGCGCGGGGCAACGGGACACCCCAGCAGACGTCTGCGCCTCCTCCCATGCTAGCAGCAGACGCAGCGGCCGTCCGGTGTTTCCGCTGGGGCCTACGAATGTGGGTTGAGAGAGGGTGTCGTATCCCCTCTGGCCTGTCTGAGAGCATGTTAAAAGGGAAAACATTGCTCCCCGAAAATTTCAAATCAAGAAAGAAGAAAACAAAGGGCGGGAGTTTCCGCCTGTAACTGCCTCTCGTGAGCTTAGCCCCGGTCCCCACTCCCCGAGTCAGGCCCGCACAGCGGCTGAAATAAATATGGGGACCATCTGTGCCACGAGGGGGGGAAAGCCGCATGATTTGGGGGGCCCGTGCAGAAAGGCTTTGCTAAGCTCAAGATTTACAAGGTTTTGCCAGGAAAAGAGCGGTGGGGCAGAGGGTGGGCTGGGGGGGGACGGTCTGCGAGGAGCCGCCCCTGGAGCCGGGGGCAGCAGGTCCAATCTGGACGCGCTGGGAGCTGAGTAAGCAGCCGGGCGGCAGACAATGTGTTGGTCTGGGAAGCCCAGGGTTGCTGTGGCGACCGGCCCTGATGATGCTGCGGTGGTGTTCTGGTGCTCGCAGACTGTGGCTTGGGTTTTGCTAACGCTCTGGAACTGGCTCGCTGTCCGGGACGTGACCGTCTGTCTGCTGGGCAGGGAGGAGCCACCGAACTTTCAGGCCTTCCTCCTCGCCGAGGTGGCCGAGGGGCCGCTGCCGCTGGAACTGCAGAGACCGGGGTCTCCGTGGCGTCGCTGTCTGGGGAAGGCAGGAACGCCAAGGCAGGCGGCCGTGGGAGAACTCTGTTCCAGGGAGCGCACGGGTACTTGGGAGTGGAAAATCCAAGGGGTGGAAACCAGCGGCAGGGAAGCGCAGTGCAAACCGTGGCCACGAAGCCCACACGTTGAAACTTACGGTGCCCAGGGGGCCTGCAGCGGCGGGAAGCCGATTGGCCCTGCTGAGAGCCCCGCGGTTTTCTGTGCGGGCGGATCTGCGGAAGCTGAGATCGGGGCTGAGTCGGGGAGGAGGCCTCCAGGGCTGGGGCTGCAGCTGGGCAGAGGGACGCAGGCCTGCGGGTCTGGCACAAGGCTTGGGGGGGGGCCAGGAGAGGTGACCCTGTCCCAGAGGTCAAGCGTGAGCTCAGCTCTGACAAAGTCCGGGTCACCTCACAGGTGGCTCAGCCTTCGCCCTAGAACCCGTGAGTATGTTTTCTTCCTCTTTTGTCCAGAAAGGAGGGTTGGCTGATGACACGGAGCGGGGAGGGGAGACCTGGGGTCTGGGAGGAGCCCCGGAGGGCCCCTGCTTGCTGAGTCATCAGTCGAGACGCTTTTAAGAACCCCTCCTGCCGCCTGCGCCCGTTTCATCCTCACGGATCTGTGGGTGCGTGAAAGGCCAGGGCGTGGAAGTCCAGGGCCGCCCAGCCCCGCGAGGTTTGGTCCTCAGCCTGTGGGTGCAGACCGCTGTCCTGTCTCCTGGGCAGGCAGAGGAGGGAGGCTTTCCGTCTCAGCCATTGGCTCCACGAAGGAGGGAGAGCAAGAGCTGGGTTTAAGAATTGACCGGCTGGCAGACCTCGCTGGTGTGGCTCAGTGGACTGAGCGCCCGCCTATGAACCAACCAAAGAACCGCCAGTTCGATCCCCAGTCCAGGCACATGCCTGGGTTGCGGGCCAGGTCCCCAGGAGGGTCTCATGAGAGGCAACCACGCATTGATGTTTCTCTCCCTCTCTTTCTCCCTCCTTCCCCCTCTCTCTAAAATAAATAAAATCTTTAAAAAACAAAAACCACCCCCTGGCTGGCGTAGTTCAGTGGATTGAGCCCGGGCTGCGAACCAAAGCATCGCAGGTTCGATTCCCAGTCAGGGCACATGCCTGGGTTGCAGGCCATGGCCCCCAGCAACCGCACATTGGTGTTCCTCTCTCTCTCTCTTTCTCCCTCCCTTCCCTCTCTAAAAATAAATAAATGAAAATCTTTTTAAAAAATTTAAAATTCAGTATTCTGTCAAAAAACACCTCTCTTCCTTAAAAACAGAAAACAATTGCCCTGCCCTTCACACTGTCATGTTCTGTGCATTGCACTTGTGTTGCCATTGCTAGGATGGCGTGGAACGGGTCCTCACCTTGTCCTTTGTAGTGACTTTAAAAAGGGGACACAACCCTAGCCGGTGGGGCTCGGTGCAGCATTGTCCTGGATGCCAAAACTTCGCAGGTTTGATTCCCGGCCAGGGCACATACAAAAGGCAACTGATCCATAATGTTTCACTCTCTTGCTTCCCTTCCCTCTAAAATCAAAAAGCATGTTCTCAGGTGAGGATAAAAAGGGAGGGGGGGACATGAGATTCCTCCTCAGCCGTCAATATGTAAGTCCACCTGGCCACACGCCGGGACGCACTCTGGGGAGGTGGAGTCAGGAGGAGTGTGCACCCCGGGATCGAGCCCTGCCTCAGAACACCTCGTCCCTGCCCGCAGAGCCGTGGCCCGGAGCACGTCGGCTCAAAGAAGCACCCCCATTCTCATCCTGGTCTGCACCCCACCTGAGGCTGGCCCGGGGCAGGTCTCTGAAGCAGGCAGGGGGTCACGGCTCCTCCCTCCGGTGCCCACACGGGCCCCTCACTGCAGGGCTGCCCCCTCCCAGGAAGGGGTCCATGCGGCCCACTTCCTCCCACTGGCTTGCCCTGCAAGCCGAGCCTGCCTGTCCCACCGGGCTCCCCGCCGGGCGTGGCCAGGTGATGGAGGGACCAGCGGTCCACCCTTGCGGGGGTCTGTCACCATCATCCACCAGCCCCCGTGACTGATGTCTGGTTAATTCAAGGCCCAGCACAGCTTGCTCACTGAGGGGGCTTGTCTTGGGGATGGGTGAAAAAGGGGTTGCAGGCCTTTTGGGGTGCCCTCCAAATCACAGTTGCCACGTGGAGGGCAGAGAAGGGCCACCTGCTCTGCCTCAGCTGAATTGTGTCTTTAAACCGTCTGTTTGTTTGACAACTGTGAGTGTGTCATAGCCCCTCATTTCATCACGTGACGTGTTTACTGTCGGGCGGTGAGTACACCAGGGCTTCTGACAGGCCGGCGCGCAAGGTCAAAGCCCGTCCCGGAAGGTGGCTGACGGTGAGTGACGGGGGCTCGGACACGGGACTCGAATGGCTTGTGCGGTGAGAGGCGGGGATGCGGGCGGGTGAGCTCGCACCCGAGGGCTGGACCCCTGAGAACACCCACCCGAGGGGTCTCCTGGAGCAGGGACATCGCCTACGGGGCTGGCCGAGGCCAGCCGGGGAGAAGGCCGGGGTGGGAGAGGGGGAGAGGGGTCAGAGGGCACCTCTGGAAGAGAGACGGCAGGCAGAGTACTCGGTGATGGCTGTCCCCGGGCAGCTGCAGGGGGTGCTGCGGCCCAGGGTGGTCGCGCCGGGCAGCCGGGGACAGGCTGGCAGGCCCTGTCACACCACGCAGGTTCCCCCTCGGGCCAGGGGGCGCTGAAGCGTGTTTATTTAGCAGGGTGGGCGGCGTGACCCAGCTGGCGTTTTAGGAAAACCCTTTTTTTTAGACTTTATTTATTTATTTTTAGAGAGGGAAGGGAGGGAGAAAGAGAGAGAGAGAGGAACACCAATGTGCGGTTGCTGGGGGCCGTGGCCTGCAACCCAGGCATGTGCCCTGACTGGGAATCGAACCTGCGATGCTTTGGTTCGCAGCCCGCGCTCAATCCACTGAGCTACGCCAGCCAGAGCAGAAAGCTGTTTTTGAGAGCAGTTTGGAACGTGCATCCGGGAAGTCTGAGGAGGAGGGTCTGGCTAATGAAGCGCAGAAGGGCCAGGAGACTGTTGCGGTACTGTGGTAAAAGGCGGGCGCCGGAGCCCTTTGTTAGCATATAAACGAATAAACGCACACCCATACACACGTATGTGCACTCTTGGTTCTGCTTATACAAGTAATACATTTTCACTGTAAAGTGTTCAAAGACCCCGACCGGGTAGCTCAGTGGGTTAGAGCGTTGTCCCAATACGCCAGGGCTGCGGGTTCGATCCCTGGTCAGGGCACACACGAGAGGCAACCGATGGGTGCATCGATAACTGGACACCAGATGGATGCTTCTCTCTCTCTCTTTCTCCCTCCCTTCCCCTCTGCCTAAAAATAAATAAATACAATCTGGGGTTTTTTTTAGAAAACACCAGTGCATGAAAGCCTCCCTCATTTCCGAAATGGCTTTCTGATCCGTGTGGCCGCACCTCGCTTCTTACTCGGGTCCTGCGGGGGCAGACAGCGGGGGTTCCGGCTTTTCACTCGTGTGGACGGTGCGGTCGTGAACACTCTTGCGCCAAACCCCTGTGCCCTGGTGAGAGAGACCGAGCTCCCCCACGGGGAGCTGCTGGTGGGGAGGGGTGAGCCCCTGCCAGTTCCAGAGCTACTCCCAGAGAGCCTCTCACTTCCCCACCAGCCCCGTAGGTTGGCCCCGCCCCCCTGCGTGCTCTGCCTGCCTGGCCACCGTCTCCCATGAGCCCGTCCCTGACATACGACGGGGGGTGGCTGGGCAGGTGTCCCCTGACAGGGTCCTCAGGCATTTCTCTTCTCTGTCCACTCCCATTCCTGAAATGCCGTGGCTCCTGGCCGAGGCGCAAGGCAGCTGCAGGCCCTGACGCCCCACCTCTGGGACTTCCGGGGGTGCAGGGCACCCAGTGCATGCCTGGCGCAGACCACAGAGTCCCCCGGCCTGTGCTGCATCCCAGCTGTCCCGCCCGTTGGCCGTGGGGCCTCAGGCAAGGCCCTGGCTTTCTTAGCTTCAGTGTTCCATTGTCTTTAAAGTGGAAATGGTAGCAGCGCATGCCACTCGGTCAGGGCAGAAATCAGATGCGTGGTGGTGTTCCCGCGGGTGAGCGGCCG